ATTTTTTTGCTTACTTCCTTATCATAAAACATCAAACAATTGTTGTCTCGATTCTCTTGAGAAACATCATTACTGCTCTCTTTACATTACAGCAACGTCCAATTAAACAATACTGTTTTTCGTTGGCTTGTGCTAAGTTATTTCATAAAATGATATAGAATAATTTTTCCTTCGCGAGCATCAAAAAATATAGGATGTAGGAAATTGAGAGATACGGGATTCGAACCCATGTCGCCTGCTTGGAAGGCAGGAATGATGACCACTACACTAATCTCCCCACACCACCTAAGACCGCGCATCAAGGCTTTTCAGTTTCCAGAATTACAATTGGCAGAATTAAAAAAAGAAAGTTGAGATCTGAGAGATACGGGATTCGAACCCATGTCGCCTGCTTGGAAGGCAGGAATGATGACCACTACACTAATCTCCCAACTTCCTTGAAAACTTCTTATGTACTTGGTTCAAGTAGAGCAATTTTGTACATTTTTTTGTCGCTCTTTTGTCATGTTCTCATTTCATCTTTCTCCCCTTCCGTTTTTGCTGCTTGAGATGGGTACGATTCTCGTACTTAACAGACTACAATGAGCTCAATGAAAACATGTCAAAGGGAACCTGACGAAAGTTTTAATATGTAACCAAATTTCTCTGATAGTCAGCTTTATCCTAAACAATACTAAACAAACTTTACGAAGAGCGCTGCAGAAGATCCTTGAGACGAGCAACTTCCGATCTCAAAGACTCGTTTTCTTGCATCAACGACTCACACTTTGCCTCAAGCTGAGACATTCTTTCCATTTTACGAGCACGAGACCTCCTAGCAGCTTCGGTGTTCTTAGCCCTCTTGATAGCTACAGCATCAGCACCTTCAGGAACAACAGGTTCGAGTGGAAGCGCCCTCTTCTTTCTAGTGTAAGGAGTACATCCAAAGCGATCTTTCTTAGGCGTGGAAGTTTCGCTAGTAGAGGAAGCCAAACGAGCGGACTCCTCCATGTCTGTCAAAGGTGAGGTCACCGATGTCTTTGGTAGAATCTCCTCTTTAATAGCAGAAGTGGACTGGGTAGCTAACTGGATGAGATCATCTTCTTCCTTGAAAAGTGGCTCCCAAGAGGAAGAATCCTCTCTTGGCTCGAACATTGGAGCTGTTTCGGCATCTGGATCCTCAAATATAGAACCTATAACAGAAGAATGGATCTCAAAAGGTGAAATCGTAAGGCCCGGATTGGAACGTAGAGCTTGATCAGCATTGTGATCATCAAGATGAGAACCCCTCGTATCCAAGAGCAAATCCTCGAGGTCGACTGGTTTAGCCGATGGGGGCTCTGCAAAAGCACTGAAAACTGATTCTCCTAACAACATGATGATATATGGTAATTCTATTTTATCTTATCTTTCTCAAATAAGTTGGTCAACAACGACACGCCATGATGGACGGTGGAAAATCTATGGTTCACTTTAACATATTGATCTAATTGGGGGATGGGTTGAGATAAACTCGAACGAAACTTAAGTCTCTGAAATGTACTTTCTCTCTCGTTTCTTTAATTGTCTAACATACTGAACAATCTAGAAATTATAACCTTAAAAGGATATAAATTTAGGCACACATTTTGAATAATTCACTGATAATTCAAACTAACGCTAACGGAATGGCAAATAACAAAATAATCTTTTAATAACTGGTTGCGTATATGGTGTGTCTTTAGAGAGAAAGTATTGGTGAAAAAAATTTTTAGTGGGAGATGACTCCTTTAAATATTAGAAGTTGTGGAAAAATCAATTTATATCAACATGCCGCTATCGGACCGGAAATCTCTGGATTTAAACTGAGAAACAGCATCAAGCTTTGAAAACAAAATGGAGCTCGCTTCGGATCATATCCACCTACCAGGTAGAATATGGCCATAACTCTGGCCATGTTGCGGACAGTCAGGCTCGTTAACTTGCCGAAACCCGAACGACATTGGATTCGCACGATTTCCTATTTAGGATTTTAAGAGTGACTCATTTTTAGCGGACCTAACTAAACCTTGTCACATAGCTCAGTTTTACTAATCGGTTATCAGCCCCGGTTGTGGCGCATAAATGATAAGCCTGTTCGAGGAGCCAAATTCATAAAGTCTGGATTAGAACAACTCTCCCACAATCAGATTCGAATGGAGGTCAATTCTGGCTGAGGTTTGGGTGTGAGCCATAAGAGTTTTCTAAGCATACAGTTTACTACTTAAGTGAGCCATTATTGCAAAAGTTATTGCCAAGTAATACAAATTTACTGCAGTCTTGTAATTGATCAATGCTCATTCTCATTTTTCACTTTCTGTGCCAGTCAATCTTTAGGGCCCAATAAATTAGCAGGCCTAGTCACCAACAAATACAAAGCAACATGCGCTCTCAATTCCTGATAGCCACCAAATATCAGTACATCCTTACACTTGATAAAAAAATTTATTAGAATTTTTTTAAACAAGTCCTTAATAGAAAATCCTGATGACGACAAAAGTAGATCTAAAGAGGCAGAAGGTGGCTGTGGGAATATCCAAAGCATCCGGAAGCGCTCCTTTGAAAGAGTCCCTTAGAAGAAAGGTGCAAATAAGTGACGATGAAGTCGAGACCGATAGCGATATGAAGGAACAAAGTGAGAATGATCATAGCGAACCAAGTGTAGAAAGCGACAATGAAAGTGATTCCACCAGTGGAAGCGATTCTCTTAGGAGCGACCAAGAAATAAGTGAGGATAGTGACGATCAACCGCAAACCGATTACTCTACTCAATCGGATAATGACGACTCAGATGATGAAGAGATCCCAACACTTCCAGGCAAGAAGAAGAACAAAAGCGATGGTTCTGAGTCATTTTCCAAGGCCATTAATGCTCTTCTAGATTCCAAATTGAAGGCTCACAACCGTAAAGATCCAATCTTGGCCAGATCCAAGTCACAGCTAAAAAAACTAGAAAGCGAGAAACTAGAGCTCAAAGCCAAAAGGCAACTCCTCGCAGAGAAAAAAGCCAAGCTCACTTCTAACAGAGTGAAAAACTTGCTTCCTACAGATGACTCGCTCGCCAGACAGACACTAGAGAGAGAGAAGCGTTATCGAAAAGTTGCTCAGAGAGGTGTAATTAAGCTTTTCAATGCCATTCTGGCGACCCAAACGGAGACCAGTAAAGAGATTGATTCCATCAAAGGAGTGGGACAAACAAAGAAGAAGGAACTCGTCAATGAGATGTCGAAAGAAAAGTTCTTGGATTTGGTCCAAGAAGCAGGTAAAAGTTAATATGAATAAATGCGGCTAGGAACGTTTATTACGTCAGTTTCTCGTAAACTTTGGGAATAACGGCAGAAACTGCTGCTCTAGAAGCGTGCCAATCTTCTTGGATAGATTTCCAGGGAATCTTGCCAAACAATGCCTTTGGACTACTTAGCTCCTCATCCTTCTGCAACTCTTTGGCAATTGCTTCCACTCTGGCCTCAATCTCGCTCTCGGAAGCTACTGGAAGCTCCTTCATATACTTTTCAATGTATGGAATTTCTCTGAGCTCATTCAACCCCATTTGTTGAAACCGATCAGGTGCACCTTCCTTCAAGTACTCTTCAGCAGTTTTCTTCCGCTGGTTGACCATCTTTGCCAGCAAATCGTATAGCTGAAATTCATCTTGATCTTTCCCGGCATTGGCAACTTCGAGGTTTTTGACCTCAGTCAAAATACTTTTGATCACGTTTCTTTCAAAGACGTCTGCTTTCATGCGAATGCTAGTTTTCAGGTCCTGTCTAAGAGCTTGGATCGCGCTATCATATGCTGCTGTATTTTTGAATCTTAATCCTAAACGGATGCTTTTGAGAGGTGCCGTTGTAAGTCTTCGGGTGGTTGGAAGCATAATCCAAGTGGAGAATTATCAAAAATAATAAAAATTACGTACTTTTATTTTTCCGTCGGGTAACTGAAAGCAAATCTTTACCGGCATTTCAGAAGCAATCTTATTGTAATAGTGGCCGGCTTACGAACCGCAGAGTGACTGAGGTTTAGGCGAAGACTAAATCAACACAAAGAGGGAGTCTGGATACCAATATCTGACTAGCAGATCAACACATCGCATAAGACATAATTTCACAAGTGATGAGCACAGGCAGCCGACGAGTGTTCACAGCGGAAGAGGTAGCTGCACATGTGTCACCGGACGATTTGTGGATGGTCATAAATGGCAAAGTATATGACGTGACAAGCCTGATAGAGCAACATCCAGGTGGTTCCGAGGTCCTTTTTGACTGCGCGGGTGTGGACGCCACGATACCATTTTATGATGTTTCGCACTCCGAAAACGCTTTCGAGATGCTTTCTCCCTGTTTTAAAGGCTACTTGAAGCGCGATGATAGTATAGAGCTCGGGGTATCAACGAAAAAGAAATCAAACAAATATTATAGGACTTTCCAAAAAATACGAGAAGTCCAACAACAATCCCAACAAGACAATCAAGCACAAAGGAATAATTCATTCATATTTATACTATCTTTGATGGCTTTCTCAGGGTTGGGGATGTTCATCTATCTTCAGCGGAAAAAATGGTCTGAATGGATATGATAACCGCTTACTCAATGGCCTGTTGTAGGAAGGCCAACAGAGACTTTGAAAGAATCATATATTAACCATTGGAATCCGGTCAGGGTACCTATCATCACAATTCTTGCCCCTAGACCATTCCAAAGTCCGCTGAACCCGATCCGCTTGTATATTCTACCGACTGCGGACAGCATTGACTCGCCCTTTCCTGACTCATTATTAATCAGTGAAACCATCACATCTGCCGGGTGAGACACAAGAGCGCAAAAGATACCAGCGACATAGCCTCCTGCGAAAGAGACACCTGTTTGTTGAATTTTGGAGTACTGTTCCTTAGGTTTGGTAAGGAAACTGGCATAAATCAGTTCGACGATCTTTTCAAAAGAAGTAAATTTAACACAGGTGTAAGGGATTTGTCTAAACCACAATGGGACCAGTCCTGAGTACAGGTTTGAGTATAAACCGACCACTGGATTTGGAGGCAGAGTAGTTTGGATTTTCACCTTCATGGACTCAAAGGGACACAAGGCAATGTCTGCAAGAAATTCGGCAGACGCGGAGGCAAGCATGTACACGTAGGCATTAGAAACACCAAAGAAATCGCTATATTTCTTTTTGAACACCTCGTAAAATCCGTATTTGCCACTTCCTTGTAGGCCGTAACCAATGAAAGTTGGCCCAATACCCGTGAACACTTTTCTCAAACCCTCGGTCTTGATGATGGACTTGATTCCGTCTAGATTTCCTTTGTAAAGACCAGGCTTCACTTGCAGTCTGCATTTCACCAGGTCAAGTGGCAGGACGCCCGAATGTGTGGGAGCACAAGCCAAGAACCCACCAGTAGCACAGGCAATGTAGTATTTAGATGAGTACAGTTCAATTTTGTCCGACGACATAGAGTTGTTAAGTTAACAAATGAAAACTTTGATGGTGCAACCGTAAATATATATATATATATGCAATTGGGCATCCGCAACTTCCAGATTAATAAGCCGCACAGCGATAAATAATAAAGTCAAAACTGGTTGCTAATCAGGTTTCATAGTCAAAGAAATTAGGATGAGGAAGTTCTAGCGGTAGAATTCCTGTCTATTTTTACATAGTGTAGCTTGTCTAGGACTGTGATCAGATAGGCGCTCTTTCTGGATGCAGAAGCGTTAGTTTGTAAGCAGATCACAAATACTTGCTCCCGCGGCTTTAGTGCTCAAGATCGAAGGATCTGTAACGTATGACTAAGCTAACTCCGTAGTTGGTACCCAATGATATAATCCTCTAAGGTGTATTCCTTCGAGACGTCACACGGCTATCCGGCTATCCCAGAATGGCAGTCCAATGAGCGCTTTGCAATCTTGCCTACCTCAAATGAGTGGGTGTTTTTGCCCAATTCGAGATGGTTCGCATTCAGTTCCTAGACAAAATCAATACGGTTGGTGTTCTGATAAGATACCAGTGGGCCAAGCGGAGTCTATGCGTTGGCAAATTATATTGTTTCGTCAGTAGGTTTTGCGGCCTTTTGCTCGGCAAGACTCCATAGTAGAATTGTCTCATAACCTCCCACCATCAACAATATCGGAGACACTGAGCTGAATTTTCATGTCAAACTTCATATAAGTAGGATTAAACCGAGTAAATTTTCACCGATCACTGAGTAGCGTGTTGACGCTGCCCCCTTCTATTCAAGTTGAGTTGTAGGTCTTAACTCGGCCTTTTTTGGTTGGTATGTCCAATGAAACCTGTCAGCAATAAACAAAGATTATCCAGCAATGCTGCAAATCAAAACCATATAAAGCAAACTCGTCTTTTGATAAAAAGCTGCTACAATCCTTCACATATTCACAGGTAGTTCTTAGGGGTTGGAAATTTGAAGAATACAGGCTCATAGCATGAATTATAGGTAAAGTCGGTTTGAATCCAGTTATGCAACGAAGTATTACAATGTACATGCTTATTTGGAAGGTGTAGATTCCTTTTCAAGGAATTCTGTCCATAGCGAAACAAACGACTGACTAGACCGGGGTGCAGAATTCTCGGCAATGGGTGTACTCGGAACGTTCAAGACGCTATTCGAATTGGTTTTTGAATGCGAAGATAGTAATCCCGCATGTCTTTTTTTCTCATCATCCCAGTTCAAAAAGTTCGAGATGAGTTGCAGCACCTCAAACTTCTTGGCGTCCGCCCTGGGTATCTGGAGAAACGAAATTAAAAGATTGGAGATCAGCTCGCGATCCACTGTTTCGGTTGTGGACTCTTTCTTGACTAATTTCATCGCTTTCATTAAATGCTCATTCAACACAATAGTCTCGTGTCTTAATTTGCCAATTGTAAGCTGCTTCTGCTTAACCTCATTCTCAAGATCGGTAATTCGCATCAGTTTTTGTTCAGCCTCTACCAGCTTCGACTTCATCTCTTTCAGCTGCTGATCCGCGGCAGTTGCTCTCGTGATATTGACCTCGATTTGATGTTGTAAATCGTGCTTTTCTTCCTCAAATGTCTGCGTAAGGTTTGTAATCCTGGACTCCAGATCTGTGATCCGATCTTGAAGTAATTTGCGTTCCTCCTGCAGAGCCTGGTTTTCAGTAACCACACTTTCATTTTTGGCTTTCGTTTCGTTCATTTCATGAATAAGGTTTTGCTTGGATATCTTTTCTTCGTTCACGATTATTAGATATTCCTCGATTTCGGACCTAAGCTCTTTAAGCTCCACTGCGTATTTTTTATTGGACGTTTCAAGCCTCTTGATCTCCAATGTTTGCTCGTCCTCTTTCAGTTGGGCACTCTTCTTGAGCATCGTGTAGTCTTTGCTCAGCTTATCGCATTCTGCATTCAAATTTGCTGCTTCATCTTTCAAAGACGCCACTGATAAGTTCAGCGCGTCTATAACTTTCTGCTTTTCCTCGACTTGACTCTCCAAAGTTTCAATCGTCTCCTTGCATGTCTTCAGCTCGTTTTGAGTATTCTCCAGCTCAATCTCTGATTCCTTCATTTTTTGAAAGACTGACTTCATTGAAGACAATCTGCTCAGCAGTGCCTGATAGTTAGATTGGTATTTCTCGCATTCCTGTGTTTTTTGTTCAAGCTGATCTTTCAAACTATTGGATTCCAGTCGTGAAATCTCTTTGTCTTTGGCTTCCAATTGTCGCTTGAGTTCCTCTATAATCTCTGTTTGATTCGCGGTAGAGACAGAGCTTTCTGTTCGCAAAGTTTGCTTGTCATCAGCCTGTTCGCTCTCCTCTTCAACAATGTCATGTTCTTTGTCTTCAGGAGCAGGGCGATTTTGTATTTCTTCAGGCTGGTTTTCGCTCTGATGAGTCTTTTCTACTTTTCTGTCCACATCTGGCCCTAACTCCTTGCCATTTTGCTTTTTCTTGTTTTTATTCTTCGCCATTCTGCAATTCAAATCTATGTACAGGTCCGAATTTATTTTGAGAATCTCCCACCCTGAAAATGTGTTGGCAAAAATGACAATTAAAAATTATTTGTAAATAATGCCAAGTTTTCGGGGCCCTTTCGAAAATTGAACACTCTACTCAATGAACATGGTCGACTCCTCGTATATCATTCTCGCAACGGGATTTATTATCAGGCTGGTAGTACCCGTTCTGTATCCACAGATCACTGCAATTCTCGATAAGTCTGTGTTGTTTTCGACGCCTATATCCTCGTTCAGATCTCTGCAAGAAGGAATATTCTTGCTCACAAATAACATTGATCCATACATTGGCGAGGTAGTTCACTTCCCCCCGCTTCTTCTGGCGCTTTTCTCCAAGCTGACACACTTAAACGTTGTTTTTGCAGCCCTCGACACTTCCATAGGGTTCCTCTTGGTGCAGATCAATAAAAATACAAAATACTCCACCAAATTCAGCTCAAAAGTGGTGGCCATCTTCTATGCATTTAACCCACTGGCTATTCTCTCGACTCTTTCCAAGTCAACAACAGTGATCAACAATCTTTCTCTGATTCTAGTATTTTACTTCACTCTCCAGAAGAAGTTCAAAGCCTCGATCGTAAGCTTGGCAGTTTCCACATATCTAGCTTACTACAACTGGTATTTTGTCGTGCCCTTGATGTTCTCGATCTACCAATCTACTGGTTTACAACAGGCAGTGGTACGCTCAATCATCCTATACATTGCTTCCATCTCGGCCTTACTGTATTCGAGTTACATCTTGACAAACAACTCGCTACGATTTCTGTATCTCAATTACGCGTCCGTTGTGCTATTCAAGAAAATCGTGCCCAATATAGGCCTGTGGTGGTATTTTTTCACAGAGATCTTTGACTTCTTTAGCAGCTTCTATCTCTCTGTGTTCAATATATATTCGTTTATTTTTGTCGTGCCTCTGGCCACAAGGTTCCGCAACGACTTGCTATTTGCTTCGTGGATTCTTGCCGGGTTCATGAATTTTGCCAAAGCGTACCCAACGGTGACAGATTTGAACCTGTTTTACTCAATGTTGATCATATTCAAGGTTTATTACAAGAAGCTCAAATTCTCTCCATTTCTTAGTTACCTCGGAGTGATTTTGATTTTGACCCTGCTGCCAATATTCTACTACGTCTGGATGAGCCTCAATTCTGGAAACGCGAACTTCTTCTACGCCATCGGCTTGGTGCTTAGCATTCTACAAACAATCATACTTTCTGATTTTCTGTGGTCCAAGATTCAGACAGAGTATTTCGAATCTAAAAATATCAACATTGACACGATTGTGAAGCTCACACAGATATAATAAGCTGGAACACACGCGCAGATTCGAGCCGATTTGAGATCTTACCAGATCCATCGGATATATGTCCAGCCTTCAACATTTAGTAGAACATCAGGTGCAGGGGTTCTAGACCACTAACAATGCTGCTCCAAAATCTGTATTGTTTTACAAACGGAATGCTTCCTCAAAATGCAAGGAGAGAATGGCGTTCTCTCGCTTTTCCTTATTCAGTTGAGCTAGCAAGCCAATCATATTGAATAGATTTACCACCGTAATAAAAAGTTTGTTTACGTGTACTGCAGAAAAACCAAAGGTGCAAACCTAAAAACCAGCAGCCAAGAAGGAACTTAATGCGGCACGCTTCGCAATGCTTCAGATCCGTAGCCAAGTAATAACTCGCCTATTGATTTTTAAGTCTAACCATGCAGATGAAGATGCACAAACTTCTTGACCAGCGCGTTGTGGGAGAGCACCGCAGGAAGGCCGGGCCACATCATGCATGACCCGATGCCGTTGTGGTTGCTATTTACGTATATCGACTGCCTAATTCGTCACTCAAAATGTTACCAGGTAAAATCCATTTCCTCTTTGGGACAGTTTGTTTTCTACATTAGGAAGCGGGGCAGCTGATGGTGTTTACATTCTCCAGTATGCAAAATTTTACCACAACAGAACCCAGCCCCCCAAACGTTATAAATATGGGTTGTCCCAACTGAGATATTTCAGTAACGAACCAACTTTCTTCGCTCTTTCACAAATGCAATTCTCCGTCGCCACCTTGCTCTTTGCTGCTACTTCTTTCGCTGCCTCCTCCGTTGTCTTGACCAAGACCGAGGCTAGCACTGTCTCCGAGACCATCACTTCTTGTGCGGAGTCCGTCACTAACTGCCCAGCCAGAAACAGCTCTTCTATTTCTACTTACGAGGGTGGTGCTGCTGCTGGATTCGGCTCCTACTACGCTGCTGGTGCTGCTGCTGTTGCTGCTGGTGCTTTGTTGTTGTAAGTGCCGTTGCCTTACTAGAGCGCGCTATCTAAGCTATTTGGTAGCTAGTTAGTGATACCTATATATCGGTTTAATATTCGACAATAAACATCTCTCGGTGGATAGAAAAAGCAATATAGTAATCTTATTTTTCGCTTGTCTATTTATTACACAGTAGGACTAGCATTCCGCTTGGAAAGAAGCCCATTCCTAGAGTAGTTTACATAGCGCGACCTGCTCTCAGAGTCAGTCACCTTTCGGAATGCGGTCTCCATAGCTGCTTTCAGATTCTCGTTGGTTTCGAGTGTCTTTTCGTAAGCTTTTCTCGACTGTTCCAATTCCTGCAGTTTATTGTCATCGCTCTCTAATTTCAAGGCCTCTATTTTCTGCCTCAACTCGTCTATTTGTTTCTGTTTCTCCTCCGTTTCGCGTACAGAATCCTCCATCGATTGGGTTGCCCGATCACGCTCAATTAGCATATACTTGCGTTCAGAACCAGCGGACTCAACTTTCAAGCGCAGTTTTTCTATTTCCTCCTTCAACCTTTGAATTTGTATGTCTGCCGTCAGCCACCTTTGAGCACCTTCTGCCTTCGGAACCTTTTCGGAAAGGATCTCTTCAATTTCGGATTGTTTTTCTGTGACTGAACCTTTTAATTTGCTTATCTGCTCGTTCAACTCGGTAATCTTCTTGCTGCGCTCGTTGCTCAGAAGTTCCTGTTCCGCTAACTCGGTCGTTATCTGCTGATTCGTCGATAAGATCTCTCGCATACCATTATTGTGGGTATCATAAAAACGATCAAAGGACTCAAGTTCTTTGTTGAGCAAAATTAAGTCCTCGAGTTTCTGGTCGAATTGAGACATCAGCGTATGGGTCAGTATCTGGTCCATCGCAATTTCTTTTGATATACCGGTAACTTGCTTACTATCTGAGTTGAGCTCATTTGACAGATATTTCTTCTCCAGACGTTTCGACTCGTAGAAGTCCGTTTTCCTGTTGTTCTTGCTTTTAAATCTAGGCTGGATGATGTGTCCTATCATCTGTGTCTTTCCGTTAAAATTGAAGTTCAAATTCAAATCGTTATCTTTGGTTTCCTCTTCTTTCAAAAAGTCGTCATTATCGAAATTGAACTTCACTTCGGTCAAAAGTGACTTCTCAACATCGCTGGCGGTATACATGGGGATGGACGTCAAGTCCAAAAGAGGCCACTTGTTCACCTCTGGATCACGTAGCCAGTTAGTAAGAAATTCCAGGTTCTTGTTGTAAATAGGACGCAACTCCGAAGGCAGTTGTCCCACCCTATCTCTCAAAACCACCAGAGCTGCTGTAACCGGCTTCAGGTAATCGTTGTAATTTCTGGTAGCTACCAAATCACGGTAGTAAAGAGCAATATGCTCGATAGAGTTGATGGGCACCAGTCGCAAGATTCTTGTGCTTCTGTTTCTGAGTTTTAGAACTTTGTCGTGGTCCAAAGAACAGCTGATATCAAATGAAATGATGATTTTCATTCTGGTGGTTGGTTCGGCGGTCAGATTCTTCATGTCAGAGGGGAATAGATGCACATTCAAGTTGACATGTTTCTTGTTTGATCCGGATGCTTCTTTCAGCTTTGTCCCAGAGTACCGCTTAAAATTGCATTTCTGGCCTAGACAAAGCGCATCTATCAGATCCAATGTCTTCCCTGGTCTCGCAATAATCGCGACGTCAAAACTTGGTTTGTCCTTGACATTGTATATTCCATCGAGCAGATTGAGCAGATCGCTCAAAATTTTGAATTTGCAGCTCGTCTCCGAGAGTCTTTTGGGGATATCTCTTGCGGTAAGACTTTTAGGAAAGTAATGGTCAATCAGAAGATATGGATGCGAGCAGACCAGTTGGGTATTCAGCAACATTGTTTCTAAAGAGTCAAGCACCACACGATCGTTCTCGCGAGCGTCGTCAACCCGTTCAAAGAACTTGAGTATATCACTGTAGTGGAGGGACACGATTTGGTCTGTGAGTTCTTTTTGGAAATCGCTCATTGGGGTCGGTATTTTATAGTCATTCGACATTTGGTAGTCCTCATTCACATTGAAGTGCTCGTCTGCAATAGTTGGCTCGGGCTTGGCATCCAATATCTTTAGTAAATCCATTTTGTGCAGAGATATAAATATTGTCTAAAATATTTGTCATTAAATTTTGAAAAGTTGTTATCATGGTTTCCAAGACTCTCAGCGAAGGTATGTAAAAATCTGTCAAAAACTAACTATCAGACGAGATAAAGCTTTATGACCGCCAGATTAGGTTGTGGGGAATGGAGGCCCAGACCCGAATGCGTGGGTCACGGGTGCTTGTGGTGAACCTCACCAGCGTAGGTTGCGAGGTAGTCAAAAACCTTATGCTCGGAGGCATTGGGGCCATCACTGTGATTGACTCGTTCAAGGTGCTTGACCAGGACCTGAATGCTAATTTCTTCATTGACAAAACTCAGGTTGGGCAGCCGAAAGTGCTTGCTGCCGAGGCCAGAATTAAAGATCTAAATCCTCGGGTAAATCTGACCGTGAGCACTGACGACTGGCAAGAAAAACCTGAGGATTATTTTCTATCTTACAACCTGATCGTTGCCACAGGGCTGGATAAGACGCAACTAACCAGACTCAATGCGATCACAAGAAAACTAAAAATCCCGTTCTACGCAACAGGCACACACGGTCTCTACGGTTATATCTTTGTCGACCTAATTGAGCACGAGTCGTCTGTGAAATTCGAGAAAAACCCTAGTCCAAAGAAGGTCGGCGCGCTCAACCCGACCTCTGAGATTGTGAGTATCACCGAGGTTGTGGAGAACGACGTCGAATTGCAAAACTGCATTGTCAAAAGCAGGTTCGTTCCGCTTTCTGAGTTATTCAGCAACGACAACGATAAGCTTAAGCATTATTTTCCTACGCCACGAAAGCTCAAAAAAATAAGTCCCGTGCTGCCCATTCTGCTTGCGCTGCTAGAGATACCGTCGCAGATAGGCAAACCGATCGAAGATGTCGTTATCGACTCAAAGGAGCTCGAGTCGAAGGTGGCAGAGGTTGTCGGCCATTTGAAGCTCCCTGAAGAAATTATCAGACCCGAGCTTGTGGAAAAGCTGGCACAGCAGGGATTCTGTGAGTTCCAGCCCGTCAGCGCGATTGTTGGCGGCGCGGTGTCGCAGGATCTGATCAACATGCTGGGACGCCGGGAGCTGCCGATGAACAATTTTGTGGTCCTCGACGGCTTTACTAATGAAATGCCAATTTACACTCTATAAGTTACTATTATACAGATTGACGCATCGGTCCCAGCCGCCAGATACAATCGTCTGGTCATCAGGAGCAATGTCACAGCACATAAGCTTTTCTGGCGCCTTGAACTGTTTGATTACAAGCCAGTTGTCGCAGGAAAGAATATTTAGGTTGCCGTCGTAAGACGTGGTCACCATGAACTTGTCGTTGCCAGACACTTTTATGTCGGAAATCAGCTTTTTGTGCGCCACAATATTCTGCTTCGGTTTGCGGTTGTTTCTAATGTCCCACACTTTCAGATTGGCGTCTCCACCGCCCGTGAGAAGCTCAAATCCGTTTTTCCTCCAGTCCATAGCATATATCCCCTTAACGTGGTCCTCCATCACCATGATCGACTTTCCTGTACGCAGGTCCCATATATGGCCAATCCCGTCTAAACCGCCACTGGCAAGCAGAGACCCGTCTGGCTGGTGGGCCAAGGTAAACACTTCTTTCGAATGGCCCTCTTGGTAGTATAGCTCTTTATTTGTCTCGACATCCCAGAACCTCCACGTTAGGTCGAACGATGAAGACGCCAGGAACCGGCCCGAGGGATGAAATTGTATTCGGGCCACTCTCTGCTCGTGCCCTTGGAGAGTGGCTACCACGGCTTGTGTATCGGCGTTGTGCAACAGGACCAGCCCTTCGCCTCCACTGGTAGCCACCACACTGGTTACCTGGGGGTGCCAATCTATGCCACCCACTTTTTCCTCGTGTCCGTCCAAAACTGCCAGCCTTTCGAGCTGCTGATTCATCAAGTACGTCTTGCCGTCCCACGAGCCACAGGCCAGGTATCTCTGGTCATTGGAGTATCGCAACACAGACGTGCAGCGGTCAGAAACCACCTGTGAGCCCTGGGCGGCAATGTGCTTCAGCGACTCGTTGTACTTGCGACGCTCCTGCAGCACCTCCACGGGTCGATGATTCTGATAATATTCGGTTTGAGACTTGATTCTGTCACGAGCCCTTGCAAGCGAATAGTTGGCCAGAAAAACACGGGCCTGATACAGCTCCTCGCCCCCTGGCGTGTAGAATTCTTCGTCTCCGTCGGCATCTAAACCATCCTCGCGGTCTAGCCCCGTGATGTCTGCAAAGCGAGCGCGAAAACCTTCGTCTCTGGCGAGCAAATCGACCAGTCGTTCGCGCCGATCTGCCTTGTCCTCGCCAAAGTAAGTTTGGGGCTCGCCCAGGGCCTGCAGCATGCGGCGCACATCTTCGTCGATCGTCGGGACCCGTCTGAGCACGTCCTTGAACTCAAGCTCGCTCATGCCAAAAAATAAAAGTGAAAATGCGATTTGGTGCAAGGATGAAAAGGCCCCGGAATCATCATGTATAGTCACCTCTCGGAGTATGGGCCGAAAGGTGCATCCGGGCCTTTGTCGGTGCCGTGTCTGATGGCACCATCAAGGTGTATGCGACAGTATAGCGAGCACTGGAGGTGGAATGGAAAAATGGTCGAACGGAAATGACGTGTAGCTCACGCCTTTTCCCCGGACTTTCCGTATTCGGTATCCAAAGATATTTTTTTGGTAGCAAGGATTAAAGCATCTTTTGGTCCCCCGATGTCCCGCGACTGATCAGGGGATATGGAAATGAAAAATGACGCAAATATATAAAGAGGCAAATTCTGGGGTAGTTGTACTTAGTTGAAAAATGGCATACACACAGATCAACATCGACCAAGAAGAGCGCGACTTCCAGAAGGAAGTCGAGGAGATCAAGAAATGGTGGGCAGAGCCTCGCTGGAAGGGCATCAAGAGAGTCTATCCGGCAGAGGAGATTGCGAAAAGACGGTCCACCATCAAAAACCCTAACGCTTCAGACACGATGGCAAAGAAGGCGTTCAAGTTGCTCGAGGAGCACCACAAAAATAAAACTGTTTCCTTCACCTTCGGTGCCTTGGACCCAATCCACGTGACGCAGATGGCCAAGTATCTCGACACGATCTACGTTTCTGGCTGGCAATGTTCTGCCACGGCCTCCACTTCCAACGAGCCTTCACCAGATCTTGCCGACTACCCTATGGACACTGTTCCTAACAAGGTGCAGCATCTGTTCTTTGCTCAGCTTTTCCACGACAGAAAACAGAGACACGAGAGATTTTCTCTCTCCAAGGAGGAGAGGGCCAAGCTGCCATACATCGACTTCATGAGACCGATCATCGCCGACGCCGACACCGGCCACGGAGGTATCACTGCTATTGTCAAGCTGACGAAGCTCTTTATTGAGGCCGGGGCCGCAGGAATTCACATCGAGGATCAGGCCGCAGGAACGAAAAAATGCGGCCACATGGCCGGTAAGGTGCTGGTTCCTATCCAGGAGCACATCAACAGACTGATTGCAATCCGTACCTCGGCCGACATCTTTGGCTCGGACCTGCTGTGTGTGGCCAGAACCGACTCTGAGGCCGCCACTCTGATTACCTCGACGATCGACACAAGAGACCACTATTTCATTATTGGTGCCACCAACCCAGACGTGGAGCCCCTGGTGGAAGTCATGAACAGAGCCGAGCAAGAAGGTGCGTACGGTGCAGAGCTCGAGGAGATCGAGAAGCAGTGGACCGAGAAGGCAGGCCTGAAACTGTTCCACGAGGCAGTCATTGACGAGATCAAGGCGTCTGATATCAAGAACAAGGACGAGGCAATCAAGAAATTTACCTCGACCGTGACTCCATTGAGCGGCCACTCGCACAGACAGGCCAGGGAGCTGGCCAAATCGATCCTCGGAAAGGACATTTTCTTCGACTGGGACGCTCCAAGAGTCAGAGAGGGCTACTATAGATACCAGGGAGGCACGCAATGCGCCATCAACCGTGCGAGAGCGTACGCTCCGTACGCAGACATGTTGTGGATGGAGACGAAGCTACCAATCTACGAGCAGGCCAAAGAGTTTGCAGAGGGTGTTCTAGCCAAGTATCCGGAGAAATGGCTTGCCTACAACTTGTCTCCTTCGTTCAACTGGAACGCTGCCATGTCTCCTGCCGACCAGGAGACATACATCAAGAAGCTGGCCGATCTTGGCTTCATCTGGCAATTCATTACTCTTGCTGGTCTGCACACCACCGCCTTGGCAATTGACAACTTTGCCCGTGACTATTCCAAGATAGGAATGAAGGCCTACGGACAAAACATCCAGGCCAAGGAGATCGAGGACGATGTTGAGGTTGTCAAGCATCAGAAATGGTCTGGTGCCACATACATTGACAGCATTGTGAAACTCGTGTCTGGAGGTGTTAGTAGTACTGCTGCGATGGGAGCTGGTGTTACTGAGACCCAGTTCCAGAATGGTAAGAAATAACGGTAACTAAATATATGTGCTAGTATTTATTTTCTGAATTATTATATTTTGAATGTGAGAGATTAAATATTGCTAAGTGGTAGCTGGTGTATGCAGTGGTATACGGCAACGCAGAATTTTGCAACATTGTGCCAGAATGAAAAGCCCTTTATGAAGTAGCTTGCCTTATTTCTTCACAGTAGCTTCTCTTATAGCATGGTAGGCCTCTGCAACGTGATTCTCGTCTAATATTTGTATCCACCAAATTTCTTCCATTTAGTAGCACAACTTTTTTTCTGTCGCATAATGTTATGATTTATCACAAATGACGTTAAAAGACATCTCGAATATTTCGGTCTCCCGACGCATGGACGACAGGTCTCCTCCCCGCAAGGCAATGAAATCAGCAAAGGTCATTGAAAACATTCAACGGAGCAGAGAAGTGGAGCTCCAGAAGGTGCTGGAGTGGAAGGACAAGAACCAGCAGGAACTGAATGATCTCAACAGTGAGCTGTGGAGAATCCGCACAGACCTGCCAGAACTCGAGCTGGATCTTGAAAAGCTGAACAATCAGCTTTCTGAGCTTGAAAGGCAGTACAAAGAGAAGGAAAATGAGCTTGCAGAGGCAGACAAACGGTTAGAAAGCGAGATTGCAGAACTTAAACAGGAGTTCGAGCTCTACCGGTGCAACACAGAACTGGACTTCAACCGCAAAATTGAGAAGCTTAGTGCAGATTGTGACTCAAAGGTTCAGAGAGAAATAGCCCAAAAACAGGCGGCATACATGGATTCCAGGCGGAAATTGGAGACGAGGAAAGACGAGCTTCTGAAACAAATCGACGAGGAAAATATGCATTTCCAGCGTGAGAACGAGCGCATTATGGAACGGAGACGCGTCAGGCTGGAAGCTGTGGACAGAGAGTTTGCAAGAGAATTGAATAATTTGGAGTTGGAGAAGAGAGAGATTTCCCAGGCAGTTTCTGCTGTCGATCGCAGGTGGGAGGCTGTGGAGGCAGAAATTGCCCGAAAAGAGGAAGAGACCCAGAAACTTGAGTCCCAAGTGGAGTCTGAAAGTCACAAGTCCGCACATTTTGAGGAAAAGACGGCCGAGATACGTCAGGAGATACAAATGATTGATACTGAGTACCAAAAGAAAGCTCGGCTTCTGGAGCAAAAAGAGCATGATGCCCAGAAATTTGTTAGCTCTACTGTTGCGTTGAAAGAACAGCTTCTGGCCGAAGAACTGGCTCGTCGCAAAGCACATAATACTCTCCAGGATCTAAAAGGAAACATTCGTGTTTTCTGCAGAGTCAAGCCAGAAAAGGATGAAAACAGTTTCAAACACCAAGTGTTTGTGTCCACGGACTCAAGCGACGGCAAAGAGCAAATCATAATCACCGAGCCGCTGCTCACGCATCAATCATCCCACACCTTCAACAAGCCGGCTCCGAAGAACTACAAATTTAGTTTCGATAAGGTGTTCGGCATGGACTCCACCAACTCAGAAATATTCGAAGAAATCAGCCAGCTGGTACAAAGCGCCTTGGACGGCTATAATGTGTGCATTTTTGCTTACGGTCAGACAGGTTCGGGCAAGACGTTTACGATGTCGAGCGCGACGGACGGAATCATCCCGCGTGCTGTTGACCTGATATTTCAAAGAAGCCGTTCTGCCAAAGACAATGGCTGGGAGTTCAGTATCGTGGGCCAGTTCCTGGAAATATACAATGAAAACATCAACGATCTGATGACAGAGTCTTATCTGCGCAACCTGGACGCTGTGAAGCACGAAATCAAGCACGACGAAGCTACGCGAACGACTACGATCACCGACATGACCACCGTTGCACTAGAGAACCAGGAGCAGGTCGCCCAAATTCTGAAAAGCGCCAACAAGAACCGTGCCACTGCGTCCACGAACGCTAATCATCGCTCGTCGCGATCTCACTCCATTTTCATGATCCAACTGAATGGCTACAACGCGAAAACCAAAGAGACCATCAACGGAAAGCTGAACCTCATTGACCTGGCCGGGTCTGAGCGCATCTCGCAGTCGATGGTCACTGGAGATCGGCTCAAAGAAACGCAATCCATCAACAGGTCTCTCAGCTCCCTGGGTGATGTGATAACCTCTCTGTGCAAAAAGAGCCCGCATATCCCATACAGAAACTCAAGACTGACCTACCTTCTGCAGTACTCGCTTGGCGGAGATTCCAAGACCCTCATGTTTGTTAACGTATCCGCCAACTTACAGCATTTTAGCGAAACACTCAACTCGCTCCGCTTTGCCACCAAGGTGAATAATACACAGCTGCAGACGAAACAGTGAATAAGTATATTGCATTACATAAGAAGAGGTCGTTCCGGATTGTATCCCTCATCCAGAGGTTCGTTTTCTGTGCTGCTTAGCTCGCCGCTCTGTTTAAGCTCTAACCATAGTGCAGGGTAGTGGCGCGTCGCAAAGCGCTCAAAGTTTGTTCTCACGTCTCGATCCACACACCAGTTGTACATGTCACGAAGAACACGTCTGTCTATCAAATGGCCTCCATCGCTATGGAAGTTCTCCTCCAGAACGCGCAGCGCTGTCTCGTATTTACCAAAGGAGCAATGTGCGATCAAATACTCGCCAAAAATGCGCGGGTCTGCCAGCACATCGTACGCCGACAGACTAGTGTAGAAATCCGTCACATGCTTAAGTGTGTATCCCCTGAGAGAACGAAGCATCCAATAGCAGCTCTCTGCGTTGAGTCCACGCGATTTCGGCAGCGAATAGGCGATATGGAACGCGTCTCTCACTTTGAAGGAGTCCTCAATGGCGCAGTAGCCTTCCATTATGGCGTTAAGCAGCCTGATGTCCATGTTGATAGCCAGATCCATCTTGGCCCCCAAATGGAGTTTTTGCACGCCTTCCACGAATTTGCACCGCGCAAAGGAGCGGAAAAGATAGATATAGACATCCTCGTTCGGAGGAGCGATCTTTGCCTCTTTGCTGAGCGCCTTGAGGTTTGCGAACATCTTGAGTGCTCGTCTGGGCTCGTTGTGAGAAATGAAATATTCCATCAGACGATAATACTTGTCATATGGAATAATGAAGTTTTCATGGAGAAACTCATACACGTGCCAGTTTCGAGTGGTACTGGCCTCTGCGGTGGTGCTATATTCATAGAACGACTCGAATATGGGCTCATATTTTGTCACAGATTGGCGTTCGTCCTTTGAATGCTCCACCACTTCTCTATGGAAAAGCTCCATGGCGTCTCCCGCGCAGTCTTGCTCCAGAAACATGTCTATCATGGCCCTGAGAGCAGCCTTGTTTAAGGAGTATCCATAGTTCTTGATCCGCTTGTACAAGATCACCTTTAAGGTGACGTCATCATCGCTGTTTCGAGAGTACATTTCGAGCAAACGGAACAGAACAGGAGCAAAAATGCTATTTTCTTCTTCGCCCCACTCTATAGGCTGTTCAAGGGACCCTTCGAACAGCTCCAAGGCTTCTTTGCATTTGCCGACATCCAACTGGTGTTCGATCAAGGCAGCATATGTTTCGGCCGTCGGCGTCACTGTATACTCTGACTCGAAAAAATCAGTAATAGCCTTCACAAAGTCCAGGCTCTTTTCCGAGTAGCAGCATGCACCCACCACGTAGTTCAAGGTTGCAGTGTCATTAACACGGAAATCTTTTTTGTAAGTATGTTCGAGATCGTAGTTGATTTTGCGTATCATATCGATAACGCTTCTTTCGTCCGCAGCCCTGTACACTTTGATTTGCATATATGACAGCCATTCGTGCCGGGTGAACTCAACAAATTCGTACTCTAGATTCTCTAGTAAACTCTCTGCCGCCTTGCTGTGGCCCAGTTTAAGCGCGGCAGAAACAATGGCAGCAAGCTCCTCGTCCCTGATTTTTTTCCCCAGTTTGTTCCTGAAACACTCCGTCAAGCTCACTAGTCTATCCAATATTTCCTTCACGCACCCATTGAACTTGTTCTTAGTGGCGAAAAACAGGAGATTGATGTACTCGTTCAACGGCTGATCTTTTTTGTGCTCCAAAACCGCAACAACCTCGGTTAATCTTGCGGCCACCTGGTTATCCTCGTAATCTCGCCCGATTTCAGCATCTGCAGCAATGAAAAACGTACCAAGAAGCTTCTCAGACCGCTTCTCATCACCCAGATCACATATCTCGAACAATTTGACCACCGTCGCAGTGTCTGGAGTGACCGTAGCGAATGCCTCCAAAGCTATGTCCACCACATCCATCTTCACGTCGTCACGCCTCAAAGAAGCTTCCTCCTCTATAAACGCCTCTATTGCCCTGATAGCTATGTTGGGTTTGTTGCTCACTAGCACGTAATTGAGAAACAGCTCAAATAATTGCAGTCGTATATTTCTATCCTGTTGGTACTCTTTGGATCCCCTCAACGAGGTGTAGAACCGTGGAAAAAAATCTATATTTTTCACCTCCTCAGCAGTAATAGCTGGAACAGCAGCTCCTAAAAGTGCCAGCATTTCCTGGGCGGTAAACACGTCCATCGGGTCTGATTCTCGATCGATCGCATGGACAATCCTGTTTATAAAAGGAAGCTCGTTTTTGGAGAATTCTGACCCCGCCATGCAATATAGTAGTTGTCTTAGCTTTCCGCGGAGCTGATCGGCCTTGCCTTTTGGAGCAATATGCTTGGAGAAATATATGGCCCGGAGGTCTGATTTGAGATTGGAGACAAGCTCCTCCAAATTGGTGTGTTCGGTGGAAACCGTGGACGAGAACCTGGCTGAAATAATCGGCATCCCCACGGAAGACGTTCTCTGCCTGCAGATAGCCAATGACGGGCCCATCGCACGCTGGCGACAATGCCTCAACGTCTTAAGAAATCGATCCATCAATATTTAGATAAAAAAGGTGGGGCAGCTCCTCAAAATTTGTATGAAAGGTGCACAGCCCAGAATACTTTAGACAGGTGTATATATACAGGCCATTACTTGGAAATCTCGTTGCCGTACTCGTCGTACGTCTTGGTGTTTTTTTGGTACGCACGGACAGCCCAATTGTATCCGACAAATTGTATGTCCGGGGCGCTGGCGCCATCAGTCTTGGTGTATTCGCTCCAGAACTTCTGCGACTTGAGTCGCTCGTCCTCGGGAGGAAAGCCGTTTTCAAGCCGCAACTGCGCAACTTTTTCGCGCAAATAGTCACAAACACGGCTGCGCAGAGCCTCTGCCTCTTTGCCGAATTTGAGCTCAAACGACAGATCATTCGGATGAAACTTGTCGTGGTATTTATCGCATAAGGCACGCCATTCGGCACGGAATGCCTCTATAATACGGTCATCCAGGGCCTTGCCTATGTTGACCGTGATTGTTGAGCCGATTCCCTGCGGAAGCACAGAGTCTACCACGTCGTCGACCTTGGCTTCGGGGACGATTTTTTCGAACCCGTCGGTGAAAATGGGCACCACAACGGGAGCCACCGTTGGTTCGAGGATCAGTCTGGCAGTGCCCCACCGAAAGAAGCGCATCGAGTTATTATGTGGAGGTTTCAACTGGCAAACGTAGCCCTCGGGGAAAATGTGGACCCAGGACGTTTTATATCGAAGAACAGGCGGAGTGTATCTCGGAGAGTAGAAGGAGCGCACGTCGGTCGCCAGAGGGCTGCCAACCGGGACGCTTTTTTCACTACCTTGGAAAATATGGTCAGTATCCAGTGTATCGTCTGGGGACAAAATTCGAACCAGCGCGTCTAGACCCCCTTGAAAAGGCCCACGGCCAAATCTCTCACAGGCAAATAACTTTCCAAGTGAAAAGAATGTGCTGCTCGCCTTCGAATTGAAACAGATATTGGAGGCGGCAAGGCCCCATCTAATGTCGTCCAGCGAAAGAAAGTATCTCCACGGTAGACAAGCCCAAATAAACGGGTCATCACAAACAGACATGTGGTTCATTAGCGTGAGAAATCCGCGGTTTTCGGCGCGAGCTTTTGCAAGCCCATGGTCTAGATTATCCAGACCCTTGACATTAACGTTGTAGAACAGACCTAGGATGGCTTTGCTACCACCCACCACGGCCATGCATGTGGCATGCGAAAAAAAATTCCAGATGCGTGACCTTTTAGGACGGTCCTTCAGGATAAACTCGTCCCCTCGCTGCAAAACATCGTAGAACGACATGTGCGAAGCAAGAGCTTGATCTTCGAGATTTGGAAAAAAAAAATAGAAGTGATTAGGTAAATTGCTAGGACGGGTCACGTGAAACCAGTCACGCGGAAATTATTCAAGTTGGGGTGTTTAGATCAGTTCGGAGTGTGGCTTGCACTTCGACAATTGGGGCATGTAGCAGTGAAACCACCATGTCATCTAAGCGAATCACACAATATAAAGTCAATCGTTGCAGCGAAGCGGCTGCGGTCCTGCAAAACTTATCAATCACCATAAAACACCCAACTGACTACACCACTACCATCTGGCTATCGGTTGAGATAATCAATTTTCGTGGCTATTTTTGATATACCAAGAGCCTTGCTACCGGAGATGCCTACATGCGGCTTTTTGCCGGCGGGAGAAATGCAATTGCTATAGAATAGCTGCAACAGGACGTGTTGCAAGTAGCAGCAAAAATAGAGCTCCAAACGAGCGATTGTTGTCATCCCAGCCGGCCTTTTCCTTAACCTATGAACCACGACTGTTTTTTTGATCTGAAGGAGTTCTGAATGGATATGCTGTCTCCTTGAAGCAGCGTCCTTAAGATACAACCTTTACGTTTTACTGTAACACAATTCTGGAAATCCTAGGCCGTCCACTTGAAGTCGTAAAGGACTGTGGTACAGTGTGCGGTTACTATTTCTCTGTGGAAACGTATGAGAAAGTCGGAGGTGCCTGAGCCATAAACAACCTAACCCATCGACGACATGGATCGCAGATGCATGGATCAAGCACCATATGCCCACCCACCCAAAAGTACATACAAGCTACAATAATTCATCCACTCATTATCCGTATATCACTTCCTTTTCTCGCTCACCTGCTCGACCTTGACATCTTCTAGACCCTTGTCCTTCAAAAGCCCCAAAATGTACGTTTCCACCTCGTCCCCCACGTCTCCCTGGATAACCACCTCGTCCTTCTTCTCAGCATTCTTTGTCACCGACGCGCCCGTGGCAAACTTCGAGGCGAATGTCTTGGCCATCTTCTTCATGTCCACGTCGAAAACCTCGAGACCTGCGATGGCAATAACGTGCTTGTGTTTTGTGCGCTGGATCCGCTTTATCAACACCCTTGAGCTTTTAAGCGACTGGAGCTCGCGCTCCAGCTTGCGCTCCTCTTTGAGCTGCATCTTGGCGAGCGACTCAGAGATCTTGGCCTCTTTTTCAGATGACAGCGACGAGTTGTGCGCGCTTTCGGAGTACAGTTTTTTGTAGAGCTCCGGGTCGTCCTCCTCGAGCCAGGCCTTACATTTCTTGAACTTCTTGCCAAACTCACAGAACTCCACCGGGAAGCTGCACACGCCGCAGTATTTGACCTGCACAGGAGACACAGCGCTCATGGATATATGGGAAATAAAGATGAATTTTTTCTTCACGGCTGTGCTCCCTTGAATTTCGAATTGCTGTAAAAATTGTTTACCATCGCGTTGCACAAAATATAAGAAATGGCCGCCTACGCAAGTCAAACGGTGCCTCAGCTCAAGGAACTGCTCAAGCAAAGGGGTCTGCCGACCAACGGGGTGAAGGCAGACCTGATTGCGCGTCTGGAGGAGTCTGACAAGATTGAGGCCCAACTCGACGCGGGAGAGGAGTCTGGCGCGAGAAAGGACGAGCCGGCGCCAGAAAAGGAGCCACAGCCGGTAGACTCAAAGCCCGAGGAGAAAAAGCAGGAGCCGGCCGCTCAAAAGACGGCTGCAGGAGCCGAGAAACCGCCACAGGGTGCCGCGGCCCCGGACTCCAAGGAAACGCCAGAAACCGCGAGGGAGGAGAAGAAAAACCTCAATCCAGAGGAACTGAAACAGGCGGCGATCGAGCTGCTGAACAAGAAGATTGCCCGGGCAAGAAAGTTCGGCAACGAGGAGGACATTGCACAGCTGGAGGCCAGTCTCAAGCGGATCCACAAGTTCGGCATTTCGCTGGACTCGGCGCTTGCCAGAGACCTCGGATTCAGACCGGAGAAGCCTCGCCAGCCGCAGGGGTTCAAGAACGGCAAGAAAAAGTGGCGCAAGTGACGGTTGTAACATAGGCAGAGTGTAAGCGTAGATATACACAGGTGTGCGGTGTGCGGTGTGCGGCGCGAGGAGTACACACTCTGGCGTTCGCGACCGTTGTGCATGGAATCTATTGTTCGCTATTGTGAAGAGCAGCTCAATTTATAAAGTGTAGATATCACAAGAGTTTTGAGTAGAAGGTGACATTCACGGGAGGCTCCAGAGCAAATTTGCGTACAGTTATTTTGCTCAACTTCGCATCATAACCAGATCTTGCCCATACGCACCTCCCTCTGATTATCGCCACCTTTGCCATGTCCCAGAAACAAGATCAGAAACCGGCAGGGGGGTTGTTGACCGCCCCCCACCCCTACCGTCCACAGGTCCCCGATCCGCAATATATCGTCAACGTGCTGAACCTGCCGCGCACCATGACCAGAGTAGACCTGGAAGAGCTGCTGGAACCGCTCGCAATCGACCTTGACGCTATCGGAAGCGTCCAGATCTACGAGATGCATACCAACGGGCTGTCTGTGGCGTCGCTGGGGATGGACGACTACGAAGCGGCGGCGAGGATCGCGAGCAGGCTGGACGGGTACGAGTACTACAGCGTGGTTTTGCAGTGTCATATGCTCAGTGCGTATCAGCCACAGATTCCTGCTAAACAAGGTGTTGCTCCGTTCTTCTCCACAATCGAGCCTGTGCCGGCCCCGATGGCGCCCTTCATCCCCTACTATACGTACGGAATGCCCGTTCCCGGACAGAGATCTGTGTCGTTTCCCTACGTCGAACCCGCACTCGCCACAACTGCCGCCCCTCCACACAATCACCAGGCTCGCGCATACCGCTCCCCCAAAAAATACCCCGGTAAGACCAGGCAGCGCGTGGAGCTCGGCAATAATTATTCTTCGATCCTGAATCCAGACTTCGACGAGGACAGCTCTGCGTCCGAGTCCGAGTCCTCTGTCGACGACAACGACCGGCCTGCCGAACAACTCGTCCAGTACACCGCGGCAAAGTACGTGAGTCCTACGCGGCTATTTGTCGGCAACATCCCGTTCCACGCGACGTATCTCTCTGTGCTGAAATTTCTGAACTCGGGACGGCCCAAGATCGTCCAGCTGTATCTCAAAACGCAGCCCAGCGGAGTCTCAAAGGGGTTTGCGATCGCGCAAACGACAAGTCTGGAGGACTCGGTCGAGCTTATCGAAAAATTCCACGGCGCACGGTTCCAGGGCCGCAGCCTCGTGGTGCGGTTCGACAAGCTGCCAAAACTGGTGGTGAAGAGCCACAACATCAAGAAGCGCAAAAACATGGAGAAAAGGCAGCTGGACGAAAAGGAGAACGAGCAGGACCAACCCGACGGGTCGCCTGCGGGACAGCACTCCGTTGGCGAAGAAAAACATGTAGCCCAGGAGCTGGTGCTAGCCATAAACAACATGAAGGTCTCATAGGCTGGCTCTAGAGCAGCGGCTGGAACTTGAAAGGCGGCCGGTCGGAAGGCGGGAGCGGAGGATGCAGCACCGGCGGAGCAGGCTGCGGACGCGGGTAAGCGGTGTCGAAGTTCAGATTCAGGTAATCTTGCATGTTGTGATAGATGAGCTCCAGCTCAATGAGCTTGTTGGGCTTGTTTTTAGTAGCATCAAACAATTTCTCCAGTTCCTGGTCGCTGTTGATTAGGGTTTTCGTGTCAGCGTTGCGGATCTTGAGGATACGGTTATTATTGACGATGCCGAACGCGGTCTTGGAGTTGGAAATTAGTTCCAGCACAGTTGGCGGCGAGCACGAGCTCGAAGGGTATATGAAGCGCAGGTCCTTGGTGTTGAAGCGGATGACCACGGTGATTAGGGTGTCGGAGGACGGGGACCGCGACAGTATGGACGATTTGTGTATAGGGGGATTTGGCAGCGGGTTGAACGGATAGTCTTTTTCCAGGATGCTGCGAAAGATGTCTGCGACCGGGTACAGCACCTCATTGAAGCCGAAATCCTTGACGCAACCTCCAACCAGTTTTTTGAACAGCTGTGCTGCGACAAACTCGCCCAGCTGCACCACTTCAAGAGACTCGTTGTCGAGCCCCTTGATGATGGAGCTCAAAACAAAGTCGCTATTGAGTTTCTGGCGGATGTAGATCACCGAGTCGAACGAGAGATGCCCAAAGCTGCGTTCGAGCACAAACATGACGGCAGACGCAATGCACGTCGACCCAAACCCTTCGATCGACTCGAACGAGCGCGCGGTCGACTTTGTCAGCTCGTAGCACGTGCGCGACTTCTTGATACTGATTAGCAGCCGGTCTGCAGCGGCGCGGAACTCGTCGTCCATGTTGAGCTGCCGTAACGAGCTTGTGAACGGTCGGTGGAGCATCGGCGCCACAAGGGCAGAAATGGCAGTTTTGGACTCTGTCTCGGTCTCGTCCGGCTTGTTGCCGCTTTGGAACGCGTCCTCGTTGACCAGATCGGAGTATATCGGGCTTGCTGTTTCCTCAGTACTGGAGCGGTCCTCCTTCTCACGTCGCCGGTTGGCGAGCCGTTTCTGCGACCGTTTCTTGTTTCTGCGCACACTCTGGATAGCCAGTCGCACGAGCTTGTCAAACTCGGGCAGAGTCTCTTTCGGGAACCCAAATTCCTGCTGTAAGGTCTGTGCACAAACAGCGATTTCTGCATCCTGTTCGCACGCTTTTTTCGAGCTCAGAGACAGCGACTCAACCAAAAGCAGTCTGCGGGACGAGAACTTGCGCCACAGAATCTCGTCGTGGAAGTTGAGCTTCTTCCGGATCGCGCTAGTGGCGCCTGTGCGAGCGTCAGAAGTTGCCATAGACAAGAGAAATAAATTAAAATGACTTATTTTTTGTCGTCGCGTCGGTGGGACGAAGGAGTCATTCTTAGTCATTTTATTTATCCCCTTTTTATGGCTCGTTTATTAATAGTGCTGCTTCTTGCACTGAATACAGTTGCGCTGCTCAACGCCGAGGCGTTTCTTAACTGTGGACCACTCTGCGTAAGTAGAGCTCCCGAAACCTCTAACCTTAGGACGATGGCTACTATTTAGAATGCCACGATCGCGCCCGCAGCGGTTATTTGTCCTGCACGGCCCCCAACGAGGTGTGCAAATGCTACTACGTGGGAGCGCTGATGTCAGAGTGCACCAAATTCTGTCCTGCCTACGTAAGTATACTCTTGCTGCCACTAATTTTAGAACAAAAACACTTACGAGCTGCTCTCCTCGCTCTGCAGCAGAAACGTCTACGAGATGTCCAATGCGAAGATCGTGGAGACGTCGACGGCGCTCAACGTCCTGAAAACCAACGAGACGAAAAAAAGCGCTCTTTCTGCACTACCGTGGCCTTCAGAAAGCGATTGGGAAAGAGACGTTCTGGAGCTGAAACTGAGCGCCAAGATCCGCAGTCGTCAACGGCTGCTGCCCGAGTCACACGAAGTGTTGCAGGCAATGCAAAGAAACTACACGGCGCACACATTGAACGTGGCCCCAGTGCTGAGACCCACAATGAGCCGCCTTCTGCCTCTTTTGGCACTGATATTGACTACATAACTAGACGGTGTCGTGATGCTCTGCAGTGGCCTTGAGCGACTCGGCATCGTCCACCAGCGCAACGGTGTCTTCGCCGTCAAACACCCGCGAAATCTCCTCCAGCGAATAGCCCTTGGTTTCCGGGTAGAACACATAGGTGTTGACCACGAGAGCACCGAGAATACAGCAGAACACAATGTAATAGCGCCAGCCAATGCGGTCCATGGCGATGGAGTTGCAGAACGCCGCAATTAGCAGAGCACTGTACACACCAAACAATTCGACGGTGATGCCCTTGGAACGCAAATGGTACGGGAAGATCTCTGTTGGATACGCCAGGAGCAGTGGCGTGTACGCAATGTCATAGTGGAAATAATAGATGAAGATGAACCCGAGAACGGCACGGCCGTACTGTTTGGAGCCAGTTTGAGAAAACTTTGCCGAGCACGCCGTCCAGATGATGTACGATATCAGCATGCCAATTCCAGAGAACAGAAACAGGGATCTGCGGCCAAATCTGTCCACCACAAGGGCACCTGTCACCGCAGCCAGGAGATTAAAGATCTGGAGCAGGCCGTTGATCAGCGACTGCATATCGGAGGAGGTGATGCCGATTGTGTCGAGAACAAGCGTGAGGTAGTACGAAACAACGGCGATTCCATTCCACTGCGCACCGACACCGACGCTGAGCGCGATGTAAGTTCTTTTCCTGTTTCCGGCCGTCCTGACAAGGTCCAGCCACCTGGACTTGGCTGCCTCTTTCTCCAGGTCGAGCGCCTGGATGATCTCTGTCATTTCGACGTCGATCAGTGGCAGCTTGTCGTCGCCGTTGGCGTGGTACTTGACGAGGGTGGCGCGAGCCTCAGAAATTCTTCCCTTGGAGACCAGCCATCTAGGCGACTCTGGAACGAGCCACATGAAAAGCAGCTGGACACAAGGGAAGCCGGCCTGCAAGATGGTGGGTATTCTCCAGGCCCACGAGTCTCCGCGGCCGGAGGTGCCGTAACACGACCAGGACGCCAAGATGGCACCAAGATACCACATACACCAGTACAGCGACGTCAGTTTTCCTCTAAAGGACGGATACGCCAGCTCAGCAGTCAGCAGCGACACGGGCTGCACGGCAAACATACCAGCGGCACCGACAATAAACCGAGCCACGATCATCTGGGCCATCGTGAAGGCGGATGCTTGGATGATGGTGGCCACAATGATTCCAAAAAGACCGCTGATCAAAACGGGTTTTCTGCCGATCCTGTCGGTGAGCCATCCGACCGTTGGTAGTGCGATCAGACAGCCGCAATTTTGTGCTGCGTTGATGAAACCAAGCATAGTTCCATGCGGGTTGCCAAAAAAAGTCCCGCCACTCTTGCAGCGACTGCAGACCGTTCATCAGCGACCCGTCGTAGCCTGCGGTAGCAGACGACAACAGCGGGACCAGCATCAGACAGTTGAGAACGAGCAGGTGTTTGGTTCTCCACCAGGGTTTCTCGTGTTTGGGAAGCACCTGGGCAATGGCAGGCCCGACAATCTCCTCGATGGGGGTGGTTTAAGACGAATCATTTACAGAGCTGGGGGACAAGCCAATATTCAGACGCATATTTATAGCTACACACTTGCGTTCCGCATTAGGAAAAAACCTGGGGTTGCAGGAAAAAGCCCATACGTCACAGGGTGTGTGTGCACCTGGTGCGGACTGGAGATTTACGGGCAGCAGAATCCGCCGTCGACAATGAAGTCACTGCCGGTCGTGTACGAGGACGCGTCCGATGCCAGATACAGGTAGATACCCTTGAGCTCACGTGGATCGGCGTCTCTGTGCATAGGGATGGCCCTGAACCAAGCCTCCTTCATTTCGAACGGACAGTCGCCGGAAATTGCTGTGTCGATGTATCCTGGCGAGACGGAGTTGACTCTGGCAAAATCGGCCCACTCAACCGCAAGCGACTTGGACAGGTGGATGACGCCTGCCTTGGCAGCGTTGTAGGCTGCCTGCTGCTGTGGTACATTGACGATGTGGCCCGACATGGAGGCGGTGAAAATCAGGCTTCCAAAGCCCTGTTTCCTAAACACAAATCCTGCTGCACGGGCGCAATAGTACGCTCCGTTGAAGTCTGTGTCCACCACGTCGTGGAAAGCCTCCAGAGATTGGTCCAGTCCACCGGCCTTGGCAGGGATGCCTGCGTTGGCAATCATGCAGTGGAGCTTGCCGTCGAAATCTGCGAGCGCAGCAGCAACGGCAGATTCGACCTCTTCATAATGGCGCACGTCCACCTGGTACGCTTTGGCCTTGACTCCGTATTTGGAAATCAGTTCTTCGGCCAGCGTCTTTGCGGAGGGGTTTTTGTGGTACCAGAGCGCGAGGTTGGCCCCCGCCTCTGCAAGGCCACGAGCGACTTCGTGGGCAATGCCACCAGACGCGCCGGTGAGAATGACGAGTCTGTTTTTCATCGAAAACATCTCGAAGACGGATTCACTGATAGGTGGGTTGGCTCTTCTGATAGACTGTGGCATAGCTGAATGATGAAGAAACGTTAGCGTTTGATGGCCGCTTTATAGCGTGCAAAACGGACTTTTTCAAAGACAGAGGGTGATAGTCGCCCTTGCGGCATTTACCCCAGACACACCCATGCTCGGAGAAAGTGGAGAAGGTGGGGAACCTGCAGGAAGCCTAAATTTTTCTCAGAGACAAAGCCTGGGGTGCAGGAGTCGATGGCCCTTCGGGGTAAGATGGTATCCGCTTACGGGTGGTTTTATGCTTTCTAGACTGCATTAACGGCTACAGAATGCTACCAACGACCTATCTATACTGGCACCGTCTCTGAACGCTCAGGTCAAGGTGTAGCCTCCGCCCACAACGAGCTCGGCGCCCGTCATGTAGGACGACGCGTCGCTGGCCAGAAACACGTACACGCCCTTGAGCTCGTACGTCTCACACATTCTCTGTGCAGGAATCATCTGCCCCCACGTTTCCTTCCACTCTGGTGGGTGCACATCCAGCATATCGGTGTCGATGTATCCTGGCGACACGCAGTTGACTCTTGCAAAGTCGATCCACTCAACGGCCAAGAAGGCGGCTAGTCTGACAAGGCCGGCCTTGCTAGCATTGTAAGGGGCCTGTTTTTGAGGATAGTTGACAATCAGTGACGAAACAGAGGCCGTGAAAACGATACGGCCCTGATCCAAAGTTCCTGCTGCCTTTTGCTCCTTGAACACTTTGGCGGCAGCCTGGGCTGTGTAGTACGCTCCGTCCAAATTGACCGACATCTGGGTTCTGAAGTCTTCCTCAGAAAAATCTTCTGCCGGCTGGTGAATGCAGATTCCTGCGTTCGGGATCACAATGTCCAAACGGCCAAAGTCTGCGAGAACTTCGCGGGTGGTGGCTTCGATGGCCGCCTTGCTGGTGACGTTGCATTTATACGCTTTGAATCTCACGCCGTACTGGGCGAAGCTATCCGTGAGCTCCTTCATGGCCTCTGGTGAGGAAGAGTTGTACGTGATGGCGATGTCTGCGCCAGCCTCAGCAAGGCCGATTGCTGCGCCGAGACCGATTCCGCGGGAGCCGCCGGTGATGAAGGCGACTTTGCCCTTGAGGGAGAAGAGAGCGTTGACGTGTGCGTTTGCTGGCTTGAATAGCATTTTTGGACCGGATTTTAGAGAGAAAGTACCCGTTTTTATAGTGCAGATCGGGTTTGGTGGTGCCCCACAATTTTTTGCGGATCTGGCCTAGAATGGGGGCGACTAATTCCGAGGCTGCGGATATATAAACCGCGGGTCCGCTGGGTCTGAGACCCACAGAATGGTGGACCAAACGTACAAGGCATTTGTTCTGAAGGATGTCAAGCAGCTTGCGTTCGAGGAGCGCAAAACGCAGCCAATCAAAGACACGGACGTGAGAGTGCACGTTGCTCAGACAGGTATCTGTGGTAGCGACGTGCACTATTGGCAAAAGGGCCGGATTGGAAAGTTTGTGTTTGAGAAGGGCATGGACATGATTCTTGGTCACGAGTCGTCTGGTGTGATTGTGGAGGTCGGTGACGCCGTGAAGGGCCTGAAGGTGGGCGACCGCGTGGCCATCGAGCCAGGTGTTCCGTGTCGATTCTGTGCACTGTGTCGTGACGGGCTTTACAACCACTGTGACAACATGAAATTCGCCGCAACTCCACCCGACGACGGCACTTTGGCCAAGTACTACACAGTGGCCTACGACTACGTGTACAAGATCCCAGACTCGATGGACATGGAAGAGGCTGCGCTCGTGGAGCCGGTCAGTGTGGCTGTGCAGATCTGCAAGCGGGCACGTCTTCAGGCCATAGATAAGGTCGTCGTGTTTGGATGCGGGCCGATCGGTCTGCTGACCCAGGCGGTTGCCAAAGCGTACGGCTGCCGCAAGGTTATTGGGTGCGACATCAGCGACGGCCGGCTGGAGTTTGCCTCCAATTACGCTGCCGACAACGTGTACAAGATGCCGTTCAAAGACGCCGACGAGTCCGACGAGACGTACGCCAAGAGAGTGTCCGCAGACATCAAATCCAAGTTCGATTTAGGTTCTGGAGCAGACGTAATTTTGGAAGCGTCGGGTGCAGAGCCGTGCATCCAGGTCGGTGTCTTTCTGGCCAAGCCCGAGGCGCGCTTTGTGCAGGCAGGAATGGGCCGCGAGTTTGTGAGCTTCCCGGTGACAGAAGCGCTCGTGAAGCAACTCAACTGGACGGGAAGTATTCGGTACTCTGCAGGGGTGTATCCAATTGCGGTGGACCTCGTTGCCAGCGGCAAGGTGAAGGTAAAGCCTCTGATCACGAACCGTTTTACGTTTGAGCAGGCCGAGGAAGCCTTTGAGCTTGTCAAGGCTGGCCGCACCGATGTAATCAAAGTTATTATCCAGGGTGTGCAATAGAAGCATTATTATATGTAATTACTGGCCTCCAGACTATAGTAGCAAATACCGCGATGATGGGAGTCGGATACGATGGCGTTCTGCATCGCGTGCGGCTACGGAAATTTTAGTGTGCTTTTTGTTCGCTGAGTTGCATGCGGCGTTTTTTTAGTGGTTGCTCCAGGCTGCACTTGCAGAATATCAGGTGCAGGAGTTTAGCGACTGGCCCAGCTCTCCAACGCTCAGAAAGGAAACAAATATAAAGCAACAGAACCTGGCCATTTCACGAAATTCGAGCAGTTTGGCCGTTCATCTCGTATCTCAAGTGGATCCTGATGATTTCATTGATGCAAAAAAGAGATCCCAACCACTTTAATGTGAAGCTTCCTTCCTTTGACGAGCTGACAAAAACTTTCTCTAAGCGGGAGCCTCCCGCGCCGCCCGAGGTGCCCGGCACTTTCCACCGCCGCCTGCCGAGCCTCCAAACGGACTTGTATCCCTCGTTTCAGCAGATGCGTTTGAGAAGCGGTTCTGACGTGGGATACCTGGCGCAGGGCACGTCTGCCGCAAATTTCGCCGTGCCTCCGCCGGCCAGCACAACAAGCTCTCTCGAGACGAGCCCGCTGGGCCCGCCTGGTCCACCATCGGCAGTGAGTTACTCCAATCCTCCCTCAGCAGAATATATTGTTCCTGAGCAGTTTCGGTTCCCGGCGGTAGACCCTAACCAAGAATTCGCCGACAGGCTCCGCGGCGCGCAGCAGAACATCAACGAGCTCAACCAGTTTATGCGTCCGCTCACACACGCCACAACGCTGAACCAGCTGCCGCCCCTGTCCGAGCTAGAAATCGACAGGGCCATCAGAAACACCGACCAAATGCGTATTTTTTTCCAGTACCTACGTGGACAACGCTCTCAGAAATTCGCCGCGTGCAGCGAGCCCGAAAATATTCACCGCACAACAGCCTATCAAGACACAGCCAAGACCAAAATGCAAGCACACCGCCCAACCAAATCGGAGCCATCCATCATGGGTGAGTCGGCGCTGCTAAGAGTGCATCCCCCTAAGCCGCTCATTGTCTCCGAAACTGACACAGACCAGATGCCTAAGTTTGTTCCGCAGGGAACTCTGCAACAGGAGCTGAGTGTGAAGCCGCGCACGAGGTGTCTTCACTGTGGATCGATCAATACGCCGGAGTGGCGCAAGGGTCCTAACGGGACGCGGACCCTGTGCAACGCGTGTGGGCTATTCCACTCGAAACTGGTAAAAAAGCGGGGGCTCCAGGAGGCAGAAATTATCATGAAACGGCGCCGCGAGACGGGCAAGTCGACAGACCGCAGAATCAACGAATAATACGTCACGCGGATTATCTTTTTTCCTTACCCTATGTATTAATTTTCCGGGGAACGACCATTCTGTCCAATAAGATTTCTGCAAACGGATGTGGGACGGGGAAAACAATAAAAGTGGCCTCAACATGAATAATCCGATTTTTTCCTGTCTTAACGTAATGTTCCGTGTGGGGGTTTTTTTCTTGAAATACCGGAATTTCGATTTCTTTCTTTTATTCCCCATTCGCCATGTTCACCCTCAGAGAGCAATCTTTTAGGCCTCCGGATGAAATCACCCAGCAGGCGCGGCGAGTAGTGCTCGACAACCTCAACAAGCAAAATACAAGAAACGAGTCGCTAATAGACCGTGTGCGCCACGGGTCCGCGCTGTTTGCCAAACGGCGACCCCAACCCTCGCGCCCACTCACAAGAACGCCGTCCCAGGACTCCTTCCAGTCGGTGTATTCTATGCCGACGTCTATGTATTCTGCCGCCACCAGCGTGCAGAGCGAGCCTGTTCAGGTGCCGAATCTGGACTATCAGGACCCTTTGCCGCGGCGAGAAACGCTCAAGATTGGGCTAAGTGCGGCGCTAGACCATGTTTCGGCCTGCGCCGACGTGGGGAGCCAGGTGTTCAACGAGCTGAGCGTGCTGTTGCGCAAGACGCACGACGGTGCAAACAAGAACTCGCCTGAGAAACTAATAGACTGGAACCTCAATCTGCTGCGGGTGTTGCTTTGTGTTCGCACAAGCAGTCTCCCGCCAGAGTGGAGGGACCGCCACGTTATCGTCCAGGTGGAGGAACGCGCCCGCGCAACCCTCACCAGCGAACTTGCAAAAATCCGCGCACTGAAAAATGCAAAATTCAACAAATTCCTTTTCAACGTGGCAGCACGTACACCCACAGACGACCACCTTCTGCAGATTAATGCTCTGGATGACTCGCCCGACAAGTTCCAGCAGGCGCTCGTCGAATCCGATCTGTTCAAGGAGTTCAATATAGACTCGCAGTTCAAGAACCTTGTGGCCCATGTCTCGATCCAGAATTCGCGCCAGTTCGGCTCTCAGTTCATGGCCGTGGCCCTGCGCAACTACTTTCTCAACCTGCTGGTCGCGGCCCAAACGCTGTTCGAGTTCTATTACAGCGGCCAGGTCGGCGTCGACGTCGACAACCTCTCGTCCAAGGATCGCAAAATCCTTTGGAAAAGCATCCGTCAACGCAACTTTGAGAAGATCAAGGTGTTTGGCGAGTGCGCCCCCCACGCGATTCTCCACGAATCAATGAACTAGCATCAATAAAATTATCGTTAATCGTCGCTATGTATCGCCAGCTACAGCCTGCTCCGCTTCTTCGGTTTGCGCACTTTGCGCCCTCCTTTTTTGACTTGCACCTCCTCAAACCGCTTCTTCAGCCATCCGCTCGTCTGCTCATCCTTCAACAACTCATCAACAAACCCGGTGCCACGGCTCTTCCTGTGTATTCTGTTATGGAAGTCTGTAGGCCCGCCAACGAGAGTCCCCACCTGGAACCGCTCTGGGATCTCCCACTTGTCTTTCTTGTAAAACCGCTTCGGGTCGATTGACGCTCGGTTCTTCAGTATGACAAGGTCTCTTTTGAGCTTGTCTGTGAGCTCCACCTTTGGCAGCTCAAACCAGCGTTCCGTGACACTTTTGGCCGCTTTTTGCTCTTTCGGCAGCGCAACTTCGATCGGATCGTCCACTTTCACTATGCTTCTTTGCTTTTGTGCGCTTAGCAGCTCGCCAGAAGACAGCTTCGGCAGTCTACCTGCCACCTTCTGTATATCTTCAAAAGAGTCCTTCGAAACAGGCTTACTGGCTGTCCCAGTGGCCTCGCGTAGCCGCAAAAAAATGTCCTCAACATCAGGAACGTCATCAATCTCATCAGCAGATAAACTGCTGTCCCGGGAGGCCACGCTCTCAGGGATCGGCGAAAACGTAGACATTGACATTTCCATTAAAAAAATAATTTTTTTTGGTACAAAAAAAAACGCTATATATAAGAAATCACACCCGTGCACCGTCTCCATAACTCTCGCTCAACGCAATCAGCTTCTCAATACTCGCCAAATGCTTGCCATAGTTGTTCTTGCTGATCACCTTCAAATAGTCCCGGATCTTCTTCACCAACAGCCCTTTCTTCTCGTCGTCAATCAGCTCCACAAGCTTCTGCACCACGTAGTTCGCAAAGGGATCCTTCATCATCAGACACAGACAGCTGTTCTCGTCCAGCTTGCCATGTGGATCCATGTTGTCACGCATGATCTCATTATAGATCTTGCCCCTATTTTCTTCGGTCTGGTGGATGATACACTTTTCCACAGCGTTCGACGCAAACTTGTGTTTCGAAAGCTCAACAAGGTTCTCCAACACAACTTGCAGTATTTCGTCCGTGTACTTAACAGAGCCGTGCTCGACAACATGCTGGATCACATAATTTCCAAACTGGTCCTGGATCAGATAGTACACATAGTCCTTTAGCTCGTCCAGAATGAACTGTTGGTCTGCCTGGTCGGAAAACTCCAAAAGTCGCTGGATCACTCGGCAGCCGTATGGATGCGTCGACAAATGGTAGATCTGGTGTTTGATCGAGTCCAAAATAAATGGAATCTTGGATATCGGGATACATTCGATCGACTTCTGGATCACATGGTTGCCGTTCTGGTCCTTCACCAAGAGCAAGATGTTTTCTCTCAGCTCGTCTAAAATCTGCAGCTGCTCTTCCAACTTTAAAGACTCCAAGCCTTTCTGCACCACACGACACCCATACATCTGCAACGACAGATCGTAGAAGCTCCCGCGCATCGACTCAAACATCACTTTCCGCTGGACGTCGTTTCCGTGCTCGAAGTACTTTTGGATCACGTAGTTTCCAAAGACGTCCGTCATGAGGTCCATTGCATGGTTTCTGATCTCGTTGAAGATCACCTCTTTGTCTCTGTCATTGGACAGAGCCAGTTGCTGTTGAATAAACCGCGACCCGTGCTGGTCTTTTGCAAACTCGTATCCATAGCCGTATATATCTTTCAGCGTGTACTCCTTGTTCTTGTTGTTTCTGAACTCCTCAAGCAATGGCGACCGCACAATGTGCTTCTTCATCTTGGCCGGTTTGGGTGACATGCTCTTCTTCAGCGGTTTACCGGGAGATCCGGCCTTGGAAGGGGCAATGTGGGCATCATGCTGCAACGGCGATAACTCAGCAGGCACCACCGGTGGAGGCGAGGCCACAAACCCATACGGGCTGAAAGAAGGCACCATGAAAGGCGTCATGGACCGCAGACCGGGCTGGAAAAAGCCCTGTGGCGCCGGAGCACTTGGCTGTTGCTCATCGTCGGTCTTTTCGCTGCCTTCTTCGTCAGGCCCTAGTCCCGCCGCAAGGGGCGCCATGGGTGGAGGCGGTATCTGGCCCCACACAGGCCACTGGCCCAGGCCGTAGGGCGGCATCACAGGGTACCCGTTCACCTCTGGGTCGAACGGTGGGCCATACTGAGCGGCCATCGGCTTCTCAAAACCACGAGGCTGGAATGTGGGGGCCGTTGCCGGGTTCCAAGAGTTCTTAGCGTGGTCGTGGGGGGAGTCCAATATGGCCGAGCTGTGTTCGGAAGGCACATCGGCAAAGGAGAGGGCGTTGGGAGAGCCTGCGACAAACTGGTTGGTGGGAGAGTTGGTGTTGGAAACGTAGTTGTCGAACTTCTCGCTGAAACTCTGTTTTCTGGGCTCTCTGAAGGCTGCCTGGGGCGACGGAATCTCTGTGCTGTTGAGGTTGGACGAGCGACGCGACGGGATCAGGTCCGACGAGGACAGCGAACCTGTGTTTCCCGAGCCCGTCGACGGCGTGGCAGAGTTCTGGATGTTGAGCCTGGCCATCTTGAGCTCGAGCTCCCGCGTCTTCTCTGTCACAGACGCAAACTTCTCCAAAAAATTGGACGACCCCAGTCCCGACGGACTGAAGCTGGAAACGTTGACGCCAGAGATGGACGCCGCCCCAAACAGGTTGTTGGCAAACCTGGACTTGTGCTGCGGCACTGGCGCGCTGATTGCGCTCAGTGCGCCCTTCAGATTCGGGAACTCCGACCCCGAGTCGCTGGCCAGTTCCTCGCCCAGTGTGGCGCTCACCGGCTGTGCAAAGACGGAGTTAGCCTGGCCAAACAGGTTAGACTTGGCTCCGCTCAGGCCTGAGATGATGCTGGCAACCTCGTTGTCCAGCTCGGCCGTCGACAGCACCTTTGTGCTGGCGCCAACGCCCTCGACGCTCGCCGGCGTGTCCCATGGACTGCTGGCTGTTTCTTCAACTGCCGTTAGCACGGGCTTTGCCCTCTGGGTTGATACTCACCTGAACCGCCTTTGAAAGGACTCCAGTTTGCCATCGTTGTAGATCGAAGCGGAATTTAGCTGACTATGTACAAGCGGACCGCGACGATCACCAATTAAATCTGTTTGGTGACTGACTATATACAGATAGATAAAACAAAAAAAAAAACCCTACTGCAATAATAAGAGGGTAAAAACTTCCAGCGCTAAAATATGGTTGCCGCAGAGCTCCGCCATCTGCTCACCATTGACAAACGCTCTGTGGCGCGGCTGGGGAAGCTCGTGAACCGCAGGTTTTTGATTGCCCGCCAACACGCGCTCGAACAGCCTGTGCTGTGCAGAACAAGCCCGCGGCAGGCTGTCGACGAGGCGGCCGGCCTGACGTGTCAAAGCCACATTCTCAAGGCCCACAGCAAGGCCGGATACATTGCTGCGTCGGACATTGTTCGCATGTACCAGCTGAAACCAACGAAATACGCCTCCAAGCCCGTTATCAGAGACATCATCAAGGGTCGGTATCTGCAGACGTTGCAACCAACGGGCGCACACTATGTGTTTTTCGACTCGTTTGCCGACGCGGCGGTGTTTTGGAGTGATGTGCGCTCGGCCCTGTTTAACGGCTCGTACGTATCGTTCACCTTTGTGAACTTTGAGGATGAAATGGGCCAGATGTTTTTTCCGGTCCTTGCTGACACTAGAGTCCGCAAAGAGCTGGTGAATTGGGACGTCCTCAAACACAACATGGACCATAAAATGCATGCATTGCAGGATCACCCACATCTATCAAAGCTCCTGACTCTGCTGAAACAACAGCCGTGGCTGGACCCACACCAGGACCGCGGACTGCTCGAGTTTCTGCAACAGCATCCCGTCGAGCGGTCCCAATGTGTTGTGCTGCACAACATCCCGAAAAACACCAGCCGTCGCCGGCTGCTAGACTCATTTTGCGAGCTCAACTTGTACCAGACCCACGAGCTCGGTCTGCGCCAGGTGTACACCGACCGAACGACCGGGTTGAGCACGTACGTCGCGATATTCGAGACCGACGCCGACGCCTGGCGGTGTGTGCTGATGGCGGACGGCGAACACCTGTTCTATGACCCGGAACTGCCGCTCGTGCGCGCGGAGCTGCTCGACGAGAGAATTGGCGGCTAGTTGTTGTTACTGGCAAGCATCAGCACGGGCTCGGCCGCAAAACACGCACATTGAACAGTACGCTGCCGCCGAATATTGCCGGCGGTGGCAGGCCGTGTGCACCAGTTTATATATCTTATCGAGATATTTACGTAAATTTACGAATATTTGATATTTAGAGATTTATTCCCCGTATATTTTATGTTTCGAGTATCCGTATACGATGTCTTGCGCGCGCCGGACGCGGCCGAGCAGGCACGAGCGTGTGTGCGCAGTCTCACCGCGCTGAGTGCCGCGTACGAGGTGGCGGAGGTGGCTGTTCTCGGGGACAGTTTGGAGAGCGTGCGTGTGGCTGTGGCGGAGCTCGAGTGTCACGGATGGGGCGCGCTGGTGCGTCGTTGCAGGGTCGCGGGCCGGAGAGGCCTTCGGGTGTGGCTGGAAGCGGTCATTTGCCCGTCGCGCGTGCGCCAGGCCAAACTATAGCGTGTGGACCTATTCCTCGAAACGGCGCCAGCCCTCCCTGACCAGCGTCCACTTGTCGTTCTCCACCAAGACGTATTTTTCCCATATGCCCTTCTTCTTCCAGAGCACGACAATGCTCTCGTTGTCGGCCCAACCGAGCACGCCGCAGTCGTTGACGGCGTCGTCTTTGGTGTCGATGTGGTAGCTGACAAAGGACCACACGGAGCGGAAATACGTGGGCATGAGCGGGACGGCGCTGAGCAGGTGGAGCCGATTGGCCATGGCGGACTCGGGCTGCGGGTCGGCCGCGGTGAGGTTGTACACGTGGAGGGTGTTTTTGTCGCTGAGCACGGCGAGCTTGGAGTCGTCGGGCGAGAACTTGATGGAAGTGACGGTGGCACGGTCGAGGCCGCGGCGCAGCTCGAAGCGCAGCGAGCACTTGGCGGTGTCGTGGATGCGGATGATGGTGCCTGTTTGGGACGCAGACGCGATCAGGAGTCCCGAGTTGGAGATGGCGAGACACTGGATCCTGGACTTGTGGGCCTTGATGATGGAGATGAGGTTGCGGTCGCGGTGTGCAGGCGAAACGTCCACGAGCTGGATCTGGCCAATAGCGCGACCGGGGAACGCGAGGAAGCTGGTCTGCTCGTTGACACTGAGCTCTGCGACGCCCGCTTCGTTGTCGTAGGTTTCGTGCTGCGCGAGCAGCTTGGGCTTGGATTCGAACGCGTGGATCAGAACCTTGTTTTTCAGCACCACCACGATCAGAATTCTAGAGAGCAGCACGTTGAGGATCGGGCTCATGAACTCCAGCATGATGGACGGCTTCTTCTTCAGGTCGTCCCAGATGCACAGCTTGTTGACGGGGAACCGCGGCTGGCGACCGCCGCCAACGAGCGCGACGTAGTTGGTGCGGTGGAGCATGGCGATCAGTCCGACGCCGCCGTTCGTGCTGAAGGTACGCTTCATGCGCAACTCCATCGGGTCTGTGTTGTACACCTGGAACCCGGACTCGTGGCACACGGCAAAACACGTCTGGTCCTGGTTGAAGGCGGCGTTGAGCACGGCCGGCTCGTGCGCGCGCACGGACTCGATTGGCCGGTGTGTGTTCATCAAAAGTAATTAATAAAAATTAAATTAAATTAATTTACCTTGTTTTCCTCAGTTTTCTCCCCATGACTCTTTACAGCGGCCAGGTGCCCAACCCCGCAGGCGTGTATCCGCTCAACGGCGAGGACGCCAGCGGCACCAAGGAGCCCGTTTTCCCCGACTTCAGGATTTGGAAACACTCGCCCAAGGACGACATCATCATGAAAAACCACCTGCAGAAGGGCTACTACGAGGCCGCCGCCGTGCCGAGCGAATCGCACTCGGGCCGCCAGATCTTCACACAGCTGCTCAACCGCACCACGCCCGACGTGTCGGAGCCCGGCTCGCGCTGGAAAATGGGGCTGCTGAGCGACGTCATGGTGCGTGCGCTTGCCCGCCGTCGCGAGATCAACAAGATCCGCTCCAAGTCCACGTACCGTCCGCCGCCGCGAGTAACGCTCACGGACCACAAGCGCGACCTGTGGATGCGCAACCTCGCGGACGCATCGATCCCGCTGCGCCAGCTGGCCCGCGCGATACCGCACGGCCTGCGCAACCGGTTTTTGCTCGAGCAGTGCCTGGCGCACCGCGTGCCGGTGCTGCGCGCCGTGTGGCTTGTGCGCTGTGTCTCGGCGAACGAGCAACGCCAGCTGAAACGCAAAGTCCCCAACCCGGCCGCCCTGGGCAAGTGGATGGTCGAGTGGACCGAGCAGGTGGTGCAGTTTCTCGAGCACGTGGTTGCCGCCTCGTTCGCGCCCGCATCCCGCGATGCGTGGCGGTTCCGGCTCAGCTACATTCTGGATCTCAGCAGCAACCTGTTTCTGGAGGACCTGCTCAGTAGAGAGACGTTTCTGGCGTGGATTGTGAGCTATCTGGACCGGCTGCTGAGATCAGACCAGCACAAGCTGGTGGCCGTGCATTTCCAGTTTGTGCGTCTTTTCTGGTCCAAGCTCATTGCCGTCGACTATATCTCCAAAGAGCTGGGCGAGAAGCTGCTGCGCGCGGTGTCGACGGTGCAGCAGCCGCGGCTGTTGGCCGAGTTCCGGCTGCTCGTGCAGTATCTGTTTTACTACAATTCGGACGCCTTTATCATTCCCAACTCGTGGAACGCGCTCAAGTCGACGCTGCGCGCGGTGATCGATCTGTCGTACCCGCCTGTATGCGAGCAGTACAGGCTGATTGCGTACCGCAACGAGTCGATGATGATCGATGAGTCGGCCGCGGACGCGTATACCAACTTTGGCAGCAAGAAGGCCGTTGCGGTCATGCAGCGGCTCGAGGCGGTGCGCACGCTGTCGCTCAAGACGCTGTGCCGCGATACCTTCGAAGACTCGTCCGACGACGACGCCGGTGCCGCAGACGACTGGAAAACCACGCTGGGCCTGCTTCTTCGGTGGAGCATCACCACGTTGCGCGAACAGGACAGCGGTGCGCGCATCTGCGCCGTGTGCTCGCTGCTGCGGCTGCAGGTGCAGCAGCTCGGGCAGGTCAAGTCCAAGAAGAACAGACACCTCAAGCTGGAGCTCGAGATGACCATCATCGATTTTGCGTACCAGATGGCTGAGACGCTGCGGCTGAAAGAGCCCGAGCACGGTGTGTACAGTCTGTCGCGGTTCCTGCTGCTGGTGACCGAGCTGCACGCGCTGGGGCTGTTTGTGCTGTCGTCGTACCTGCGGCGACTGATTGCGTCGGGCGTGATCTATCTGCAAGACGCAGACTCGTCGTGCTACGTGCACCTGCTGATTCTGGACGCATTGCCCGTGCAGGACTCGAACGCGCGCAACATTTTGCGCCGGCTGGCGGACTCGACCGGCGTGGCGCTGCGCACGGCAGAGGCGCCCGCGTTGCAGGAGCGGCTGGCCACGGCGCTGGACTCACTACCGGCCACTTTTGACCTCGACGCGTTGTGGCCATGCGACGAAACCGACCCAGAGGCCGAGCCGCTGGATATCGGCTCGCGCGCACGGCTGTACCCTTGGTTCAGCGCGCGGCTGCGCCAGGACGCCGTGTGGCTGCAGACGCCCGACGCGCTGCTGTTTGTGTACCGTCTATGCGACGAGCGATTCCGCCAGACAGCGCCATTTCTTGCGCTCGCCGTCGAACACGCCGACACACAGCCCACAGTGCCGCGCGCAACACTGTCGCTGCTGCTGCGGCTAGTTGCGTTCCACACAGAGTTGCTGGCTTACTGCCACGACGGAGAGTCGACGCTGCTCCAGCGGGTGCACGGTTTTCTTGCCGCATGGGCGCAGACGGACAAGCACGGCGTGAGCACTTTGCTGCCGGATGTGCGTTTCGACACGCAATTGATGCCGCCGTTGGCGCCGCCGCACACAGACGTCTCGCCCGACCAGCTGGACACGAGCCTGCTCGGGCTGCTGGGCCTGTCGTCGCCTGAACGACTGCTCAACGCGGCCGAGTTCTCGCACTCACTTAACCAGGCCATCACCCAATACTGGAACGTGGCCAGCAACGTTGCATATGCGCCCACGAGCAACACACCTGTTGCCCGCCTTTTGAAACAGCTCCAGCTTTGGCGGCGCGCCGACTTTGCAGCTGTGCTGCTCTCGCACCTACGCAAGTTCGTGCTGCCGACGCTGGCGCTCGACTACGACGCCTCGCTGCGGCTTGTGCTGCGACTCATCATCGACGGCTTTGTCGACATCCACGCCGTTCTGCAGCTGTTTGCCGGTACGGCGGGCGACGATTTTCATAGCAACGGTGGCGAGCGGCTCGCTTGGGACCTGCTGTTTTGCGACGAGTTTGAGCTCACGCCCCACGACGCGCTGCTGCTTGCGTGCGAGCGCAAGACGTACCGTGTGGCCCACACGGCTGCGTTTGCCCGACACCTTGTGCGTGTGCTGTGCAACGCGGCCGTTGCAGCGCCACGGCCGGCCTCGGCGCTCACTGATGTCAATCTCGTGGCTGCCGGGGTCGGGGTCGACGACCTCAACCCGCTTTCAGAGTTGTCTGTGGTGCCCGTCGAGCAGACTCCATCCGCGCGGCCGCTGCGCACGTCGGCCAAAATTCGTCGGCCCAACACCCTTCTTTCCAACGGTCTCTGGTTCATTCTGGCTACAGACCGACACATGCTGCTGGACTTGTTGCGCGACGCAGAGCAGGCCAAGACCCAGACCAACAACTTGCTTGGGTTGGTGGGTGTGGCGGGCGAGGAGTCCGCACAGGCTACGCTGGACCCGCTTGTGCGCAGGCTGAACTACTTTTCGCTGCCGCTTGTGCAGCTGCTCTTTGCCCGATTGTTGCCCGAGACTGTGCGCGACGAAGGTCCCGCAGTGCTTCTGCTAGGGCTGCTCGCGCAGCTGGACTGCAGCAGTGCCGTGCTGGCGGGCGACCTGTTTGAGCTGCTCGAGGACCCCCTCAAACTGCGCGTGCTACACTCCTGTGAAGAGCTGTACCTGGGCTCTGAACAGTTCCCTAGGCTGCTTGTGAACGGGCGCAACTGCACCCGCATGCTGATGGACATTGCGTCAGCGTGCTCGCGGCTGCGCGAGCCCAAGACCATCACGCTAAGCGACTCCTTGGTGTTTTCGCTCAACCTATCGCTCGAAAAGCTCATGCACTACTGCTCAAACATGGACGCCACACGTAGCCTGGATGACCTGGAGCGTGCGGTGATGTTTGTGTCGCGGATCGTGCTTATCCACCGCAGCTTTTTGGTGGATTTAATCCTTAAACGGTCGGTCAATCTACAACGAGACGTTTTTCTGGTGAATTTGACCAAACTGTTCAGCCACGCAGTGATGGAGCGCAACTTCCGGCTGAAAAACCTGCTCTACGACACGCTCATCTCTTTGAAAGTGCAGCTGGCCGAGGCATTGAACACGCCGAGCCAGCCGGCCACGCAGACTCCGCAGCCACCATATATCACGTCGTTGTCGCTGAGCAAAGGAACACCAACCTCGTCGTCATTTTTGTCGCCGACAAACTCGCCGCTGCCAACTGCCGGCGCGCAGGAACGCACCGTGCACACAATGAACATCACGCCGCCAAGCTACAACAACAAGCTCAAGTTCCTGCTTGCTGACCCGCGGTTTGCGCGGTTGCGCGACGACAACTTGCCCGAAAATGAGCACAGGTACTACTTGGTGGACAAGGCGGGCGAGACGATGGTGCGGTTCCACGTGCGCGGCGCCGAGTTGATAGAGGACGCAACGCCTAACACGGGCGTCAACGACGCTTGTGTAAGCCTGCAATTTTTCAACGCAAGCATTGAGAAAAAAAACCCTGCATAGTCAAAAATATAACACCATTTATTAATCAGCTATGTATTCGTCGAATGTCATTTTACAAAGTCCTTAGAGAGCAGAGACAACGGCACCCAGGGTCACGAGGCCTGCAAACAGGGCAACCAGCTTGGAGTTGGAGCCAGAGTAGGAGATTGGGTTGGACAGAGCGGCAGCACCGGCAGATGAGGTCGAAGAAGAGCCGGAGGAAGAGTAGGCCGAAGATTGGGCAGCGGAGCGAGAGCCAGAGGCACTGGAGGCAGCAACGTTAGCGGTACCGACCAAGCTGTAGGATTGGGAAGAAGAAGCCATTGTGAATTGTCTGAAGAGTGTTTATGTCGAGACACGGTGCGAGACAGGCCTATTTATATTTGTGGATGGTCCCGGATCACAGCACAACACGGTTCTATTTTTGGTGTGCGAAGGAGTGCGGCTCGAGGAAATATCTTACCCAAAATGGAAATTCTGCTAGTTACAGAAAGAGGTAAATATTGCTTCAGACTAGCCATCCCAGCTTCGCATCAGGTTTGGCAACGCCTCGTGGATCTGTAACAAGCGAGAAACTGGAGCGCAGGTCGCACTTGAAACGCCAGAAGCCGTGAACCCTTTGCCGCGCACAGGTGTGTGCCTCTTGGCGTGATTTATTGCGCACCGTGTCACAGGGGCTGGTTTCTACCGCGTTTTCGCCGATTAGGTAAGCGGGTTTCCAGATGTTATTAATATGCCTGATTCGGAAACCTAATGAGGAACAGATGGCTGGTTTTCTAGAGCAAGGCTTGGCAGCAGATGCTTAGCGAGTTGTCTGGTATAAGAAGCCGCTAGCAGGGTGTTGATGATCTGCCAGATCATGCTTCCGACAATTTACCCGCATAACATCGCTCTTGCTGCAGTTCCATTTTTAACCGGTGTCTATGCGGCCAGCGGGTCCCTCGACGGTGAGGCTATGAATTCTGGAGGGTCGGACGAGTCCGCTGTGGCTTCCGTGGCTGTGGAAACTGCCACAACTGCCGCTGTCGAGACCGAATGGCAGGCCGGGTCTACTGCCACCTCAACCGCTGCCGGGGACCAACTTGCATCTGCCACGACGTCCGAGTATGCCCCCGCCACCAGCTCTGCCTGCGGTGGCGCATACGCGCAGTGCGGCGGCCTGGGATACTCCGGAAACACCTGCTGCCAAGCAGGGTATCAATGTGTGACAGCCAACAGCTACTGGGCTCGGTGTGTTGCCGCATCGACGCTCGCCTCGTCAGCCGTTAGTGGCTCTGCCAGTGGCTCTACCAGTGCCTCCACCAGCGGCACAACATACACCACCACGTACACCACGCACTTCTCCTCCACAGTCGAAAAAAGCGGCTCCTCGTACGTCACCGAGGGCAGCTCCGTGGTGACGTCCGTTGTCAAGAGCCGTTCTGTGGCAACTGTGTCCGAGAGCAACGGATGTGCTCCTCTCAGAATGTATGAGGGCTCTTGGAAAAGCAAGGCCCTGATTGGTGGGCTTTTGGGAATGACTCTGTTGATGGGAATAAATTAGGGGGAAAAAGGGAAACAAAATAAATAAGGAAAGAAATAGAACCTTCGCGATTATTATCTTCTCCTGTACAGTCTATAGAAAAAGCGCATGTTTTCCAGCTTCAGAGGATACTCGACGCCGTCTGGAACACGGTACCACTCGCTGTCGCTGGATGACACAAGCTCCCAGTCGCGCGCACGGCCGGGAGGCCCACAGAGAACAGTGTCGACGAGGAAGTAAACGGGGAACCGCTTGGAGCCCACAGTGATGTGTGAGTAGGAGCCTGCAGACTCCAGAACAAGAAACAGGGTGCCGGGTCGGCATTGTGACAACCCATTCAGCAACGCAATGGCCTGTGTCCTGTCTTCCGCAAAGAGCTCGTTCGTGGTGAAGCAGCACGTGATCAGGTCTGCCGCCCGCAGCCTGTCCATCACTTTTGCGGGCAGCTGCAACACGTCTTCGAGAATAAACTCGAGCGCGAGCGAGTGCTGCACGTTGAGCAGCCGCGGCCGCACCCACTGGTCCGTCACATACGCCGCTATCTTGTCCACCACGCTGCTCCAGTCGCTGATGTCCACGGCTGTCACGTGCCACGACCTTGCCGTGCTGCCGATTGGCAGCGTCTCGAGCAGCCGACCAAAAACACTGCCCAGTGCAACCAGCTCTGCGCCGGCTCCCGCGCCGATATTGACGACCCGCACACACTCGTGCCGTGCCAGCATGTCGCCAATCTCGCCTCGCGCGAAAAACCAGCTGTACGCGAGACTTCGCGACGACGACCACCGCGCAGCGTACGCCTGTCGCTTGTCCTCTGTGCTGAAGGCCTCCATATAGTTCCTGTTGAAAAGGTCGCCCTTCACCTGCTGCACAACAGCCTCGGTGTCCGGCGTGACCCAGGGCACAAATAGCGCCAACGTCTCCATCTCAGACAGTCTCAGTTCATTTTTGGAGCCCGCTTCGAGGTGCTCTTTTCTGGCAGCACTTCGCGCAATCCGCCTGCTCATTATAAAATTTTTTTTCCCCCGTGGAAAATTCTTAACCATTCAATCTTCACCACCGGCTGGCCGCTGCTTTGTTAGCTGCCGCTTGTGGTGCTTGTCGGCGCTCGAGAAGCTAGTACAATCTCCTGTCTACCGTCCGCACGGACGCGTATCGATGGGAGGCCGTCCTCCGGGACTATGGTACAGGAAGCTCCGTCGAGGGATTGCAAAACAAACGGGCCTGGAACTCTCACTTTTGTGATCGAGTTCGGCCTGTGGCGGTATATTCCTAATCCTTACGAAGTTCCTAGGAACAGTGATCGTTTGGGAAACAACCATATCGCATACATTCATCTGTAGTTCGCCTATACCCTAACAGCACGAGCTGCCTGTAGCAGAGCCCTGCTGGTTCACGTTGAGCTTGTCTGCTGGCACGGCCAGGTCGTCGCCGTTCTTCTCCAGAATCAGCGACGCAAGCTTGTAGAACACCTCGTTGACATTCAGCCCCGACTTCGCACTGGCCTCCATGAAGGGCACATTCAACTCCTCTGCCAGTAGCTCGCCCTGCTTCTCGCTGACCTGTCTGCTTTCGGTGTCGTCGCACTTGTTGCCCACCAGAAACAGCTGCGCCTCATCCTTGGCGTGCTGGTTGACCGTCTGGTACCACTTCTTGACGCTCTCGAACGAGTTCTCGTCGCACACGTCGTACACAATAATGATGCCCATGGCTCCGCGGTAGTACGCCGTCGTGATCGTGCGGAACCGCTCCTGCCCCGCCGTGTCCCACACCTGCAGCTTGATCTTGCTGCCGTTCAACTCGATGGTCTTGATTTTGAAGTCGATGCCGATCGTCGTGATGAACGAAGGGTTGAACTTGTCGTCCACGAACCGCAGAAGCAGACACGACTTGCCCACGCCCGAGTCGCCGACAAGCAGCAGCTTCATGGTCTTGTCAAACGTCTTTGCGCGATTTGCCGACATGGATGTTTTTTACACTTGTCTTTAGCAGATAAAGAAAATCGGGGGGACTGCGATGTAGGGTACCAATATATATTTGCCAGGAATGCCCGGGCCTGCAAATTGCGGAGTCCATAGGCCTGTCACCACACACGGCCCACGCTGGCGCTGTTAGTGCCCGCCCTCTGCAGCGCACCGACTCTGGGCCTTTGGGGGAGGACCGTGTCCGGGTAACCCCAAAGACCAGGACAAGCACATCTCGGCCCGGGTAACTCAATTTTCTCTCATCTTTTCTTCGACATGCCTACCGTCGCCGTGGACAAAGCCGATCTGTTTGCCCTGCTGGGCAAAAACTACACCACGGACGAGTTCGACGAGCTGTGTTTCCAGTTCGGGATCGAGCTCGACGAGGACACCACCGACGACGTCAAGGGGACAGACGAGAGACCGGAGCTGAAAATAGAGGTCGGTGCAAACAGATACGACATGCTGTGCATCGAGGGCATTGCGCAGGCGCTGAACGAGTATCTGGGCCGTGTTGCGCCTCCTAATTATAGACTCAGCGCGCCAACGACGAGTTTGACGGTGAAGCCGTCGACGCAGCAGATCAGGCCGTATGCGTGCGCGGCCATCTTGCGCGGGATCCACTTCACCCAGAGATCCTACGACTCGTTCATTGCGCTGCAAGACAAGCTACACACCAACCTGTGCAGACATAGAACGCTGGTTGCGATGGGGACCCACGATTTGGACACTCTGAAGCCTCCGTTCACGTACGAGGCCCTGAGTCCTTCGGAGATCAAGTTTGTGCCTCTGAACCAAACGGTCGAGCTAGACGGCCACCAGTTGATGGAGTTCTACGAGAAGGACAAGAACCTGGGCAAGTACCTGCACATTATCAGAGATTCGCCGGTGTATCCCGTGATACTGGACTCGAACAGGACCGTGTGCTCGCTGCCGCCGATCATCAACTCGGACCACTCTAAGGTGAGTCTCAACACCAAAAACGTCTTTATCGAGATCACCGCCACCGACAGGACCAAGGCAGAGATTGTCGTCAACCAGCTGGTTGCCATGTTCTCGAGATACTGCGAGCAGCCGTTCAGCGTGGAGCCGGTCGAGATTGTGTCGGAACACAACCACGAGTCCAGAATCTGTCCCAACTTTGCCCAGCGAACGCTCAAGTGCGAGGTTCCCTACATCAACTCGTGTCTTGGTTTGCAGCTGAGCCCGGCAGAGGTGTGCAAGCTGCTGTCCAAGATGTCTGTGCAGGCGGCTCCTTCGCAGTCCGACAAAGACATCATCGACGTTAAGATCCCAATCACGAGACCAGACATCCTGCACCAGTGCGACGTCATGGAGGACTGCGCCATTGCGTACGGCTACAACAACCTCAAGAAGACTACTCCCAAGACCGCTGCTACTGTGGCCCAACCGCTGCCAATCAACAAGGTGGCCGACATTCTGAGAGTGGCCTCTGCCCAGAGCGGCTGGCTCGAGGTGATGCCGCTGACTCTGTGCTCGCACGACGAGAATTTCAAGTTCCTAAACAATCTGGACGACTCCAGGGCCGTCAAGCTGGCCAATCCAAAGACGGTTGAGTACCAGGTGGTGAGAACGAGCCTTGTTCCGGGCATTCTCAAGACCATCAAGGAGAACAAGGATCACTCTCTGCCAATCAGGGTCTTTGAGTGCGGCGACATCGTTCTCAAGGACGACTCTGAAAGAGGCGCCTCCAACCAGAGAAACTGGTGTGCAGCGTACGCTGGCAAGGCGTCGGGCTTCGAACTGATCCAGGGTCTACTTGGGAAAATCATGCAGACCTTCAGAACGCCGTGGCTGTGTGCTGCCGACGCCAAGTCCGGCAAGAAGGGCTACTGGATCGAGCAGGACGACTCGGTCAAGATGTATTTTGCTGGAAGAGGAGCTAGAATTATGTACAGAGCCAAGCCCGAAGCACCAGCACAGAACATCGGCACCATCGGCGTGCTTCATCCGGAGGTCTTGACCCGGTTCGAGCTGCCCTTCGCCGTGAGCCTGGCCGAGATCAACGCCGAGGTGTTCTTATAACGTTAATCAGATAAAGGTGATTTCCAGGTTACGTTCGTCTGTCGGGAACTCGTCTTCGTCATCATAGATGTTAGTAGAGTCTTGTTTTTTCCTTTTCTCTGTCTCCACTGCGTTCAGGTTTAATTTGGCATTTTCAGACCTGCTCGGCTTTTTTCGTTCGTTCAGCTTGAACGGCCTGTATTCCGCCGTCTCCGGCCCCGTCTCCGGCTTCACCACCGTCATATTGAACGGCGACACCGTCTTGCGGTCTCCAGAGTCGAACGACTGGCCCGACGGCGGCGTCTTCAGATTGAACTGCTTTAACTGGCTACTCGAAGGCTCCGTGCCCGCCTCCTTCGCGATCTCCTCCACTTGTTTGGCCAGCTCGTCCACGTCAAACAGTTCCTGCTTCTGCTCCTCCTCCTTGACGCCCTCCTCGTACATCTCCCACCACTGCTTATTATTTTTGCGGAACAGCCTGTCGTACCACCTCTTGGACTTGCGTCCCTCGTGGGTTTTCGCCGCCTCCTCAAAATCGTGCACCAGCTTCCGCTGCCGCTTGGTTTCCTCCTCGTCTGGCTGGTCGATCTCTACAAACTCTTCGTTCAGCACCTCCCACCCCATCTCCTTCATCAACTTCGGCATCACCTTCCTGTACTCCATGTGTCCCTGGACCAGCTCCGAGCAGTTGAAGTTCTCCACCTCGTCGACGGGCGAGAGACCAGCCACACGGCTCAGACCACCGCTGGTTGCACGGAACAGATATCCCAGAATCCAGTCTTTCTTCGAGTACCCGTTGACAAAACGCCCGCTCACAACCGACCGGGCCATCGCGACCTGGTCCTGCTTCACCACAAACGGCGACCCAAACAGATAAACGTTCTCGACAAGGCCATAGTCGCCGCGTTTGGCAAGGTCCAAAAGACAGCTGTAGATCACCCGCGCGCCAAGACTGAACCCGACAAGCGTGATGGGCCGGAAACCCAGCTTGCCGCGGCGCAAGGTGTCTGCCAACACCAGTCCTGCGCTCCAGGCCCGGTCCAAAGACACGTTCCAGGGATTGTCCAGCAGATAGCCGAGCTTCGAGAGCATCATTGGCAGCTGCACGGCTGCCATCAGCGTGATAAGGACCGTGCTGCCGAGAATCTGCTGGATCGACTGCGTGAGCACCTCGGACGCCAGAATATTGATGGTCTGGCCCATGCTCGTGAGCATCTCTGGCTCCCACAGCAGAGAGTACAAATCGCCCATGACAGGGTCGATTGTGCTGAACGGCAGCCGCACGTCGTCCAATTTGCCCGACATCCACCCGCTCACCGTGAGTAACAGGTTCACTCGCCCCGTGTTGTGCAGCGGCTTGAACTCGAACGTGTTGACGGCGCCCACGCGTCGTCCCATGCCCTTATTGCCGATCCGCATGCCGGTCAAAACCCCCGTCGACGTGATGATGGTGGTGCCTGCCGTGCCTGCCAGAAATCCAGAGGTGCCGCCAATTCCCACCGTGGTGAGCCCAGCAGCTAGTCCGGCACCAATGACCGGAGCCAGCATACCGGCACTCAAACCTATCACGAGCCCTCCGGCCACGGTTGCAAACCCGATCTTCACCAATTTCTGCTTGCGGTACTTGCGCTTGTGCTCTGCCAGGATGTCCTTTTCGTCCCAGACCTGGGAGTTGTTGAGACGGGCCATCGAGGCCTCCATCTCAAGCGCGTCGGTGATGCGGCGCTCGAACTGGAACACCGCCAGCTGCTCGAGCCCAATCGACGCTGCAAACTGCAACAGTAACGTCCGCGACCGCGCGTCGTATGTTGACGACTCCAGCAGGATCAGAAACAGGTCGCAGATCAGCGTCCAGCGGATATCGATGTCAAGCGTCGATTCCGACGCGTCGACGCCGATCGTCTGCACCGTCTCGGGCCGCAGCTTGTTGTCGAGCGTGAGGTTCGTGTTGAGCCAGCCGACCAGGTCGCTGGCCTCGATGCCGTGGCAGCTCAGTTTCTCAATCATCTCGCGCTCGGCGCCCTCCCTGATGTCCAGATGCTCGTACAGCTGCGCCATGACCCCCATGCTCCACCGCGTGAACGATTTCTGCGCCACAGCGATCTTCTTGTAAACGCTCGACGAACCGGATCCTCGCAGCAGCGACAGGTCGAGGTGCAGCCGGAATATGATCAGCTTGACCAGCGCAGCATACGCCACTTTTTGCGGTTCCGTCAGCATCGCGCGCGTCGAGTACAGCTGCTCCTCGAGCTGCGTCGCGCTCGGGTCGATCGTCTCGTCGATCGTCTCGTCAGTAGTCTCGTCTACAGCCTCGTCAGAGCCCCCCTCGCCGTTGCGCAGCCTTCGCAGGTTCGAGTTTTCGTTCTGGAACAAGAAATCAAACTTCTCGTTCATCTCCAAATACTTGGCCGCCTCCTCCTGCGCCGAGATTCGCGTGTACCCCTGGGACGACTCTGCCTTGTTGTCTATCGTCTCCGCAGACTGCACAAACGTATCGATCTTCTCGCCGCGGATGTTGTAGAAATCGTCGTGACTAACCTGTATATCCATCTCCTTCCACTCCTCGTCGTCGGATGTGCTATGGAACGAGCCGTCGTCCTTGTGCGCGGGCGTCTCCAGAGCGTCTCCACTATCTGTCTCTGGCTCGCTAGGCACTTGGCCGTGCTCCACCACCGTCACGCTGTCCCCGGCAAGCCGGAACTCAACAAAATCCGTCTCGTCTGTTGGGTCGGGCGTGTCTCGCGGCACCGTGGACATAAATCAGCTTAAATAAATAAATAATAAAATAGCGACAGGTTTCATGCACCGCCCGAAACACACTACGAAAACTTACAATTCTACCACATTCGAATGACACTCTATTACACTATTCCGGTCAGCTACTCCTCGTCCTCCTCGTCGTCAACAGCAACGCTGTAGAATTGCAGCTGGTACTCGTTCTTCTTGACAGACACGAATCTGATCCAGTCTCTGATCTGGTTCTTCTTGAGGTATCTCTTGGACAGGTACTTGAGGTACTTTCCAGAGAAATTGGTGGTGGAAACAACCACCACCTTGGCGGCACCCTCCTGCGTCACGGTGATGTCGTTGCCGAGGTTTCCAAGGTGGCCATCGACCTTGATGTGCTCGACAAGGTACTTGACATACGAAGCTGGGTCGAAGACGCCGTTCTCGGTTGGGCCAGAGCAGTCGACGGTGAACTTCTTGGCGACTTTTTGGTTCTTCTTAGTCTGAGAGGTTAGGATGGGCAGAGCTACACTCGTGATTACTTTTAAGCCTACCGCAGAAGCACTGCTTCACGGAATAGCCATAGAGATTGCGAACGCACCGACCTGCGGTGGAATCACTATAGGGCATAAAAGAAACACCAGTGTATGTTGATACATACGATTGGAGCCATTATGATGATACGAGGGGTGGAAAGTGTTTTTTTTAATATTTTTTTTCAAAGCACTAGGTGTGAAAAAATTAATAAAGTGAACAAGCCCTCGGCGACGTCACATGACACAAGGGTATATTTATTTCTTATAGTATACACGAACAAATACCAACCAGGGCAATTATGTAGCCCCATTTGGGCGAAACCGTGTCTGGAGAACCAGCAGACGACGATTGCGATGCAAAGCTGGACATGGACTCGGCCGACGATGTGGATGAGTCTTTCCCGTTGGACGCGCTCGACACGCCCAGCACAGACTTGGCTGCCGTTCCTGAGGCGTCCGTGATGATGGAGTCTCCCTCGACGCTGGACGCAAACGACGTGATGGCCGCGGCGATCGTGCCTGTGGCAGACGAATACTCCACGTCTGTGACCTTCTGGAAATTCGAATAGAAATGGCCAGTCGTAGTTGTCTCTTGTCTTCTAAAAACGTCTAGATACATGTCGACACGAAAAAAACAAAGCTAAGAGATTAAAACCGCTCCAAGCATTCTTGCATCTCTCAGTTAGGCGCATTCTGCAGGTACTGGATTTTGCACGAACTTAATGTAAGGAGAAAATAGCCAGAAAAAATTCCAGTTACTCCGATGACGTCACAGGCGTATCGGACGGGTTGAGTACTTTGTTGGGGTCGATCGCCAGCTTCAGCCGCCGCACAGCATCCCACTCTGGTCCCTCGTTCAGCAGCACACTCGCACCGCCCAGCTCTACCAGTCGGCCCTGCGCAAAGTCCTCGCTGACCACGAGCTTTGCGACGCTTTTTGTCACGGGACTGACTTCGCTAGGCGTCTGCGGATGTAATTTGCAAACAGGCACCACGACGGCAGCTTGGCCAAGCCGCTCGGCCAATTTTACCAAATTCCCCGCGTGCTTTCTGTCCATCTTGAATACGCCCACGCTCTCTCCTGTCTGCAGCGAACAGTGCGCAAACCCAAAGTTGCCCACGTACGTGAGAGGCAACTCAGCGTGATCGGCCAATTCGACCAGACGGTCCGTCTTTTGTGTTGCAAACAACACAAGATACTCGTCCGTCTGCGGCTCGAGCGCGATCTCCATCTCGCAGATGGTCGCAAACTGGCGTCCCAGCGGTGCAAGGATGCGCAGCGTCTCGCGCGAGGCGGTGAACGTTGTTCCGTCCGCAAGCACCACCTTGGCGCTTTTCAGGCTCGCGAGCGGGTACCCGTTGACGGAGCAACCAGGGGTCGTCAGACCCAGCCACGACAGCGCCAGGTCCAGCGGCCGGGCGGTGTTCATCGCGCTCAGCCCGCGACTGTTCGCAAACGTGCCCACGTCCGCGTTGCACTCGCAGGTGACGGTGTTTGTGCGCTCGTTATACGCCAAAATGCGGTCCATCCGGCCCAGATCAACCGTCAGCCCGTACTGGTCCTTTTTGTACCCGTCGAAAGGCACTCCCACATGCACCGGCACGCGGTACAGCTGGCACAGCTTCATCACCACCGCCAGCTGCTGGGCGTCCCTGGGCCGGATTCGGTACATCTTCGTCATGTCTGCATCTTTATGGGACCACAACACAGAGCCCCAGCTGGGTTTTTCGGTGATAGTTCGCCACAATTCCTCGTCCACGTCGTCGCTGTTTAGATTGAGCTCGGTTTGGAGTTTCTTCACACACCGCTGGAAAAGAGCATAGTCGGCCGGAATGTTGAACGAGCTCGCACACAGGTCCGCCTTGGTCGTGGTGGAGCCCGCGGGGAACAGGTCGCGGGGCGGATTCTGCCGCGTGCTGGTGCGGCCCATGACAAACCCTGCCCCGAGCGCAACGACCATTACCAGCAGCTGCATGCTGAAAGGCGCGTCCTTGGCGCTGTCCGCGGGCTGCGGAACGTGTGTCCGTCTGGATGCGCGCGTAGAAACAAACCGCAGACCGCTCAGGGCCCGCTTGCCGGACGACGCAAAACAGGTGCCAAACATTACCCCACAAATTGGTGCACGGGTGGTTTTCCCTAGAAGGCGTGCTACAATTTCTCCAATCCAGTCGTTACCTATATACACTCACTTGCGCAGCTGCGCGAGGAAATTGTTTTGCTTCAGCTTCTGTCTGTGCACCTTCTTTGCCTGCTTTCTCATGTACCGGAACTCGTCGGTGGCTTTGAGCTGGGCCTCCTGGGCCTCCTTGTCGAGCAGCGTCCACAGCCAGTCCGGGTACTCCTCGTCCTTGAGCGCAACAGCGGGTTTGCCTGCCTTGAACACCTGGATGTTCAGCGGCGTGCCCTCCTTAACCGACGACTGCAGCAGCGCGCGCACCGCGCTGAAACGTCTCACCAGCCCTAACGTGAACATGAATAAAAATTTTCCATAACTAATTTTTTCTCTTTTCTGGCTGTGCTACTTGCTACGCTTTCACCGGGTACAGCATTCGGAGCCAGAAGGCGCCCCAGCCGCCGCCCAGAAGCAGTGCCTCGCTGTGCTCTGTGGTCTTTGTGCGCGCCACCAGCATGCGTCTGATCTTCCACTCGCGGTACGGGAGCAGCAGGAGCCCCGACACAGCGCAGGTGACCACCACAAAGATCTGGCACCAGAAATACGGATTTGCACGCGAATCGTTGACCAACTCCAGAGCCACCACCTCGGCAACCACGTACGGCAGTCCTGAGACCATGCTGATATACGAACTCGCCGGCATGAGGTCCTCACCAGAGCCCACAATGTCTGCCGTGAGCGGCATGAAGTTGACCCAGTTGACGCCTAGCATCAGCCCCGACAGAATCGCAAACACAATCATCTCGGCGTACGTGGTGACAAAGACCCAGAACACGCCCGCCAGCAGCGCCAGAAGCAGCGAGCAGATGATGGTGGTGTTGCAACGACCGAGAACGTCCGACACGTAGCCCAGCAGCGGCCGTCCTACAAGCTGTGCCACGTTCAGCACGGTCATCACGATGGCACCTTGGTCGCTGCTCAGGCCGATGGACGTGCAGAACGACGAGTACGAGAACAGCATGATGGCGTACGCAAAGTTGTACACAAAGCTCCACGCACACACGTACTGCACGGGCAGCGCTTTGATCACGTGCCAGACGAACAGACGGCGAGTTTCCCGCCACACGCTCGTGTTTTTCGAGTTGAAGGGCCGCCGCGGCCGCACTAGCGCGATGGATATCGCCAGCATCGCCCCGCACACAAGCCCCATCATGCGCAGCGCCCACACTTGGCTGCCTGTTCGCTCAATAATTGCGCTGGACGAGCGGCTGAAAATTAGTCCTGAGAGTCCTGCCCCTGAATAGCCGATTCCGGACGCAACAGACCGTTTGTGCAGGAACCACGACGGCAAGATCACGACAGAGGGGCCGGCCACAAGAATAAACCCGACAGCCATCAGCAGGCCCTGGAACATCATCAATTGCACCACGTTTTTGGCAATCGACGCTAGCCAGAATGAAAGAAACACCACCGCGCAGCCCGCACCCATCACCAGCTTCAATGGATATCGTTTGGCCAGCATGTTTCCGAACTGCGAGAACATGAAGCTGATTCCAAGCGAAAGACCGCCAACCGTAGCAAACTGTCTTTTTGTGGCTCCGGGAAAAACGTCGGCTTCCAGATAGTAGTTCAGGTAAACTCCAAACGCAGAGTTCACTCCCCACGAAAAAGTGTTGATGCTGCACACACACCCGGCCGCCACCCAGCCCCAGAATGTGCCATCTGGCGGGGTGTCTTTAAGATCTGCAACATTGTACTGTCCGTCGTACAAACTCTTCACTCGAGTGATCTCGTTCTTGTCCTTGGGGGCCTCTATCACGCCTGAGGCGCGACTGAGCACCCGCTGAACGCCCGATGGAGACTGAGACTCCTCCGGCGGCGCGGTCCCAAGCGAGACTGCGGAATTTGTAGACATTACTAATACAATTTATTTTGTTATAATTTATTTCACCTAACCATCTATTTTTATGAATTGTGGCCTAAATAACGCGACTTGTCTAGAAACAACTGTCCTGGCTCGTCAATCAAAGGCGTGCCCATCTGGTCGACGGGCCAGCAAAGATCCATCACATCCCGTGCCCACGCTCGGTCGCTCTCGGTGAGCGGCTCTGCCACGGCTCCCTCAAGCCGGGATTTTTTCACAGAGCTGTGCACAGCCCCGTTTTGGTCCTGCCAGAACGACTCGTGGTAAAGCACTTTCAGCACTCGTGTGTCCAGCTGCCGCTCGCGCGCTGCGTTGTACAGCGGCTTGATCACCAGCAGCTTATCGTACTTGGAATCACATCTATACCCGTAGTGTGTGCGGAAATAGTTGATAGCAGCCACCGCGTTCCAGATCTCGCACGGCTGTCGTTGCAGAAAAAAAAGCACCAGTACGGCAACCAATCGCGCGCTCAGCGGCGTCCGCGTCCAGTCCAGGTACCGTAACGCCATCTGTGGGCCGCTGTGTGCTAGCATGCGTGCCAGAAACAGTTTTGAGAAATGCACCCTCAAACAGCTGGGGAACAGAAATTTTTTGCCGATTCTAGTTCCGCCCAGCTTCTCTGCTGCCTGCGCCACAACGGGCCCCACCAACGGCTCCACGTTGATCTGCTTGAATGACATCACTCCCAGACACGCCAACCGACTGTCAAGCGTGCTCAGCTTCTCGAAAATGCGCAGAAACGTGTCGGCATCCGGAACCAATCCCTGCACACGCAGTCGCTCCAACACCCAGCTCTCGAAGTCGTCCTCGTCGCTATGGCGCAGCTGCCGTTTTGCAGCAACGGCCCTATTGTACGTGGCTACCGCCGGCGTCTTGCGCCACTGCGAATAGATGTTCAGCATCGCCACAACCTCGCGCCACCTGCCACGGTCGTATAAATAACGGCAGATGACGTCCAGCGTGGCAGCCGTGTGCGAGAACTCGTACTCGGTTCCCAGAAGACGCAAGACTGCCCGATCGACCTCCTCGTCTTGCCTGCTGCTCACCAGCTGCACCACATACCGTCCAAACTCGGTGTTTTGCAGCTGGGCCAACTGCGCTCGCCAGTCAGCAGAACGGCCCAACACACGGCTCTGGGAGTGCGGAAGCACGAATTGACGTACCACGGCCACGTCGCGACACACGGCCCGCGCAAAGTCGCCGCGCACGCCCTGGTTGAGGGCCTGGATCAGCCGCTGGAACCTGAAGTCGTCGGCGTACGTGCCCTGCCGTGCAAAGACGCCTGCGCGCACCATGCGTCCGCGGCGCGGCAGCAGAATGGGCTCAGGCCGGCGCAGGACCACGGCCGCAAGCTCTGCTGCGTCCAGGGCACGCAAATCGCGCGCGCCCGTCGCAGCCAAGGATAAAGCACGGCTCATCTCGTCGGTCCCCTCTTTTTCTCTACCCCGGTTTTTGTGTGATTTTAGTATTGGCATTACATAAGCGAGAAAAAATAAAAGCTGCTACTGCAACGGCTCGGACGACGAAGACAGTCTGTTGAGGTGGAAGTAGACGTCTGTACCATAACCTTCCATGCTGATGAGCTTGAGGTCACCTGAAAAGTAGCGCGCGTACAGTCTGCTGTGCGGCAGGCCGACGCCGAGCCCCATGAACGGCGGCTTGTACCCGTTCTCGGGCTCGACGATCTTTTTCGCAGAGGTGTAGAAGTACGTCCAGATAAGCGGCACGACCGAGCGTGGAATGCCGCCACCCTCGTCGCTCACCTTGATGGTGATGTCCTCGTTGCCCTCGGACACGACCACCTTCACGGGCGGGAACTCGATGTCCTCGATGTCTTTATCTGGGTGGAGCGAGGTGTGGTGCTCGACAGTGGCTCTCAGCGAGTTTTTCAGAGTCTCAAACAGCATGTGCACGAGGTGGCCCGGCACGTACATGAAATTGAGGTCCTCTGGCGCCCAGAGCTGGACCTTGGGCGCCTCCATGATGTTGTAGTGCTCCTCGCACGCGAAACGGGCTGCGTCGATTGCGTCCTGGGCGATCTCCATCACGTTGGTGTCGAGACAGATAATGCCGACGTAGTTGTCGTTTGTTATGTTCATGGTGCTCTGTTCGTACAGTGCGATGGTCTGGCCAATCAGCATCCGGATCCCGATCCGGCTCATGTAGAAGCGGTCGAGAAATTGGTTGATGCTGCCGTCCAGATACGCAAAATTATTTTTGTGCTTCCAGTGCTGCACGCCGCGAGCGATTGTGGTTACGGTTGCGTCGTGTCTTTTCTTGATTTTGACGAGCGTCTGGTTCACCAGCTTGTTGTAGTCGAGCACGTCGCTCGTGTAGGACACGTCCGACGGCGTGGGGACGTAGTATGCACGCCGCGTCGGCTGCCGTCTGGGAGCGTGGTCTGTCTCGTCGCGGGCGCGCGCGTGGAGCTGTTCGATCACAATGCCATCGTCCTCGAACTTGGTGGGGCGTGCTGCGGCATGTATGCCCGGGGCGGCGATTTTTTCTGGCGACGAGGGATACAACACCGCGCGCATCTCGTCGCTGATGGACGGCTTGGGCAGCGACGTAAGCTCCTCGAACGACTGGGCGTACCAGTCGCGCACACGCTGGATGGACGGGTCGTTGTTGAGCCCCGACGGCAGCTCCTCAAGCTCCTTCACGCGGTGGCTGAGCCGGATCGGCAGCTCCTCGACAATGAAGTTGGACGCATGGAACACCGATCCGGGCGACGGTTGCGGGCCAAACTGGACCATCTGCCGCAGCGACACGCCCGTCTGTGGCACACGGGCAAGCTTGTATATCTCGCGGCGTAAAGAGTCAGTCAGTTTCCAGGAGGACATGGAAAAATGAGGCCATCGAAGCGTCTGCTGTCAGAAAATAAAAATAATTCTTTCAGGTGACTAAATCAGCTAAAATAGACCCCGGCCAAATGGTAAAAAAAAATAGTGCATAAAAATAATCTGTGCAATAATAATAATTAGCAAAGAAAAATGCAAAATACACATTCACCGCTTACCGGCCGCCCACTGCCGTGAGCATGGCGCCGTTCACGTCGTTCAACAAATTATTCACCCTCTCGCGTCCGTAGTTCAGATTCTCGTTCAGTAGCCCCGTGAAACGCTCTTTGCCCAACATCAGCCGACCTAGAAGGTTGCGGCTACCATCGATCACGTTCGACACCAGCGTAAAGCTATCCAGATTGATCAGTTCCAGCTGACTGCCAATCATTACGAGCAGCAAAAGCAGCATGAACGGCAACCAGAAGAAAAGCAACCGTTTGTCTGCGTCCAGAGTCTTCTGAGACGACTTGAGCGCCAGCTCCAACGCCTCCTCCGACGAGTCCTCCGCCTCCTGGGTCTTTGCCTCCGCCTCGTGGCCTTGGAAATTGAGAAGCGCCCTCTCGCCCTCTTCTGTAGGGAAAAGCTCGTGGTACGACGGAAGCATTTCCTCGCGCGCGTCATCCGATGGATCACTGTCGCTAAGATCTGGCATTGACGACACGTTCTTTGCGAAAGCTTTGCGCATTTTGAGCCACAGACTCACGCCTGTAGCACGCGTATTCTTTCTTTCCGAATTTCGCACGTCTGGCAATGATTCCACGTCCAAGTCGTCTTCGTCGTCTGCCTCGAACTCCATCTCATCATCCGGCTCCTGCCACCTCTCGTCCGGCGAGTCGTTGTCGAAAAAGTCTGCCTTGTCCACGCCGCATTTGCCAACGGCAACAAACTTCGGGTCGAACGCCGGCTCGTCATAGTCGTCGAAAATCGACTCGATCGACTCGTTAGAGAACCGTCTGTGGCTTGAAGGGAACTGCGCTCCCTTAGTGTCGTCCAACAGATCCAGCACATTCGAGTCGGAAACATCCATTAGCGAAATATCCTCGCCTAGCCTCATCGACGCAACAGCACCGTAGTTCACCAACAGTTTGATCACCGCCCTCTGCCCGTTGATAAATGCATAGTGCAGAGCAGTAAGATCGTTCAAGTCCCTAGTATCGACTTTACACCCGTTTTCCACCAAATAGCGACACAGCTTGACGTATCCCTTGATACATGCAAGATGCAACATGGTGTGTCCTTCCAAAGTGCAAATGGCCCAGTTTGGAACGGCGATCGGCGAATCAGGCAGTTTTAACATCGACAGGAATTTCAGCAACATTTCCTCGTGGCTCAGTGACGTTTTGGATAGTTCTGTCATCTTGAGAGTGGCCTTCTCAACCCACTCATCATAGCCTGCTGGCTGCGGCGACTTTTGCCGTTGCTGTTGCGGCATGTTGGAGCTGTTGTTTCCAATGATTCGTTTGGCGATATTTTTGGCGTCTTCAAGCTTTCCGTTCATCTTTAGCCCCACAATCTGCAAAGCCAGCTCCACTAGCTGCCTGTCAGAGTCGTCAGTATACGTAAACACTTGCTGTGACGTGGAGTTCATTATTCCCGTTCTTCCCTCTTTGGAAGAGTCTTCCAACGTGACCAAAACCGGTCCTGCTTGCGATGCCGGCGGCAGATACGTCACAATTGTCGAGTCCGACCAGCAATGAGTGGCCAATGCCACGTTAGAGCCAAACTTAACTGCAAGACCCGGCCGGAAGTTCGAGCCCAACAAAGTAACCTCGATACCACCTCTAATAGGACCCTGAGCAGGAATAATGCGTTGGATCGACGGCACCGATTGTTGGGAGCCAGAAGAGTTGTTGAGCGAGCTCGCAAGATTGAGTCCAGATTGACTCTGCGTGAGATTAGCAAACGATGCCTTTTTCTCGGGTGTGCTCGAGAAAATGCTCGTTGCGGAGGAAACACCAAAGCAGTTCTGCGGCGAGAGGTTGTCCGAGCTCATTGGCGAGTTTGCATCCCTCTTGCCGACGCTCGACGAGAACGAGTCCTGGCGTGCTCCCAGCGCCTGCTTCGATCTCTGCTGCTGGACAGCATCGTAATAAGTTCCAGTACTATCTGCTGGAGATAAATGTCTCTTTTGACGCTTGTATGTTCTCGAATCGTCTGCGGCAAGAGGTGTTTGCTGTCCCAAGGAGGGGCCTGCCATTGCCAAATGAGTGGCTGCACTGGTACTGGTATTTTCGCTCGAGGACTCGTCGATCGAGTTGATTGCCGTTCTTGGTTCTTGTTTGACTTGCATTTCCTGCTCTGGCGAGTTCGACTGCTCGCCATCTTTTAACAACTTTTTCCGGTCCATTATAAGGATCGGCTGAGATAGCGTTTTTCCCAGTACGTTACCCTCAGCGTCCTTGAGCACGAAAAATAGCCTGAACCCATTTGGCTCCTGGTGGTGTCTGCAATAGCATACGATTCTGGTCAGCAGGTCGATGGACTTCACGTTTGCGGCATTACCAGTGGGCCTAGGGAACGAGATAACCTCCTTGGTGTTGAAAATGATGGCTCTTCTGGGAACATTCAAATTCCAGTTGATGGAGTCCTCGGCAATGCCACGTTTGCGTCTCGAGGCACGCTTCATTTCTCTTCTCATGCAGCGTTTGCAAACGTTGCAAGATCTCAGTTTCTGATACTGACCATCGGAGGTGGACGTATTGCTGGCCCCAACCACAAACGTGTCGAGGAAAAGCATATGAGGCTTGACGCTTTCGGGAATCTCGTTGTTTTCAAGCGTCAACTTAGGTTTGGCTATGGTGTCACGCGGAAGATGCAGCAAAAACTGTGGAGGCGGAGGCGAAATATCCAGCTGAATTTTCATCTGTGTCTCGACCCGTGACGACGACGGCAGCTCCTTAATCTCCAGGTTGTACATCAAGTTGTCGTTACAAGTAATATACTCTGGAGGCAGAGTGCTGGTGGTGACGTCATTGGAGTCACCTCTCGTCTGAATTTTGTCCGAAAGTTCTTCAAAGCTGGGAAGTTCAGGCACGTTCGCAAAGCCACCAAACTTGAGCTGCATCAACAGTTGGCGACTTTTCTCAAACATTTCAAACTCTTCCGACTGTCCGCCTCCGTGAACGTTTTCATTGAATGTGTGCTCCGGAATAATAAACTCTGGCATATCGTCGTGCTCTATCTTGATATCGTGCGAACCTTGCCTTGAAAGCTCGTTTTTCACAAACGCGTGCAATTCTTCGTCAAAGTGGTTACGCTCGTCTCCTGCTCCCTGGTCATATAATCTCATATCCAGGAACTCGTCAAGTACATCTTTGTCGTCGAAGTGGGCACCGAGCATCTCCTGCATCGGCTCGCTCATTTGGGGGCTCATAGAGAGCAGTCCGTCCATGGTGTTGTTGTTGTGCGTTGTAGCCTAACGAAGGCGCGGGCGTAGCTTGATTCGTGTGTCGTAAAGTCGATTACAAATTCTGTTCCGCAAAGGAGCGTCCTCTCACTTTTGTCTATCACCTGAAGGTAATTGTAAAACAGGAAAATCTGTTGGGAATGCGATTGAATGTAAATTGTAGGTCCCACTTGTTTTAAATAGAAAAAAAAAGTATTGGAAAAAATGCCGGGGTTACCCGGAAATGAGTCGGAATCATCACCGGGTGTTGGGAAACGTGTTGGACTTACCCTCAGCGAATTCTACAGGGAAGGCTGCTGACGCTTCATATACATGCTACGTCTCAGAGATGATGCAAATGCTCTCGCGAATTCACGGGTTCGTGCCAATCTGCCAGCACCGCATGTGCTGCCATTTGATATGATTCAGGATTTTTTTTTCCCTGAAAAATATCTAAGATAAAAAAAATATTAAAAAAATATAAAATAAATAAAATATGACCGTATTTCGCATCATCACAGGCTCATACGAACACACATTGCTGTGTGTATCAGTGACACTTCCTGATGAGAAAAATAGTCAGCCGCTATTTCAACCAATTTTTCACTTCCAAGCGCATTCACTCTCGATCAGGGCTCTCGATATCGCCAAAAGATATCTTGTCTCGGGATCCAACGACGAACACATTAAGATATACGATTTACAGAAAAGAAAGGAGCTTGGAACGTTGCTACAACATCAGGGATCGATCACAAAACTTGTTTTTTCGAATGATTTCGACGAGAAGTCTGAGTTTTTGACCCATAAGAATGGCAGATGGCTACTGAGCGCAGCAGAGGACGGCAAGATTGTGATTTGGCGGACGAAAGACTGGGAACAATTTGGCATTCTAAAGGGCCACACGGCAAGAGTGAACGATCTGGCCATCCACCCATCAGGACGCGTGGCCATATCTGTCAGCGACGACAAGACGGTTAGACTGTGGAATTTAATGACCGCCAAAAAGGCGTCTGCGATGAAGCTGAAGGGGGTCTTCACGCACGGCCAATCGCCCAACTTGGTCCGTTTCAGCAGCGACGGCGAGTTTTTCGTTGTTGGGCTGCTCAATAGATTGATGGTGTACCAAACTAGAGAAGCCAAAATAGTGTCTATTTTCCAGCTGAGGCAGACGCTGATGCAATTAGATTTTTTACTGCTGGATGGCAAGGAGTTCCTTGTTCTGGCGAATGGAAACGGCACGATACAGTTCTACGATATTGCACAGATCACGAAGGGAAACGAGGAAACAGAGCCGCTTGAGAACCCCGAGTTCGAGCTACAGGGCCACGCGAACCGGGTCAAGGACTTCTCCATCTACACAGAGAAAAAAGACAACGATAGAAAGTCGTATCTGGTGTCAATTTCGTCGGACGGCAAGATCGTCGTCTGGGACATGAGCGTCAGAGACCAGGTGGCCGTGTATGATACTGGAGAGCGGCTGAACGTTGTTGCTACCGTCAACGAGGGCGTTGAGAAAGCACTTAAACCGCGCTACGATCCGCTGCAAAAAGAGGCGGAGAGCGAATACGAGAGCGACGGAGAGGTGGTTGTGCGTCGCGAGGACAGGAAAAAGATCAAGAAACGACAGAAAAAACTGCTCAAGGTGGAACTGGAGTAAATGATTAATTTGTAATAAAATCTATTAACTGTTCAATCTGGCGACGTGTTTGTCGAACAGCGCCTTGGCACGGGTCCAGACCGGAGCAGTGTCTCTCTGAGGCAGCTGTTTCAGCGAAGGGAGCAGGTCGCGGACAAAAAACTCGGACGCTTCTCTTGGGAGCAGCGAAGGCAGATGGTCTATGCTGATCACCGAGAGTTTAGGGCCCTTGGTCGTCTCGACCCGGACAGTAGGCTCATTGAACACCGTAGCCACCGTGTACACAGGAATAGGGTTGTGTGGGTTAGTAGTGTCGGCCGAGACGTCGACGATGGTTCTCAGCTTTCTGTTCTCGTCGTTCAGGGTCTCAAGGTTGCAGAATGGAGGAATTGGCTTCGACAGGTAGATACAGTTGACGAAAATGTCTGCGTCGACAATCTCTTTGAATGGTCCGCCCTTTGCAGTCTCTGCCATGTCCCACTTGATGATGTTTTCGTCTGGAATGCCAACTTTGCGGCATAGGTCGATGGCTCCTGAACCACATCTGCCCAGAGCTCCAATAATCAAAACTGTGGGTTTTCTGCCAGCCTTGGCAACGCCCTGGTCCAGCATCTTCTGAACATCGGCCACGAGCGCAGCCTCGTTCGGGTATGGGCTCACACCGCCGAGATCTTCGGAGTCTGGGTGAGTCTGCTTGAAAGCCCAGTCTTCCACGCCCAAAGCCGCGCCTGCAAAGCCAGCGTAGAAACCAAAAGCGGCAACACGTCTACCCTGGTCGTTTTCCAAGAACTCGAGGTCGTACAGAACACCGTTTCCGGCAGGAAATCTGGACAAGACGTCTTTCCAGCCTGCCTGGTCTTTGTAGCAGTGGGCGAACTGGATGTGTTCGTGAACCAATGGGAACGACTCCTCTGGCAGCTCCTTCAGACCGAGAATGATTCTGTCCTTAGGGGCATTGACCCATGATCCCTCTTCGACAATATGTGCTCCTGCCTGCTCGTACTCCTTCCAGTCGAAGATGGACTGGGACGACTTTTCGACGTAGATCTCGAAATCGCCTGTGTCCAACAGCTCCTTTGTGGTGGAAGGGGTTAGGGCGGCTCTGGCCTCCAGTGGCTTTGTTTCTGCTCTCAAATGAAGAATGACTTTGGCCATAGCTAAAAGTAAATTAGATGACTTTTTTAAATCAGTCATTTTTCATTTTTGGCTGGGAAAAACCGCACAAGTCGACGCGTCGACAAAAAAAATAGAGAACTAAACAAAACCTATTGATCCTTCTTTTAACCGCACAAAACCATGTCCACAAATAGCCCCAACACGTCGACGCTGACGATATCGCCGCTCATAACCAACAAAAGGTCCAAGGACTACTTCCAAACGCCGCCCAACTTGCTTGGCCAAACCGTCAACCCGCAGCAGAATGCCCACCACCGGGTGTTCTCGTCCCCCAACGTGTCCAAGTCAGTCAACAGCAAGCTCAGCACGCTGACTAGCAAGGAGGACGACGAGGAGACGCCGCTCACACAGGCAGACAAGCTGCGGCTGTGGCGCCACGATGCGCTGATGCAGCACCACTACAACACAGCGATTTACATCGGAGACAAAGTTCTGTCGTTGACTGGCGATCCAAATGACGCCTTCTGGCTCGCGCAGGTGCATTTTGCGAATGGAAACTACCAGATCGCGCGCAATTTGCTGTCAGGCCCACACTTTGAGGAGTCGGTGAGCTGCAGATACTTAGCGGGCCTGTGTCTGGTCAAGCTCGAGAAGTACGACGAGGCGCTGGACGTCATTGGCGAGGTCAATCCATTCAAGACAGACCACTCGGTGAAAAATCCGGACGGCGGCGTGAAGCTAGAGGCGTCGATGTGCTATTTGCGCGGGCTCGCGTACAGCAAGCAGAATAATTTCGATAGGGCCAAAGAATGCTACAAAGAGGCGGTGTTGGTGGATGTGAAGTGTTTTGAGGCGTTCAACGAGCTCATAAGCAACCACCTGATGTCGCCCGACGAGGAGTGGGAGCTGCTGAGCGAGCTGAACTTCGACGATGCTGACAACAACAACGAGCTCGTGAAGTTGCTGTACACGACGCGACTCAACAAGTACAAGAACGTGGCCACATTCGAGGAGGCTGAGCAGCGGCTCAAGGAGGAGTACAGTCTGGGCGAGAATCTGGACGTTCTGCTAAGCCGTGCTGACCTGCTTTTCATTCAGTGCAAGTTCCAGCAGTGTCTCGACCTGTGCGAGCAGATCATCAAACACGACGAGTTGAACCTCTCTGTGCTCCCTAACTATCTCAGCTGTCTTCATGAGCTTGGAGGGAAAAACAGACTGTTCTTGATGGCTCACAAGCTGGCAGAAAACTACCCTAATCACCATATCACATGGCTGGCCATTGGTATCTACTATTTTTCAATCAAGAAGACCAACGAGGCCCGAGTCTTTTTTTCTAAAGCCTCAATGATCAACCCTAACTTTGGTCCTGCGTGGATCGGCTTTTCACACACGTTTGCTGCAGAGGGAGAGCACGAACAGGCGATTAGTGCCTATGCCACCGCGTCGCGACTGTTCCCCGGTATCCATCTTCCTAACCTGTTTCTGGGCATGCAATATTTGCAGATGAACAACCTTACGCTGTCGCAAGAATACCTCATGTCGGCGTACTCGATCTGCCCAAACGACCCGTTACTGCTCAACGAGCTTGGCGTGTTGCACTACCGGCGCGTGCAGCTGGCCAAGGCCGAGAGTTTCTTCCAAAAAGCACTCACCGCTGCCAGTACGCTGGACTCAAACGCCAAGGCATGGTCGTCGATCCACTGCAACCTGGGTCACGTGTACAGACGGCTCAACATGCTGGATAAATCGCTCAGCCATTTCAACAAGGTTTTGCGTATTTCGCGAAAGGATGTTAACATATATTCTGCGATCGGGCTACTTTATCTCAAGATGGGCAAGATTTCGAAGGCGATCGAGACGCTGCACGTGGCGCTGTCGATCCAACCCAACGACCCGATCGCGCTGGATCTGCTCAACAAGGCGCTCGAAAGCAATTTGCACATCAACAACAAACAGCTGCTGGACGAGCCGCTGCCGCAGAGATCTGCGTTCCAGACTCCGATCAACAAGCCCAGCAGAAACCTCAAATTCATCGGCGAGGACAACAAGAGAGACCTGGACATGATCGCCGAGGACTTGAAACAAGGGGAGGACTCGAGCGATGACGACGAAGCGGTGATGGAGATAGAAAGTGAGTGATTATTTTGCACTGTATAACTATATGAATGGGACGAGAAGCAAAAAGAACGAGAAATACGAGATCGAGACAGACGCTGCCGCGCCTTGGAAGAACGAGAGCGGCTGGATCGAAGAAACAGCGGCGCTGGACGTGCGGAGCGTTGAAGCAAGCGTCGACCCTGACTGAGCCACAGAGCTGCCCGTCGTTTGCGGCAGGCACTTTTCCTCCGTGCAAGTCTTCACCACTGTAATCGATATCTTGGTGTGAGGTGTAGAGTAGACTCCAGACGAAGCAGTTTCAAAGCTTGTGCTTGTGGCCGGTGCTGGAGTCTGTGTAGACGACGACACTGACGTAGGCGTTTCCGAGGGTAATTCTGGAGATGCTAGAATGTCAGACGAGCTTGCCGTCTCGCTTGTTTCTGCCAACGAGGAGCTCGAGGTGACTGGGACTGTCGCTGTGGAAGTGGCAGGAGACGAGCTCGTCGGCGGCGGCTGTGTGGTCTCGCTGGACTCTGGACAGGTAGTCACATACGTAGTCGTTTCGTTTGTCACTGTTGTCTCCACCACCGTGTCGCTAAGCTTGCACTCGGTACAAACCGTTGCGGTCGTCGTGGAAGCAGACACTTTGGTCACCCACGTACTGCTGTACTGGACTGGTGTGGCTTGAGAGCTCACGGAGACGTCTTTGTTGCAGTCTGTGCATGTTGTGACGGTGCTGGACTCCGTGGTAGTTACGCAGGCGGACGACGTGGTGTACATGGACACAGAGATGGATCCGCCAGCGGTGACGGTGACGGTGGCAACATACGGTTGGTTGCAGCTGTACCGGGATGTGGAGAGAAGGGTGGACGAGGAAGAGATAGAGCTTGAGATGGAGCTCGTGGAGCTCGACTTGGTGGGCGTCCACGAGGAGAAACTGGTGGAGCTGGAGATGGTGCTTGATGACGTGGATGAAGACGACGTGGAACTAGTGGTGGTTGTGGAGGATGAGACGGAAGAGGATGAAGACGTTGTGGACGGAGTCCACGACGTGGATGACAGGGATAAGGAGGACGAGCTTGAGCTTGTAGTAGAGGTGGAAGAGGGGTAGGAGACCGGAGTGGATGAGGAAGACGACGATGATGGCGAGGAAGTGGAGGAAGTCGAAACGGAAGAGGTTGAGGTGCTGGAAACAGGGGGTGTGCTTGACGAAGAAGAGGAAGAAGACGACGACGTCTTACAAGTCTCGCACGCCAATGTGGTTGGACAGGCTCTCGAGGTGATGTAGGTGGTGGCCCCCGTGACAGTGCTCACGTGCCCGTTCACTCCGGTCGTCGTGAGGGTGATATCCTCGGTCTGTGTGTATGGCACGTTGCAGGACACAAGGGAGGTGACTCTGCTAGTCAGGTGCGAGGAGATGTCGCAATAGGTGACTACGACTGTTGATTGGCCATAGTCGTTGACAGACGTTGAGTAGCTCACCTGCTGCCAAGTCTCCTTACCATCCACGGTGACCAGCGTTGGAACGTAGCTGACCGGGACGTACGTGGTCACAGTCGCGCGGTTGGCTGTGACTGTGGTGACAAAGCCGTAGTCGACGGTGGTTTTGCAAACAAGACCGCCGGCGTAGCAGTATTTCGAAGTGAGCGTGGTGTACTCCTCTGCCAGAGCCGTGGCGAGGAGTGTGATGAGCAAAAACTGGATTTTCATGGTTTGTTATCCGTCATCTGGACACCCATCTTTATATATCCCGGTCTACCAGTCCTGTTTCGAAATATGAGACGTGTGAATTATTCAGAACTCGTCCTTTGAGGCCCTAATTTGGGAGCCCGGCCGCAATTTTTTTTTTAGCTCCAGATCCGGCAGTTCCTAATTTGGACCTCAAAGGAAATTTGCAACCAGGCACACTGCGTCGAAAACGGCCAAATCTCGCAGCAACTGCTATAGATAGACCTGAAACAGGTCCGACACAGGTCCGAAACTCAGCTCTTGTTCTTGTTCTCGTACAGCACCAGATTGAAGATGGCCATCCGTGCGCGCTCCTTGAAGTCAGAAATGGTGCAGTGGTTGTTCAAAGTACGGATCGCGTCGTAGAATCCAAGCTCGATCAGCCGCAGCGCGCGGTTCTTCGGGCTCAGGAACCGGCGGAAGTCGGATCCATCGCCCGCGTCGACGTCCATGTCCTCACCGCTATCGTCCTCGTCGTTGTCTAGGTCGGACCCTGTGGTTTCCTCGCGCCAGCTCAAGTTGAGTACTGCCCACACCACGCTCAGCCGGATTTTCCAGTGGTCCTCGTCGTCAGGCACACGTTCTGAGTACTCCAAGAACTCGACGAGTTTCTTTAGCAGCCCCTGGTTGCACATGATCAACGCGCGGTTATTCTCGTTGGACGCGGCAAGATGCACCACCACGTAGACAATGGCCACGATGACGTCTGGATTGGACGTTTTCTCGAGATGTGAGCACAGAAAGTCCAGAAATGAGGACTGGCCCGCGCGTCTGGCAAGCGGAGACCCAGCAAAGTCGGCTATAATCTTATTTGCGTAGTTGAAATGGCCCACGGCCAGGTTTCGCAGAATGTCGAACGAGTGCTCTTGGATCCGCTCGTTCGGGTCGCCGCACAACTCAAAGATTTTGTCCAGGCTGACTGTCGTCTGGAAGTTCTCCTTCGACTCCCGGTTGCCGCCAAACAGCGAGTTCTTGATTACCCAGAGCGAGTTCATGCGCAGAGAGTCGTAGCGCGACTCGTAGATAAACCGATGCAGCAGCATCGCAAGCTCGTTGGACGCGAGTTCGTGCTTCACGGCAGAAAACTCCACGATCGAGTTCGACACGATGCCCAGCACCACCGACTTGAGCCGAATTTCGTCCAGGCGCAGCTCATCCGGACAGTTTTCGATGATGTCGTCTGGGATGTGCAGCAAGTCCACCAGCTTGCGCACAAGCTTCAGTTCCACCAAGTACGTGCGCAGCAAACTGGCCGACCGCGACAGCGACCGCAACAGGTAGCAGCTCGATAGCGTAATGCGGTTTGACAACTTGAGCACGCCCACATCGGCTGGCGAGGGCGTGCGACTGTCCAGCTCGCGGTAAATTTTCGCGTGCCGCGTGATCGAGTCCACAATCACAGGAGCCACGTCGTACCGGATCACCAGCTCGCGGTAGTCCTCGCGCAGTCCGGCAATGCAGCTCAAAATCAGCAGCGAATCGGAGATTTTGTACAATGTGTCTTCGTCCAGAAATGTGCGGTCGGAGCTGTAATTTGCCGTGACAATCGACGCAATCGTGTCGACAAAGTCCACTTCCACCAGCGAATCGCTGTTGGCCGGGTCCTCTTCGGCAATCTGCGACAACAGGTACAGAGGCGACATTGTACGCGGGATCTTGTAGTTCGAGCTGAGCGTGTACTCCGGGCCGTGGGAATCCTTGGTGCGGCTGATCAGATTAACGAGCGCGTCGATCAGCCGCGCGTGACTCGCTGTTTTCTCCTTTGGGTTGCGTATATGCTTTTTTGTGTACTGCACCAGCACATTGACGCTGCTGAGCTTGACATTCAGGTCGTACGAGCCGAGGAACGTCGTGAGCACAAAATACAGCGGCAGCGGCAAGCTCAGGTCTGCGCGGTCGATCACGGCCAAAAGGTGTGCGAGAGCGTAAAGCGGCGGACTCAGGTCGTTTGTCAGCGCCTCAAACGCGTGTTCCGGCAGCATGCGTGGCAGCTCGACGGATTCGGGAAACCGCCTGAGCACCGAGACGTCGTCTGTGGCGCAGTTCAGCTGTAATGTCTGCTGGAAGACCGGCGAAACGACCCGGGCCAGCCGTCTCATTAGTGGCCGGTACAGCTGCCACAGCAGCTCTGTGCGGCGCAGAAATGGAATCAGAAGGTACGTGTTGAAAAGCAGGGCCGGCGACGCAGCCGGGTCGCGCAGGATATCCACCAAGACGGCCACAAATTGCGCGTATTCCCGATCGTCCTGATACTTTTCCGACAGCGAATTTGTGGAGAGGAGGTCGATAAGCGTGCGGAAGTTGATCTCTGCCAGCACTGCCGGACAGCGAATGGTGCTCTTGACGAGCACCTCAAAGATGTTGAACCGCAGCAGGAACTCGACGTTGGTGCGCAGATAGCTGAACGACTGGACAATGATTGCTGTGTTTTGCAGAAGCGTCTTGTTCGACTCGGTCAGCAGGATCTCGCCCAGGACCCCGAAACTGTCCTGCAGCTTGGTCTTTTCTCTGTCATTGCCCAGCACGGCAAGCTTGATTGAGTCGATCTCCTTAATTTTGTCGTCTGCGGAGAGAGATTGGAACGCTAGCAGGGACATGCAGATGGAGAAAATAATTAAAATAATTAATCAAATAATCAAATAATTAAATTTTATTTCATGGGAAGAGACCCGCTCATCGGAATTGTTGGCAAGCCGTCGAGCGGTAAGTCGACGACGTTGAACTCGCTGACCGACGCAAACGCCAAGATCGGCGCGTTTCCGTTCACGACGATAGACCCAAATCGCGCAACAGGGTATCTCCAGGTGGACTGTGCGTGTGCGCGATTCGGGAAGCAGGACCTGTGCAAGCCGAATTACGGATGGTGTTCTGGTGGGAAACGACATGTGCCTGTTGAGCTTCTTGACGTGGCGGGGCTGATTCCCGGTGCGTCGCAGGGACTCGGGCTGGGAAACAAGTTCCTCGACGACCTGCGCCACGCCGACGCCCTGATCCACGTCGTCGACGTTTCTGGGACGACCGACGCAGAGGGCAAGGCCACGCGCGGATACGACCCTGTGCAGGACGTGGAGTGGCTGCAGGACGAAATCCGGCTGTGGATCGAAAATAACCTGAAAAAAAGATGGGGGTCGATTGTAAGAAGACACACGGCCACCAAGTCGTCGATCGTCGACACGTTGCAGGCGCAGTTTGGCGGATATGGTGCCACAGCAAGCCTGGTAGCCAAGGCCGTCGATTCGATACCAAACCTCCCCCCCTTGGAGCAATGGGACGAACATTGGATCACCACCGTGGTGCGGCACTTCATGAACGTCAAGTTCCCGACGGTGTTGGCGCTGAACAAGATCGACCATCCCGACGCAGATAAGAACGTGAGCAAGATCCTGCTGAAATACCCCGACTCCAAGGCAGTGCTCACCAGCGCCGTGACAGAGGTGTTTCTGCGTCGACTGGCCAAGCAAAATTACATCCGGTACGAGGAGGGAACAGAATTTATAGACACGCTTGAGGATCTGGGCCCGGACAGTGGGCTGAGGCCGCTGGACGAGAAATTAATGCAGCGGATTGAGAACATCAGGGACCTGGTGCTGTTCCGTTTTGGCTCTACAGGTGTGGTCCAGGTGTTGCAGGAAGCAGTGAAAATATTGGACCTGGTGCCCGTTTTCACGGTCAGAAACATACAGACGTTTACGGGCAGCTCGGGCAACCACGTGTTCAGAGATTGCACGTTGGTCAAGAAGGGCACTAGCGTCGGCAAGGTAGCAAGACAGATCATGGGCGAGGTGACGATTGCGGCGATCGAGGGCGTCGAAGGCAAACGCATCAGCGTCGACGACACCGTCGACGTCGGAAAAAACGACATCCTGTCGTTCAAAGTGGTTCCTGGGGGCCTCACGACGTCGTCATAGATAGAGTAGCATGAAGCGAGAGACACATCCGTACACCGCCAGGACAGCGGCTGCTCGGGTTCCGCACAAGAGTAAAATTTTCACAAAACTCGTCAGCAGACACCAGCACGCCCCGCACCTTGTGGAAATTTCTAGCAAACATCATTTCCCTTTTTGTTTTCCCAAAGTATCTGTTGCTAAACGAGGCTTGTATTTCTACGTTTGAGGCTGCCAACGACGTATATCTTCCCGTTCATATACTACCGTTCTTGATACCGACCCCAGTTTGTTCCCTTCTGCGCCCACTAATTGGAGCCTAAGAGCACAAGCATCAAGCAGACGCAATTTTCAAGGTAAGACAAGGCCGGGTAGCCCAAACACAGGTGTATGTCTAAAGCCTTCCCAAGAAACCCTGACCTCTCATCCACATATCCATGGGCGCTTTCCGACCAAGCGTGAACCCCGGCGAGGTTGTTGATCAATTGCACGGCTCGCCACAGATCGAAGAAATCACAGACAAGTCTGGAGGCAACCAGATTGATTCCAACATCCCAAACCTCACGGACAATGAACTTTTGGATCCAATTTCCACCACCACGGGCACGACTCCCACAAACAACACGTCGAATGGTTTATACCCTTTTCCTACATCAGATGTGCCCTCTTTGGGCGATGATTCCAACACCGGAGACCATATTGCGCATACACCTGTCGTCACGTCACCGCAATCGTCCATTTCCATCAAATCAGATGCACGGCATATTAACCCGTATGCAAACGGTATCAACGGAAATAACTACTACATGATTTCAAGGTTCAACCCCCCTGCGTCATTGCCGTATTATGATAGTCCCCAACTATCGTCTGGAACGACCAATTCGAACGTGAAATCTTTGCAATTCAAGAAACCCAAACCGAAGAAGCTTCAAAACCAGATGTCCGGACCTCCAAAACGGCCCGCTTTTGTCATGAAGTTATGGAACATGGTCAATGATCCTTCCAACTCCAAATACATCTCGTGGCTACCTGACGGAAAGGCCTTCCAGGTGAGCGACAGAGAGAGCTTCATGAGACATGTGTTGCCCAAGTACTTCAAACACAATAACTTTGCTTCCTTTGTGAGACAGCTGAACATGTATGGCTGGCACAAAATTCAGGATGTCAACTCAGGGTCCCTTGTTCAAGGTGAAGAAGTTTGGCAATTTGAGAATCCAAATTTCATCAGGGGCAAGGAGAATCTGTTGGATAACATTGTCAGAAACCGGTCTTCCAAAGAGGAGGACGACGACATCGACATCAATACCTTGCTGATGGAGTTGGAGTCGATGAAACAGAAACAGAGGATGATTGCTGACGACCTGAGTAGACTCGTTCAGGACAACGAGCTACTATGGAAAGAGAATTACATGGCTAGAGAAAGACACAAGGCTCAATCGGAAACTCTTGACAAGATCTTGCGATTTCTTGTCACCTTGTATGGTGGGTCGTCCAAGTTTCTGGAAAGTGCAGGAGGAGCTCCCAGCGAGTTTCTCGAGATGGCCTCGAAAAGAGACGCACAGGAACAGCAACACCATCCGCATGGATCAGATTTCGATATTCAACAGCAGATGCACCAGCAGCCTAACTCGTACTACCAGCCTCAAAATGGGAACAGCAGGTTGATGCTGACTCACAGAGCACATAACAATGGGTCCAAGTCGACCTCGAGAGATACATCTAGCAGCCAGAGCATTAACAACGGTTCTGACGCCAGCGACTTACCGATCCAGGAGATCCGCAGAGGACCCGAGAACCAGAACAGCGAACAGCTCGACGGCTATAAGCCGTATCCACTCCAAGGAACGCCGCAATTTCAACATCCGTTACCGAACTTCCAGTCGCCTGCTTCAATGGCCAATTCACCACGTTCTTACTTCCCCGAGATCAGTCCGCAAGTGCCGCAATCTTCGGTCCCCGCCACGCCGTCCGCACTGTCCTCTGCAGCTCCTTTGCAACAAGACACAGATACTCACATGCCTCCTGAATATCTCATGGGAAACATCAACCAGCAGCTGAACAAGCAGCAGAGCTCGATCCGGCAGATAAACGACTGGATCTCGCGGCTGGCCAGTTCAAAACTTCCTGACGAGATCAACGCTAATCAACAGCCACTTATGGATGATTTTAGAATGGACGATTTTTTACTTCCGCAGACCCCGAACGGCGGTGTCGATCCGTCTTTGAACACTGACGACAATTTTGGTGAGATCTACAACCCTTCTCAGCAAGAGTCCAACGAATCCTACACAGACTCCTCGTCCTCGCGGGCCAGCACGTTTTCCAGCAAAAAGAGAAGAGACAGTTCGCCGTCCTCAGAGGACAAGAAAAGGATCAAACAACTTTAATACAAGTTTAATACATTTTATGAGATACATATTGCTATTTACATTTGCAATAATATTTTATGCTAGCTAGACTTTAATATATCTGATGGGTTTAAGTCCATGTCAGTTTCTAGGGGTGGAGAGATGAGTTTGGCCATTTCGATAAAATCCTTGCTGTTCTGGTCTAAAGACGACGGAATCGTTTGTCGAGGCCAATGCAGTTTCTTCCACATTTCCTGGCCGAACGCCAAGTCTTCAGGCTCCACTGCTCTGCACACAAAGTCTTGGAGCCCGTGGATCCGAGCGTAGTTTGCCAGAAGTTTGAAATGTCTACCTTGGAGAAAGTTCTTGTGTGCTGTGTTGTGCGTGAGAATATGCACCATGTACCGCGTGAGTTGCGGCCAGTGCTCGAAAAATGTACATTTAGTCAAATATTTGTCAATGAGCTCGTATGCAAGGATGTGGCTCGCTTTCACTTTGAATTGATATTGGAACTTGTGGCAGAACGCAACGCAGTTGTAGATCTCGTTTCTGTTGAGGAAGTATGTGTTGAAAGCCGAGAAAGTTCCTAAATTGACCCGGGCCCGATTGGACATGTGCATACCGTGCACCAGCTTGAACGCTTCGGAAACGTGGTCCTCGTTCAGACACGCGCGACAGAGCTTGTTCATCAGATAGGTGTCGATGTTGTCGAGATTATAGCCGTTTTTTTCGTAGAATTCAATCAGCTCGTCGTATCCGCACGTTGTGGACATGCTGTGGACTGCGCTCCGAAAAACCGGTTCCTGGTCGATGCCGTACTCAGGCATCAGTTCCAGCAGCTCGAACCGTTTCGAGTTTGTTCGGAGCGCACGGAAGAGATAGTACCACGTGTTGGCGTTTGCGTTGACCCCTTGTTGTTTGAGTTTTTGGAGTCGCTCAATTTTGTCCTCGTAGGTGGTTTTAGCCATTGAAAACGCCATCATCACGTTGTGGAAGTCAATGTCACGTTTAAACGCCGTGGACTCCTCCATGCGGTCCATCGTCTGTTCTGCCGCAGGGTCGTCTAAATAGAAATGCAGGTCTTGCACGATGTCCAGATAAGACTGTTTGGAGAGCAGGTCTGGTGTCGAATCGACTATCCGCGTCAGCAGTTCCTTGATCAGCTTATGAGTCCCGGGGGCATACGTATAGTTGGTTAGCTCATGGACGTACGTGTTGACGGTCTCCTTGTTCATCTCGGGCACACGTGGCAAAATCGACCGTTTCGACCGGTGTGCGGCCTCCTTGTAGGGAAACTTCGATTTGGGCACCGGCTTGGGACTGATGCTTTTCAAAAGCTCAATCACGCGGTATTCCTGGTCATACTGTTGGGGGTTGGAGGTGAGCGGCAGGGCTTCGTTCCGCAGACAAGAAAGTGTGCCGAATCGACGATAACGAACGGGGACCGCCAGCACTCGAGAAAACATTTTGAATGTTTTTTCAATCTATTAATACTTAATAAATAGATGCAAAAGCCCCAGTACAGCAGATGCCCGGAGTGCTTTACAGTCCATTTTGTAGAGTAGCAGAGAAAAATTGAGTTTGCACTATGTAATCCAAAGCATACTGCAACATACCCGGTCCCTCCTCCTCGCCAAGCACGCTGCGCCCCACAAAAAAACTATTTGTCTAAAATAATCCTTCCTTATGGACGACCTCAAATTCCGCACAAAAACTATCAATTGGCGCGACTGGCTGGGCCAGTACCACATGAACAACGTCCTCATGCAAAACCAGAATGGCCCCTGTTTTGTGATCTCCCTCGTCAACACCCTGATCTTGTCCAGCGAGATATCCAGCGAGGAGTGGAGCACGGTGGGCAAAAAGGGGTCCAGCACATCGATGAAGACGGGAAACAGCGTCCATCCAAGCATGCTGGTCTCGCTCAAAAAGATGCTGCTGTCCAGAGAGGTCAGTCTGAGCTCGCTGCTCAACGAGCTGACCCATCTGATGCTCGCGCTCAACGATATAAGAGGCGAGACCGTGGACATCGGGGCCATTCTGAACGTGCTGCCACAGCTCGGCACCGGCCTCAATGTGAACCTGAAGCTCGACAGCGCCGTCGTGACCGATTTCGAGGACCAGACAGTCAGCATCTTGCAGCTGCTCGACCTGTTTGATCTTAAGATGGTGCACGGGTTTCTTATGACCGAGCCGTGGGCCGAGTACGACACGTTTGACAAGATCCAGGATTTTCTGATCAGCGTGATAGACAAGCACAGCAACTTAGAGCTGGAGACAATGCCAGCGAGCGAGATTTTGGAGCTCGAGGTCGACGATGCTGAGCGGGAGATCCTGCACAAGTACGTGCTGTACAGAGATTTTCTGGCGCAGAACAGCACGCAGCTGACGGAGGCAGGACTCGAAACGCTCAAGCAGGACTCCAAGCTGGTTCCGAACAACACGTTCGTGATATTTTTCCGCAACGACCACTTCAACACACTGTACAAGCTGGAGAACAGGTTATATCTGCTGGCAAACGACGAGGGCTACGGAAGTGGCATTGTTTGGGAGGAATTGAAGACTGTGAACGGTTCGGACGACAAGCTGCTCAATGGCTTTTTTGAGGTTCGTGAGGACGAGTCTGACAAGCTGCAGGAACACGTGGAGGAGGCTGTATATGAGCACGATCCGATTGCAGGAGCAGACGAACAGCTGGCTGCGCAACTGCAGAGCCAGGAGGACGAACGTCTTGCGCGCGACATTCAGCGCGAGTACGAGGCTAAGCGTGCTAAGCACGAGAAATCCAAGGACAAGAAGCCGGCCAAACAGGACGCGAAGCCGGACAAGTGTGTGATAATGTAGACAGTAATTTTTTTTTATTTTTTATTTTTTATATCGAATTTATTTACCTTGTTCTAATGTTCAAAGTATTTAAAGGGACCGGAATCGAGTCGAGCTATTCCATCTCGGCAAATCCGCTGTTCGTATCCAATAACACATGGACAATCTATCCGGCCAAGCACCGCACAACCAAGAAGAAGGTTTCTGTGTGGCAATTCAGCAAGAAGGACTTGGAGGCCCGTCTCCAGGCCAATGGTGTTCTGAACAGGACGAACCGCTCAATGATCATGGACGATATATTTGCTGTCTTGGGTAACTACGTCAGCAACTTATCCAAGTTTAAGCATCCAAACTTTCTGACGGTGATCGAGCCTTTGGAAGACCACAAAAACAGGATGCTGTTTGTTACAGAGTATGTGGTTGACGATCTTGCGACGCTCAACAAGTCCGATCTGGACGAAATCATCATCACCAAAGGGCTTTTGCAAATAGCTTCGGGACTCAAGTTTCTCCACCAGAGCGTCCACACTGTCCACATGAACCTGGCTCCTAGCTCTATCTTTATTACGGAGAACTTCGATTGGAAAATATCTGGGATGCAGTTTATTGAGGTGATGGAAAACAAGATCCAGGAGAAGTATGTTGATCCGCTGGACTCGCGGTTGCCGTCTTTTTTGAGCATTGACTTTCGGTACTCGTCTCCAAACTTGCTGCTCAAACACAATGTCGATTATATCAACGACCTCTTCTCTGTTGGCTGTCTTATTTATTATCTCTTCAACGAAGGACGATCGCTACTGGAATGTTCGAGCTCGAGTTTGCTGGAGTACGAGCGAACGTTCAACAAGCTTAAACACATCCTGGGCTCCGCCAACTTGTACCACCATGCAAGTTTCAACAGCATTCCCCGGAACTACATTGACGTCTTCATCCGTATGCTCAAGGAAACCCAGGAATCGAACAAGGACGTGCTCATGTTGCAGCCTCCACTCACCGTTGATGACCTGCTGGCATCTGCGATCTTCAACAACGACCTCATTCGAATCCTCAACGTTATAGACGAGTTCCCAACACTCTCGCAACAGGAGAAGATCGAGTACCTTATGAATCTGACGAAAGACCTTTCTAGCTTCCCGCGTGCTCTCCTCATCAACAAGTTTATCCCTGTGCTATCTGATCTGATAATTCCGCTGCTTTCTGCCAAAAGCGTGAACGAGGACGACCAGAAAGTCATTATTCTGGCGTCGCAAAACCTGCTCATTCTCAGTAACCAGATTTCGCAGCTCACGTTCAGCGACAAAATTTTCCCTCTACTGAACAAGATTCTCACCGAGCAGAACTTACCTAGCTACGACCTGCTGCTGGTTTCGAACATTGACACCATCAAGACAAAACTCGGCGCAAACGAGACCGATTCCGGCTCAAAACACACGCAGTTATTCCAAAAACTGCTCAACAAACTATTCGAAAAGTCTATGGTGGCCAGAAACGACCCCAACACCGTTCAGCTGCAAGACAAAGTGCTCACCAGTCTGCACGTCTTTCTCAATTACCAAACATACTCCACCATCACAACGCAGATGTTCCCGGCTGTTTGTCAGCTGTTTAGCACAACAAGCTCGCTGAAAATCAAGAACCTCACCATCAAAGCATTCATACTCATGATCAGCGGCATGAAGGAGAAAAACTTGGACAATTATGTTATTGTCGAGAAACTGCTACCGCTTCTACAGAACACGCATGTCTCGAACTTCAAGAACGCGAACTTATTGATGAACATGGTGCAGCTGTACGAGAGCATATTTCATAAGCTCAACAAGTCGCCTACAACGATCTCGGTCGGGAAAAATGAGGTGTGCGTGTCAGAGCTGATCCGCGACTCGATATTTTTCCAGCTCTGGAAACTCACTAATTTTGTGTCCAGAAAGGGCGATCTCGACGGTCTATTTCGCATCATCGGGGAGATAGAATCGTATCTAAAAAAATCTGTCACTGCGAAGCTCAAGGAAACGGATGCAGACTCATCACTACAGCCCGGCGTTATCAACCATGCGCCCTCTGCTCCGGCCCCTGCCAAGCCTCTGGACGACTTCGAGGATTTCCAGGCTGCTCCGTCCAAGTCCGCGCCGCTGCGTCTCCAACCTACTAAGCAGTACACTCCGCCGGTCGCCCAGGCTGCCCAGGCCGTTAACCTTAGTACTTTGTCGTTCGGAGCCACTAGCACACAACCGCCAGCAGCCAACAGCCAGCAGACGTTTGCCGTCATGCAGCCTATGAAGGCCACTAAGGTCTCATCGCCGCAGCCGTCGCCAGCTGCCACGCCGGCTCCAACCTCGCCCGCAATCGACTGGACCAAGACGATGGCGCCCAAGCTGCGCACCGGGGCAGCGTCCTACGAGTCTCTGATATAATCCATACCGTCTATATAATTTTCGTCTCCGTCATCGCCTGCTGGACCCGTTTCTCGTATATGTTCTTGTGCTCTGTCGATTCCAGAGCCATGCTGCGCAGACAGTCCTGCATGATTTTGACTTGTTTACCTATATTTTCCATGTGTAGCAGCACCTTGTTGTTACCGTCGACGAAGCCATAAATGGAGTATCTCAACCCCGTCTCGCGACAGAAGTCCAGCACGTACGCCTGTGCTTTGCGGAAATTGTGTCTAGGGAGCCGCGGGAACAGATGGTGGATGGCCTGGAATTGTAGCCCACCGTGGAAAAAGTCAAACCACTCGGGACAGGCCACATCCATGGTAGTGCGTAGCTGGCGGGCAGCAAACGACTCGGAACCACCCAAATCGGAGGTCGACATGGCGAAGTGGCTGAGCGTGATCTGGACGTGCACAATCATGGTCACAATATGCGAAACAAGAATGTACTGGATCCGGTCTCGCCATGTTTCTAGCGAGCCGATCACCAAGTAGAAGAACCAGTAGAAGAAAAACATGAGGCCCGCCAGCTCGAAATACCACAGCCACCAGGCCTTTCCGCGCGGACTCTTCCCCGTGAGAAGGTACTCCCAGGATAGCCTGTACAGGTTGAAGCGGCCAAAGCAGAGAATTGGGTAGTACAGCCGGTCCTGGAACTGGACCATCACTTTGGCCAGACGGTCGAACCAGAGCGTTTTCTCGTAGTACGTGGAGTAGACGTTGCCGAGAAGACGCGAACTCACGGCGAAAAACGGCAAGTGCTGGATATCTGGGTCATGGACAGGGTCGTTTGTGACCAGATGATGGACGTTATGGTTTCTTTTCCACCAACCCAATGACAGACCGCCCATCCAGTCGGCAACCAGCACACCGAGGAAGTTATCAATGTTATAGTTATGAGTGATGGCCAGATGTCCTGCGTCGTGGGCAATGAACGTCAGCTGCTGCCAGCAGAGCCCGATCGAGACCGCACTCAGAAAATACCACCTGATTTTCAGAAACACCAAAAAGTACAAGAACAGTCCGCCGTTGATGCACAGCTGTTTGTAGTACTCCACGTAGGGACACTCATAAAGCCCCGCGGCTTTGACTTTCTCGTGTAGCTCGGCGTATTTCTGAGAGATCAGCTTCTGCGTGCTGTAGTCGAGCGAGGGCCACGTTTCGAGATCTTTCTTGACCAGCAGGTTATCAAAGTTCTCTATCACGGCCTGTGGGTCCCTGATCGGGCCCTGTTCAATTCTGATGCTGGCAGATGTCGGCACCACGCCCACAGGGAACTTTGGAGCCACCTCAGCTGGCATCTGGCCCGGAAGAGGCTCATCAGCAACCTTGGCGTACCGGCCGCCCTGGATAGGCGGGATGAGGTTGACCCAGTCGTGGTCTATGCGACCTATCTGGAACCGTTTGAATGTGGCAATTGTCTCGTCGCAATGGTACGCGTTCATCTCGTCGGTGGCATCTCGCCCCACCATGTGGTGGACGGCCTTGTCTCCGCCCGGATGGATCTTGATCCAGTTATTGAGGCGAAGAACACACTTGTCGTAGATCACAATGATGTCGCCCGCCCCAATCCTGGCTTTTATCTGCTCTACACTGAGTACTTGGTCTTTGGACTTCATGAAAAGAGTATATTTAAATCATTTTTTTTATTTTTATAACTTCATTTATGTCATCTTACCGCAAACCGGTGTACAGAAATAGACAGCGGCTTTTTAGCAACGACCTGAAAGCGCTGCTTTACGCGTTTGGTGACTCACCGGCGCCCAACCACGAGACCATCCAGACCCTGGAGGATGTGCTGACAACGTACATGATCGACCTAATAGTCGCTGCTAACCACTCGAGGCTGGCCCACGGACGCAACCGGCTCAAAATCGACGACGTCAAGTTCGTTCTGCGCAAAGACCCTACAAAGCTCGCCAGAATCCACGATTTGCAGAAAATGGACAGAGAAATCTCCAAGGCCAAAAAGCTGTTTGACGAAAAAGCACAGAAAAAAGAGTAATGCCAGCACCCCAGCTATAATTCTAACCTGTATAACCTATTAACATCGAAATCTTCATGAACGTGTCCCACAAACGTGTTCCAGTAGTAAACTGCCCGGATCAGCACCCAGTTGTACACCATCTTGGGGAACAGCTTGTAGCTGCTAAAAATGAAATGGAGAGCATCCAGAACGTTGCCGAGCTCCTGCTTGAACGCGGCCGCAAGGTCAATTCCAGAACGCGGCGGTGGGAACTTCATGTCGCTGGGCGACCGCGACGTCTCGCCCAGGACGGCGTTGTCCGATGCCTGTGTGAAAAGGAAATCCTGTGCTGTGGTGACTGCTCCATCCTCCTCCTGTCTAAGTGCCGCATCGTACATTTTTTTGAAATTATTGATGGAGGCAATGCTTTTGGATAGTCTGTCGAACGTGTTGACGAGCGCGATAAGCTCAATCTTGGAGATCTGGAAATCCGTGCTCAGCCTGTCCCGCTGGTCTAACTCGAACAGAATTTTGAGCGCCGTTCCGTAGCCCGTGGTCTGCAATTTGCCCCACAACCGACATCTGTCGCATTGCACGCAGTCCATCACGCGCGACACGTTGATGAACCGCTGTCTGAACTCGTCTTTCAGCTGCCCGGCGTCGTCGTTCTGGAAAAGAGTATTTTCGTTAAAAAGACACTCGTGAGAGTCGCCGAGCCGGTAGTACAGCCGCACCATCTCGTGCAGCTCGCTCTTGAGCTCCTTCTCCTTGCTCTGGAAATTGCCGTCGTCGCAAAAGGCGAGCTCATCCAACACTCCAGACTGCTCCAGCTTGATTAGTGCCTTGAGCACCAAAATGTAGTTCATGTATAGATTCTCTATTCTGTCTGGGAAGTCTCCGACCCGGATCATAAACTGTTTCAGATTTGGCTCGTACTCCTTTGTCTGGAAGTTCAGGTGCTCATTGCTCAAATGTGTGCTGATCGAGGAGTGCATACCACTGACTAGCCGGTAGAAGAAATTCTTCTCGAAACACTGCTCGGCCCCCAAATTAAAACAGTTCTCGTTGTAGATGCTGCGCCAGATCTGGAACGACTGGTCGCCTCCGTACCCTGTGAACCGCTCCGGGTTGTCCACCAGGTTCACATAAACGGTCTCGTCGTTGACCTCATCGACCTCGCAGTAGTCCTTGCCCACCTTGGCCCCCGTGGCTATGCACGACCCGTTCGTGCTCGGAGGCTCTTTGGAGATCGTCTCGATCTTGCCGAGCGCCTCGGGCTGCCAGATGTCAGGCAAGTCCTTCCAGTCGTCGATCGTGTCGACGGCACAGCTTTTGTGCATGCAAAAACCCTCCGAATTCGACCAGAAAGGACACTCTTTGTACAAGTTGAGTCTGAAGATCTTGAAGAAGTTTTCGTTAGTCAAGCGCTGCAGCAGCGGTCTTGTGCGCTCGTTGAGCTCGTTGATGTCTGCGAACGTCACATTCGAGCTATCCTTTATTACTGTGTGCACAAAACGGTCCCAGTCCTTGAACGGGGTGTTCTCGAACTGATGGAAGTTCTCGTATTGGTATTGCGCAGGCAGCGTCTCCGGCTTCGGTTCCAGAGAGGACACCTCCTGGAGGCCAAATCCGCGAGCGCAGGCCAGACAAGCCGCTGCCGTGCCGATCAAAGTGTTAATTCTCATCGGACTTGAAAGATGGCAAAATGCTAAAATGCTAGCTACCCGAATGCGCCACGTAAAAAATGGATTAGAAATACTTTTTAAAAAAAAAAAAAAAAACTTACGATTCACGTCAACATCACGTTTGTCTTCCAGTCGCGCAGCACGTCCGGCCAGCTGTCGTTCTTGTGGTTGTAGTTTTTCCGCCGCCAGATCTCTAGCATGATCTGGCGCGCGTTCCAGTACGTGCCCACGCCGGTCTGGCTGATCTTGTGGCCCCACAGGTTATAGCCGTTCTGCAGAAAGACCGTCATCGCCTCACTCCCAGCCACAAAGCCCTGCCAAAATAGTGGAATGATATAACAGGTGTCCTTGTGCTGTTCCACAATGTTCTGAATCTGATCCAGGTGGTTTAAGACCTTTTCGACCCGCTCCTGCAGGTACATGGGGTTGACGTCCTCCACAAACCGGTAGAAATAAATCACAAGTCCGTGGTAGAACGACATCACGTGGTGGTAGATGCCTTCGTGTCGCGGCGAGATGTACGCGGTGTCGTCGTCATCCTTCGTCAACGTCCACTCCAGCTGCCAGCTCAGCAGCTTGTACTCGAGTTGGTCCGAAAGCTGGTCAAAAAAAAGCGGTAGCTCGAGGCCCTGGTCCTTGTGAAATTTCTTGAATCGGATCAAATGTACAACCTCACTGAAAATCAAAATCAGCGAGTTCGGCAGCCCGTAGATCGCGTCCGAGGAGATCATCTTGTCTTCCAGCTTGTTCTTCGACGGCTGGAAACTCGTCCGCGTAATGTCGATGAACGCCGGCACCTCCGACTTGGGCGATCCGCGCTCCTCGTGCTCCACGGACTCCACCTGGTTGACTATGTATTCGATGCGCACTTTTCCGTTATCTGTGATTTTCTCGTTGTACACTCCCTTCGACTTGGTGTCTGTAGTCTCTTCGCTCGTCACAGACACCGCGGTGTCGCGTTTGTGGCGCCTTTTTTTGATACCAATCACGTTATTGCTGTTGAATCGCTGAACTTCCTCAGTCGAAGCCGGACTGCCGATGATGAACGACGAGTAGTTGTTCTCGTTGAGAAATATCTCTTGCTTCGAGATATTTTCCAGCGACGTCGAGTCCTGGATAAGTTTGAGCGAGCTGAAAATTCGGTGCAAGATCACCGCCTTGGTGCTCAGCTTCTTCTTCACCTTCATCTTCTTCTCTATGATTTTTTCACAGTGGTCCAGATGGATCTTGCAACCAGACATAGTCCCCCAAACCACGTCGATCGTCACCATTGACAACACCGCCACCAGCACGTCCTTGTACTTCTGTTTCAAAACGTCCTCCTCCAGACACTTGTTGAGGAAATTGGTCGCCTGCTGCCGCAGCTGAATCCCCAGATCCACGTAGTACTTCATCTCATCAGAACCGCGTGTGAACTTGCTCTGCAGATTGAACGCGCTCACCGCCAGAAGCGCGTTCAGCAGACAGTTGCGCGCGTTCGACGTGCGACCCATCGACGCCAGCTCGCCAACGGCCATCAGGGCACGCGGGAAATAAATAAACTTCCAGGGGTTTTTTGGTAGCGGGATCACCGTCATCATGTCGGCCAGGTTCTCTATGTAGTAGTTCAGAAGATACCGAGTCATGGGATGGACGGTCAGCGAGGTGTTTGGAATGCCAAACTTGTCTATAGCGATACTGGCGGGCAGCGGAGCGGTCTCAATGATCTCCATGATGGTCTTGGGCATATTCGCGCCCTTACCAGCGTGAATGTTTATCAGGTTGGATGACGAGTCCGAGAGGTAATGGCTGTTTTCGCGGCTGCTGTGCGGATTCAGGTCGCTCTTGCTATTGCGGCCCTGAAATAACATGTGTAACATCTGGTTAGAGACTGTCTCGGCAGGCTGGACGGTATCGTCGATCTCGCCGATCGGCTCGAGCGTGTCGTTCTTAAACATATCCAGAAAATGTGTATCTCCATTCAACGCCGACGCCGTCAAGAGGGCCGCATCCAGTAGCTCCGTACTCAACCACTCGTTACCCAGATTACCATTACCAGTGGCCCCCACGGGACTGGTCGCCTCTTTGGTCAGTTTCGCTCGTTTTGCAGGCATCTGAGAGCCTCCGAATACCCCACGGAACACTCCGAACGGACCCTGCTGCCGTGATCCGTCCTCGTCGTCCGCGATCTCGTGCTTGGCTAGCGACGCCAGGGCGTCGTCCAGCTGCGAGTACATCGTATACCGCTGGCTCCGGGGATACTTCACGTACGGAATTGACCGTCTCTGGTAGTACTCAACCTCCGGGCTGGTCTCGTTGGGCAGCTGGTTGCCATACTTATCGAATCTGACAAAGGAGCTCCATCTGAGCTTGACGTCGTAGCCATCGCAAACAAACCCGCTCTTCTGGCACTTGGCGCACGCCGGCCTTCCCAAATCACATGCAACCTTGCGCCGTCGGCAGGTAAAGCAGCCGTTGAAGCTCTTTGTGTTTTTGGTCCTCCTTGTGCTCATAAAAATACTCTCAAATTATTTTATTTGACTTAATTTTTTTTTTTTTGATTTATTTTATCATTTCCTCGGATATGTCATGGCTGTGATAACGTCCACCTCTCTGACAGCGTCCGAACGTGCTGATCTTACGAAAATCCTTGCCAAGATGTATCCCCACGATCTATTCGAAGACAATCTTACCTCCGAGACGAGTATGCTTATCGTGCATTCTGGCAGAGACAAATGGGCGCAGAGCCGTAAATACCAACATACCATTAGTTCGCGGCCCGACATCCGGCTTGTGTCATACGAAACCGTTCTTAATGCGTACAGTTCGTGGCTGCGGGGCGACGAGGTGGGCCTGAGGCCCGAAAACCTTGAGGTGATGCCAGTTTTCGACAACGTGAGCGTGTCGATCAGCCGGCTGGAGGCCGAATTGAGCGCGAAAATCAGACACATGGTTGAATCAAACGGTGGCAGCGTGGTTGAGTCGATCAGCATGGTGTCGGACGTGCTCGTGACCACCGTTCCTGAAGGTCTGCGGTACTCCAAGGCCCGCGAGTGGGGTGTTCCCGTGGTATCGCCAGACTGGGTGTATGACAGCGTTGAGCGTGGCGGCATGCTCAGCGTGACGGAGTATTTTCTGACGGGAGAAAATAGCAAGGGCCGCCGGGACGACGCGTGTGACTGGGAGAAGGTGCGGGCATGGAAGCAGGCAGAGCAGGACAAGTTGCAGACAGAAAAAGCGAAACGCAGTTTTGACACGCACGATAAAGAGCGCGATCTGAAAGTGCGGAAAGTCGATAAGACAAATAAGGTGTGGAAGTCGATCATGGGCAATATTAAGGTGTCTAATTTGAGACGCGGGCTCGAAGACAACTGGAGTCAGGAACAGGAGGAGGAAGAGAGTCTTTCGCAAGCTTCTGTGCTGGATGCAAGCCAGGTGAGCACGGAATCGGTGCTTTTTGAAGGGGTGTCCTTTGCACTCGGCTCTGGATATACAGACTCGCAAAAAAGCATACTCAAGAAGGTGATTACAAGCCACCGCGGCAAAATACAGGACAATGCGGACTATACGGTTGTGAGCTCGATGCTGGACTCCATCTCTGCCGGCGCAGGAGATCACGTGATTACAGAGCTTGCTCTGGAGCGATCGATCTACTACAAGACCCTGGACTTCGACAGCATGTGGTCGCGACCGTTTGTTCCGCGTCCGGAAAACGAGGCAGCTTTATTTGATGGTGTTCCGAACCGTGTAGTGTCGATCACGGGGTTTAAAGGCGTGGAATTGTCGCACCTGGAAAAACACCTGGCTAAGCTGAAGTCTTGCCAGGTGAGCAGTGTATTCTCGAAAAGCACGGGGCTGTTGGTATTCAATGATGAGCTGCCTAAATCTGAGCTTCTAACAAATCAGAAGCTTGTGCTCGCAGCCAAATGGCGCACAAAATGTATTTCTATCGGTGAGTTCTGGGACGCGTTTAAGTAGCTACCATCTCTAGACATAAAAAATTAGATTTGTCGCAGAAATTTTAAATTTTGTTACCTCTTGCAAACATGTCTGTGCTAGCGGAACAAATTGGCCGTCTGAGTGCCCAGTTCCACGCTTCGGTGTCTGCACTATATGCGACCAGAAGCACAGGACAGGAGATTGTTTCCATTGAAGAACGGAAGATCAAAATCACAAACCTTGAGAGCGGTGCTCACTATCTGGACAACGTCCTGGAATTTAGTCCTACGGGGCTTTGTTTGAGCCCCAATGACGACTTCTTGTGTCTGTACGACAGTACGCACTGTAGCGTGGTGTCCTTGAACGAGCCAGGCTCCAAAGTCGGTCATGCAATCGGATACTCTGTCCGTATCAACCTACAACACAAAGAAACCATTGTGCAAATTATCTTCAACAGGATATCGCAGTTTGGCGCCGAGCTGGTGATTTTGACTACGGATGCCATCTACAACGTTGATCTCAACTCGTCGCTGACCAAACCCACCCACACGTACTGGCTCAGGACAGGCTCGCCGCTCGCCAGCACAGACTCTGTCGACGTAATAGACCCGGTTTCTCTTGCGTTTGGATCAAATACAGATACAATGAACCCGCGCGGCGACCTGACGCTGCTAATTTTGTCATCAGATTCGTCCATCTACAAAATTTACCCATATCTTCCGGCAAACATCGCTGTTTCCTCGTCGTGGTTGGGCGCGTTGTTCGACTACGCGAGTCTCAAGTACAACGCCAGCGGCGCACAAGACCTGTCTACGGTGTCGATGCTGAAATTTGCTTCGCTTTTGTCGCAGTCGAACGGCCATGTCCGCGCCATAAATAAGGTTCTTCCTTCAAGTCTCAGCAGAGGAAAGCTGGTGGGGCCTTTGAACATCCAGCCATTTCCAGACGAGCTTTACGAGCAGGATGCGCTGAAACTGATCTCAATGGAAAACGACATGTTCTGTGTTCTGTACAATAAGGCTCTAACGGTGCTCTTTGACGACCAGGATCAGCCCATGGTCTTCGATGGCCACCGGGCCGCAGACTCGGTCGGCGTCGTCAGAATGGTCGACTGTTTGCTTTTCGGGTCCAAAACTATCACCAGCGGCATGATTCTGCCAAACAGGCCCACGTCGTTGCTCCTCACGTCCTCCGAGGCAGACCTGCTCCATGTGGACTTTGCCGACTGGTGGGACATTCTTGCAGACAGCATTGCCTCGAACGACCTCTCGGGGCTAAGCAATTTACTGAAAAAACAGCTGCCAACCAAAGTCAGCGGTCTGGGCAAAGTCAAGCTGCCAACCACGGCCTCCATAAGTGACCCTGCTTCGTTCCAGTACACTGTCCCCCACACTACAGCAGAACACAAGATCGCGTACGCATGGAATTATACCCACTCGTACGCATTTTTAGGATCGTCTGTCTTTGAGGTGTGTGCTCCTACGCAGCCATCTGCCCCTGTGGACACCGAGCTGGCTCCTCAGGACGTTTATGAAAAATACGAAACTCTGGATTTGAATCCACAGCTGACGGCCACCAAAACGACGCTGGCCAAGGTTCAGAAAGAGCTATACGCCATGAACTCCAACCAGCCACTCGCTACAGACACAAGAAGTCTCAAGTCTCTGTATAAGGTTCGAGAGGTCATCACCACCGGGCTAATAGCGTTGTTCAACGATGTGGCCTTGTTGAACAGAAAGTTACAGCAGATGCGTAGCCAGTTTTTGGTGCAGATCGCCACACTAAACGAGGCAGAACTCAACAGACAAGACAGACACAAAAGATACGAAAGCTCGAAACGGAAATTAGAGGCGCTGGCCGGCAAGCAAGCAGAATTACAAAAAAGGGTTTCACAATTTGCGGCCACCATGGAAAAACTCGAAATGCTCACCTCCAACCACGCAAACGAAACGCTCTCTAGGAAAGAACAGGCCTACAAAAGACAGCTCGAAAGACTCCAAAAATTGATTGCCGAGAAGCAGAACGATTTCCAGGCTGTGCAGGAGTATGTGGAGTCGTTGAAGGACATGGAGGTGGTAAGCGCGTCGCAGCCGTCTGGCTACTCGCGCGAGGTTGCCCGGATGAAGGCCAAGCTGGAGCTGAGGACGAGTCTGATCGAATCGCTTACTCAGGAACTGAAGAGTACAAGCATTTAATTAATGATGTGAGACAAATGTATAAACCCGATTTTTCCGATAATCTCCAATTCATGCGTAACTCCCGACCTAGAAGTCTGTCACCCTGCCGTTGAAACTCCAATCGGAACCGTGCTTAAGCGGGTCCTGTTTTGGGCCGTTAACCTCGCCCGTCTTTGGATTCACGTTGCCCTCGAACTCGGGGATGATCTTGAACTTGTCAGGCGAGAACGTTCCGACGTCGACCTTGGGTGCTGAATCGACTTTGAAGCCCATTTTCTCATTATACTCGTCAATGATGGTTTGCGTGTTAGCTCTGTGAATCAGTTTTTCAAACTCCTCCTGGTCGTCCTTGTCGAGTTTTGGCGGACCTGGCGTGACCTTGAAAGCCGATTTTGAGTTGTAGCACTTCTGTGTCACCAGGGGTGTCTGTCTTGCAGCAAATAGCGCGCTCCGGCTCAGTATTGTCTGTCTGAGGGCAATCATTAAGAAAAAAAGGAGATTAAAAAATAAAATAATTTATTTTCTTTCTCGATCCATTCAATTCTTTGTTTATTATGAACAGACAGGTGCAATGAATTATTTACTTCTTGCATTCGTTTGGCTGCTCCAACTCTCTTCATATCTTTTGTTTTGCAAGGGTTTCTTTCCTACCAAGGTCCTGCTTTCCAGTCAAGATCTTGAGAATTTCCAGTCACCTGCCCCGGCTGTTTATCATGAACCTCCACGACAATTCGATCGCGCCGTCATTATGGTGATCGACGCTCTGCGGGCGGACTTTCTGTTCTCAAATGAGTCGCAAATGACTTTTGTCCACGAGCTCATCAATGATGGCTATGCCTTGGGGTACACGGCCTACTCCAACCCTCCTACCGTGACCCTGCCTCGTCTCAAAGGCATCACTACCGGATCGACACCTAACTTCATCGACGCTGTACTTAATATTGCAGAGGAGGACACTTCATCGACTCTGGGAGACCAGGATTCGTGGGTGAAGCAGATGCACGCTTCAGGGTGGAAAATCAACATGTTTGGAGACGACACCTGGTTGAAGCTGTTTCCTTCGTATTTCGCAAAGACGGACGGCACGGCCAGTTTTTACGTTAGCGATTTTACCATTGTGGACAACAACGTCACACGGCATCTGGATTACGAGCTAAGCAAAGAAGGCCAGAGAAACTGGGACTGTCTGATACTTCATTATCTGGGCCTGGACCATATTGGCCACAAAGGAGGGCCTGCTAGTGCCAGTATGCCTGCCAAGCAGCGCGAAATGGACTCTATCATTCGGAGGATTTTCGAAAGTACTGTAAAGAAAGACGAAAACACTCTGTTTGTGGTGATGGGCGACCATGGAATGAATGAGGTTGGAAATCACGGAGGCTCCTCGATTGGCGAAGTTTCCGCTGGGTTGTTGCTGGTTTCATCCAAATTCAAGAAGCTTCAGTCAGAGCAGAAGGCTCCTATACCGAGAAACCCAGATTTTGACTATTTCCGCCACATCGAACAGATAGACTTGGTGCCGACACTTTCCACGTTGCTTGGCCTTAGAATCCCAATTAATAATCTGGGCACATTTATGCACGACCTGCTCCCGCTGTATACGGGGAAAGATAAGCAGAGCGTGCTAATCAAGAACGCGTTGCAACTGAAGGTCCTCATAGACAAATCCAGAAGCAAGGTGACGTCTCTAGAAAATGAGATTGACGTCTCGTCTCTGACTTCTTTGCTAGACTTTCTGCATGATTCTAAAAGTACCTTGTCGAAAACCTCATCAGATTACAACTATAGAGATATATTCTACGGACTGGCCGGCTATACATTTACTGTTGTTCTGAGTTTGGTTCTTTTTTTCATACATCATCGAGGCCGGTTTTTGGAAGCCTGTGCTGATCTATTATTCTTCATTCTATATGCCGTCAATTTCTTCGGTTCGTCCATGATCGAAGAGGAGCACCATCTTTGGTGGTTTTTCACCACTTTGTTTGTCGCATCGGTAACTCTCAAATCTCAATCAATTCATTGTGCAACGCTGCTTGTTTGTCTTCGCATCCTCAAGGCCTGGAACAACAGTGGACAGAAAAACAACATCAAAAGCAATATGAAGATTGCGACGTATGTTGCATCCCTTTCGCCTGACATTGGTCCTGTTGTGGTTGCATTACTGATCGCATCAACCCTCGCAACATACTGTTTCTACGTCACAGAAGGAGTTGCCGTCAAAGGAAAAGGCGACGAAACTACCCTGAGATTCCTCACGTTTGTCAGCACATCGCTTCTTTGTTCCATCACCTTCTCGACCAAGTTTTTGTCCTACCTGTCGGAGACCTACGACTTGAAGTCTGGATTCAAGGAAGTTCCTGATTGGTGTTCCTGGTACATTGAGTGGATCGGCCAGCGCTTGGGAACGACAGATATCAACACACTCAACCAACAACTTTTTGGTTTGTTCTATAAAGTTTGGTTGGTTACAATTGCATTCCATCTTCTAAAACCCCTATCATTCAAAATATGGAGACTCCCAGACCCAGCGCACAATTATACACGATCCATACTAGTTACCTTCAGCCAGCTGCTAATCAGTCAAACAAATTTCAACAACGTTCCGATATTCTTGCTTCTGCTGGCGATCCTCCTGTCGTTCCAGAAAGTCGTCCCCATGTCCAACCTCAACGCCATTTCCCTGTTCATCATTTTGATGCAAAACCTCAGTTTTTTTCAGTTTGGATTCACCAACTCTCTCTCGTCTGTTGACCTCACAAACTCCTTCAATGGACTTTCGAGCTACAATATGATTCTCTCCGGAATGCTGACTTTTGTGTGCAACTGGGCTGCCCCTATATTCTGGTCCCTGGCTTATTTGCATCTCACCTTAAAACCAGATGGACGTAACTGGGAAAGACTCTACCACCGACTCCTGGTGACGCTGACATTCTACTCCATCAGCGGTCTGGTCCTGATAGTAAGTTGCTACAACCTCAGATTCCATCTTTTCATCTGGACAGTGTTTAGCCCCAAGATCCTATACTTCCTCTCATGGACGGCGTGCGGACTACTCGTGGACTTCGGTCTATCATGTATTGTTACGGCCCTGTATATAAAATAGATTATTCCTCCTCGTCGGTGTCGACCGGCTTAGGCGTGCCCTTGGGCGAACTGAGCCACTCCAAGTGTCTTAATCTTCTGCGCTCTTCCTGAGCCTTTTTCTCGTTTCTGGTCATCTTCTTCTTTCTGGTTCTCACCTTGATGTTGGCAGGCGAGTCGTCATCGTCCTTCTTCTTCAAAGGAGCGGGCTTGTTCACCATTTCGGCCGCGGCTCTGGACTGAGCAGACTCTCCACCATTGTCCTCGAATTTCGACTGATCGATCTCAGTGACTCCCTTCTTCACCATCTCTCCATTCTCAACAATCCACTGCTCAGGACACAGAGCACCAACGAACTCGGAGTTGTGCGAAATCATCACCACTCCGCCGCTCCACTCTCTAATCGCGACTGCAAGACCTCCAAGAGAGTCTCTGTCCAAGTAATTAGTAGGCTCGTCCAAAACAAGCAGATGCGGGTTGTTCCACATGGCACCGGCAATCACCACCTTGACAAGCTGTCCTCCAGAAAGAGAGCCCATAGGAGTGTGGTCGGCAATGTCTCCATCCAGACCAACGTCCTCAAAATGCTTTCTAATCACAGATGGAGTCAGCTCTCTGTACCCAAGACCCTCTCTAGAGGCCTCATGGTCATCAAACTTCTGAACTAGAGGCTCGAAGCCTTCTTCAATCAGCTTCTCTCTAGGAACCCACGAGTTGTATTTGGGCAGCCACCATTTCCATTTAATTTCGTACTGGAACGATTTCTTGAGCTTCTGTCTTCCCACAATGGCCTCGACTTGTCTCTTTCCTCTGCCGTCACCTATATCGATCTCCTTCTCCAACATCTGTCTTTCGGACTCGCTCGAAATCTTACGAGACTCCTTCAAGAGAACCTCTCTATCGTCTCCAAATTTGTATCTCCATTGTAAGTACTGGTTTGCGGTTTTCTCCTTGTGCTCGTTGACATGCTGCAAAGCATGCTGTGCAATGTAACCAATACGCAGGTTAGGATGCTTTTCAACAGTTCCCTCGTTAGGCACCAGCTCTCCCGTCAACAACTTGATCAGGGTGGACTTGCCTGCTCCGTTAGGTCCTAAAACAGCAACTCTGGAAGAAAGCGACAGCGAACAAGAAACGTTTTTCAACGATGGCTTCTCGGCAGAAGGATACTTGAATGTCACGTTGGACATCCGCGCGACAGCCCTGGTGCTCGATTTCACACCGGTAAGAATTCCTGGCGGAGGGAACGCCATTTTAACGTTCGAGTCGGTTAAAGTGTAGTACGACTTTCCTTCCGGCTTGATTTTGACAAACTCGGACAAGTTGCCCTTGTAGTACACCAGTTTCTTGTTTTCATAGTGTATGACGTCAGTGCAGACAGTGTCCAAAAATCCAGAATCGTGCGAAACAATCAGAGACGTGATATCTGTGTGCTGAACTAGGTAATCTTCAAGCCATTTCACATTGGAAACATCCAGATGGTTGGTTGGCTCGTCGAGAAGCAGAACGTCAGCCTTCATAAGCATGGCTCTCGCAAGTTCAAGCTTCATCTTCCATCCTCCTGAGAGAGATCCCACCTGCTGGTTTCTTCTCTCGCTGTTGAACCCAACCTCCTCCAGAGCGGAAGCAATCTCTTCTTTCGACGTGTCCTTCAGTTCCGGATCAGATGCAATGAAATCCACCAGATTCATGTCAGCCTCCTCTCCCTGGAGCTTGTGCTCGACAAAACAGGTTCTGACCTCTGATTTATCAGGGAACCCTTCTAATTGTCCATTGGCAATGGCTCTCATCAACGTAGACTTACCAACACCATTTCTTCCACACAGACCGTATCTGTGACCTTTCACAAGTCTGAGGTTAGTCTTGTTGAGCAAAAGTCTGGTACCATAGGCCAACGAGAAGTCAGCGTTCACAATAACAACACCGTCCTCCCCAGAATCGTCGAAAACGTTCGGAGTGAACAGTTCTCTGAGCTTGTGGATGGTCTTGTCGACAAAGGTCTTCTTGGCGTCCTCATCGAGGAAGTTGCCCAAACTCATGCTCAGGTACTCAGAAAGTCTCGTCCAGTCGTTGACATTGGAGTCGGTGAGCAGAACTCTGACCAAGTAATCGTAGATCACAGTGTCGTTGACCTGAGGCTTGATTTCAGCGAGATACTCTTCGGCCTTTTCCAAAGACAATCTACCATGGAATTTTCCATCAGACTGTTCAGACTGAGCATCTTCAATCACCTTCAAAGCTTTGGTGGCAAGTTCTCTCACCTCTGGAAGAGAAGCCGTCCCGACGACTCTTTTCACACCAGGAAGCAGGATAGGAATATAATGCTCGATCTCAAACTTGTTATTCACCAGTCTCGTCAAATTCTCAGTGACCATCACGGTCTGTCTC